AGCAACAACTGATGCCTAAGCCACACATTAGAAGAGGAAATAATTAAGATTAGAGCAGAGATCAATGAATTAGAAACCAGAATCACAGTAGATCAGATCAATGAAACTAGAAGCTGGTTCTTTGAAAGAATTAATAAGATCAATAAACCACCAGCCAAACTTATCCAAAAGATAAATTTAATAATTTAATAAAATTATGAATGAAAGGGGAGAGATCATGACTAACACCAAGGAAATAGACACAATTATTAGAAATTATCATCAACAACTATATGCCAATAAACTGAGCAATTTGGATGAAATGGAGGCCTTCCTGGAAACCTATAAGCTGCCAAGACTGAAACAGGAAGAAACTGACAACCTGAATAGGCCAATAACCAGTAACGAGATTGAAGCAATGATTCAAAACCTCCCAAAAAACAAGAGTCCAGGGCCTGATGGACTCCCTGGGGAATTCTACCAAACATTCAAAGAAGAAATAACACCTATTGTACTGAAGCTGTTTCAAAAAATCGAAACAGAAGGAAAGCTTCCAGACTCATTTTATGAGGCCAGCATTACCTTAATCCCCAAACCAGGCAAAGACCCCATCAAAAAGGAGAATTTCAGACCGATATCCCTGATGAATATGGATTCCAAAATTCTGGACAAAATCCTAGCTAATAGGATCCAGCAATACATGAAAAGGATCATCTACCACAACCAAGTGGGATTTATCCCCAGGATGCAAGGGTGGTTCAACATTTGCAAATCAATGTGAGACAACACATTAATAAGAGGAGAGAGAACCATATGGTCCTCTCAGTTGACGAGGAAAAAGCATTTGACAAAATACAGCATCCTTTCCTGATTAAAACACTTCAGAGTTAGGGAAACAGGGAACATTCCTCAAGTTCATAAAATCCATCTATGAAAAACCCACAGTGAATATCATCCTCAATGGGGAATAGCTGAGAGCCTTTCCCTTAAGATCAGGAACACATCAAGGATGCCCACTCTCACCACTATTGTTCAACATAGTACTAGAAGTCCTAGCAACAGCAATCAGACAACAAAAAGAAATAAAAGGTATTCAAATGGGCAAAGACGTCAAATTCTCTTCAACGCCATCCCAATCAAAATTCCAATGACATTTTTCAAAGTGCTGGAACAAACAATCCTAAAATTTGTATGGAATCAGAAAAGACCCCAAATCGCCAAGGAAATGTTGAAAAAGAAAAACAAAGCTGGGGGCATCACACTGCCCAATTTCAAGCTATATTACAAAGCTGTGATCACCAAGACAGCATGGTACTGGCACAGAAACAGACATATAGACTAATGGAACAGAATAGAGAGCCCAGATATGTACCCTCAACTTTGTGGTCAAATAATCTTCGACAAAGCAGGAAAAATATGCAATGGAAAAAAGACAGTCTCTTCAATAAATGGTGCTGGGAAAATTGGACAGCCACATGCAGAAGAATGAAACTCGACCATTCTCTAACACCATACACAAAGATAAACTCAAAATGGATGAAAGACCTCAATGTGAGACAGGAATCCATCAAAATCCTAGAGGAGAACATAGGCAGTAACCTCTCTGACATCGGCCACGGGAACTTTCAAAATACATCTCCAAAAGCTAGTGAAACAAAAGCAAAAATGAACTTTTCGGACTTCATCAAGATAAAAAGCTTCTGCACAGCAAAGGAAATAGTCAACAAAACAAAGAGGCAACCCACAGAATGGAAGAAGATATTTGCAAATGACACTAACAGATAAAGGGCTGGTATCCAAGATCAGTAAAGAACTTCTCAAACTCAACACCCAAAAAAACAAATAATCCAGTCAAAAAATGGGCAGAAGACATGAACAGACACTTCTCTGAAGAAGACATACAAATGGCTAACAGACACATGAAAAAGTGTTCATCATCATTAGCCGTCAGGGAAATTCAAATCAAAACCACATTGAGATACCACCTTACACCAGTTAGAATGGCAAAAATTGACAAGGCAAGAAACAACAAATTTTGGAGAGGTTGTGGAGAAAGGGGAGCCCTCTCACACTGTTGGTGGGAACGCAAGTTGGTATAGCCATTTTGGAAAACAGTGTGGAGATGCCTCAAAAAATTAAAAATAGAGCTACCCTATGACCCACAATTGCACTCCTGGGTATTTACCGAAAAACACAGATGTAGTCAAAAGAAGGGCTATATGCACCCCAATGTTCATAACAGCAATGTCTGCAATAGCCAAACTGTGGAAAGAACCGAGATGCCCTTCAACAGATGAATGGATAAAGAAGATGTGGTCCATAGATACAATGGAATATTACTCAGCCATCAGAAAGGATGAATACCCAACTTTTACATCAACATGGATGGGACTGGAGGAGATGATGCTAAGTGAAATAAGTCAAGCAGAGAAAGTCAATTATCATATGGTTTCACTTATTTGTGGAACATATGGAATAGCATGGAGGACATTAGGGGAAGGAAGGGAAAACTGAAGGGGGGGAATCGGAGAGGGAGATGAACCATGAGAGACTATGGACTCTGAGAAACAGACTGAGGGTTTTAGAGGGGAGGGGGTGGGGGGATGGGTTAGCCTGGTGATGGGTATTAAGGAGGGCACGTACTGCATGGAGCACTGGGTGTTATACGAAAACAATGAATTGTGGATCACTACATCACAAACTAATGATGTAGTATATGGTGACTAACATAATAAAATAAAATTTTTAAAAAAATTTACCAATTGAGAGTCCAAATGTTCTTTGATACATGTATACATGTGTTGTGACCTTCAAAAAGAGGTGATGTGCGAAACCAAACTGGTGGTTGCCGGAGGGAAGGTGGGCAGGGGAGGGGTGAAACAGATAAAGGTCAAGGGGATTAAGAGGCACAAACTTACAATTATAAAACAAAAAGTCATGGAGATAAAAAGTACACCATAGGAAATGCAGTGAATAATACTGTAATAACATCATACAGTAATAGTTGGTGACTACACTTATCATGATGAGCACTGAGTAATGTATGGAATTGTTGAATCAATATGTTGTATACCTGAAGCTAATGTAACACTGTATGTTAATTATACCTCAATAAAATTAAGTTACATCAAAAGTTTTGTAAATAAAATACAGTTAAGATAGAAACTGATTTCCAAGGCAAAATTATTATAATTTGGGGTAGCAAAAAAAGAGGTGACGTGCTTTTCAGGGATCTAATATCGAGTAATGGTTTCTATTTATTGCATACCTATCATGTGTCAGATGCTTTACATTGGTTATCTCATTGAACCACTCAACAATCCTATTCCTAAAATAGTAGCTAACATTTGTGGAGATCTTATTATGTACTATGCCATCTTTTAAGAACTAGATACATAACATGTAATATATAATCCACAACTCGTCTATGTGGTACTAGTAGCATCATCTCTATTTTAATATATAAGGAAAGTGAGATAGAGGTTATATAACATAACCAAGACTCTCATAAGTTGTAAGTAATAAAGCCAGGATGCAAATGTCAGCAGCCTAACTCCATAGTCTGAGCCCTTAGTCACTAATTATTATTATCCCCCTTTTTGGAATGACAAAACTGAGGTTTAGAGGGTTTAAATAATTTACCCCAACACACAGTTAATTATTTTTTTCTTTTTATTTTCTTTTTTTTTTTATGTTCACTAAGTCAACATATAGTACATCATAAGCTTTTGATGTAGTGTTCAGTGATCAAACCACAATGAGGTACCACCTCACACCAGTTAGAACGGCAAAAATTAACAAGGCAGGAAACAACAAGTGTTGGCGAGGATGTGGAGAAAACGGGAACCCTCTTACACTGTTGGTGGGAATGTGAACTGGTGCAGCCACTCTGAAAAACAGTATGGAGTTTCCTCACGACATTAAAAATAGAGCTACACTATGACCTAGCAATTGCACTACTAGGTATTTACCCCAAAGATACAGATGTAGTAAAAATAAGGGGCACATGCACCCCAATGTTTATAGCAGCAACGTCCACAGTAGCCAAACCGTGGAAGGAGCTGAGATGCCCTTCAACAGATGAATGAATAAAGAAGAGGTGGGTACATATATACAATGGAATATTACTCAGCCATCAGAGAGGATGAATACCCACCATTTGCATCAACATGGATAGAACTGGAGGGGATTATGCTAAGTGAGGTAAGTCAAGCAGAGAAAGACAATTATCATATAGTTTCACTCATATGTGGAACATAATGAATGGAGCGGAGGACCACAGGGGAAGGGAGGGAAAACTGAATGGGAAGAAATCAGAGAGGGAGAAAAATCATGAGAGACTCTGGACTCCGAGAAACAAACTGAGGGTTACAGAAGTGGGGGTGGGTGGGTGGAGTAACTGGGTGATGGGAATTAAGGAGGGCAGGTGTTGGGATGAGCACTGGGTGTCATATGCAACTAATGAATCGCTGAACACCACAACAAAACCTTATGATGTACTATATGCTCGCTAACTGAACATAATAAAAAAAAACTTAAAATAATTCGATCTCTAAAGAAAGAAAGCCATGAAGTATAAATTACTTAATACATAAATAGATAAATTATAAGTCCCTTTGACATCTTCCCAACCACTGACATCCAGAAGAACTGAGTGAGTGTTGTAGGAAGAAGATACGGGGTAGAGATGGCAAAAAGAACTCAAGACTCCAAGGCTTTTGTAGTGCTACTCTTATCAGGACAGTGATAGCCCGTGGACCAGTAACAAACTCATCCCTGAACTTTGGTTGCCTTATTAGAATAAAAATGGTCCTTTCGAGGCAGAGGCAAGGATTAAAGACCTGCCATGATTTGAAAGTTACAAAACCAGGGCCGAAAGGGCGAGGAGCACGTGGAAGTGAGGTAAGGAGAGACACGAAGCAGGGCTGCGGGGAGAGGTGAGGGACAAGCCCACACCTCAGAGCGGCCCACGGAAGGGCGGGGACAGTGGGAGTTAGTCTGGCTCCCCCTTCTCATTTCTCATTGGTCAAGGTTCAGACCCCAGGTTATAACTACTCAGATTTCATGATGATACCATCTTCCCCTTGTCACTCAGAAAACCCAAACTAAGGCCTGAAAGTGTGCCTTTGTATACAAGCTTTAAAGTAGTGTGGTAACTTGGCATGGATAGGTTCAGCTTATGGGCATGAGAGCTATCCATGCTCAGAGCTTCAATTCAGCCTCCAGCCCGTTTATAGAGCCCCAAAAATGTGGTAGCAGGATGATCAAAGAGACAGGCAAAGCCTTTGAAAACAAAGAGGCAGCTGAGAAGATCTGAGGATATGCAGAATGTTTGTGTCTAATAAAAATGACTCCACATGTATTCCATGAAAATTAATAAGAATGAATATATAAAACACTTAGCACACATTGGTCTAGATTGATGGCAGAGACAGAAGGAAGTTTGGAAACTGTATCACTTGAGATATTTTTAATTATAGCAATGGAAAGCCCAATGCAAGTCGTCTTAAACCCTGAGAGGAATTTCATAGTGGATTATATAACGAAAAAATATCCAGAGAGAAGACTTAAATTCTGGAACGGTTTTATCAGGACTTCAGCTACATTTCTGGGCAATTCTCTTGTTTTGACCTCCTCTGTGGACGCACTTCATCCTCAGGCAGCTTCCCTGCTGGTTGCCAAGTGACAGCAGTAACTCTGCTCTGTCTCATTCACCTGCCACAAGGCCCAAAACAAGGTCTCAACAATAGCTCATTACAATGTTATCTCAACACTGAATGTAGAGGGACTGATGTTTAATAAGCCAAACGGCATCATGTATCCATCTCCAAACCAAACTCAGGGAGTTCACTGATAAGTTTGTCAATGCAGACCACACCCTAGAGTATGACTGTGACCTAACAGAGGAGGGGTGGAGTGGATGCTGGGAGGGCAGTCACCGTGTCCACCACCGAGATCATCAGGTCTAACTCTTTTGTTTATAGATAAAGCAAATCTAAAAACCAAAGCTCATTGATTTCCCAATTTTACAGTTTGTTAATTCTAGGCTAAGAACTGAATCATAGTCTACTGAACCTGAGTATTAATCCCCTACATATTTCCAAAGAAGGACATGGACTGAGGAAGAAAAGTTGTGATGTCAGAAGCATGTAAATGGTAGGCAAGTATGTGGTAATAAATATGGTGAGCTTACAAGAGTTTATGCAGGGAACCAATAGAAATGAAGACCCATAATCACACTGAGGGGTAAATAAAAGCCAAATATGTAACATATACACATGAGTTTAGAAGGGATCTTTGAAGTACTCTATATAAATAAAATTATGTACCCAAAAGGTGATCCCCATCCTCCTGATCTGAAGGTCAGGCATGACTGAATCATAAAGTTGGAGACAGGATGGGGAACCAGAGTGCAGAGAAAAGCCATCCCTGGACCAAACAGGGCAAGCATTCCTGTGTTCTCCAATTATGGTACTGAAATCTGTAGCTTGGTATCAGGTATCCATTTAAATGAAAAGTATTTAAAGTACAGAGAAGGTCATGCAACATTACCCCTAGCCCATGTGAAGAGGAAAAGGAACCAGAAAGAAAATGAGCAGTTGTTGGTCGGCATGTCAGGAGAGGAAGGTGGAGGTGATACCTGAAATTCTTAGTAGACTAACTTAAAATGGAGAATAGTGAAAGAAAGAAAGAAAGAAAGAAAGAGAGAGAGAGAGAGAGAGAAAGAAAGAAAGAGAGAAAGAAAAAGAAAGAAAGAAAGAGAGAGAAGAAAAGAAAAAAGTCAAAAGTCTTTGGAATCAATCATATACAGAATTGGAGTTTAGGTGAAATTGATAGGATAATTAGAAAAGTATTCACACACTCAAAAATTAGTAGTGTGATAAACAGTCCTGGCTCAGTTAGATACACAGATGGTGATGAGATGATGATTAGATGATAGATAGATAGATGGTAGATAGATAATAGACAGATAATAGATGATAGATGATAAATAGATAGATGATAGATGATAGATAATAGATAGATGATAGATAGATGATAGTAGATAAGACAGACAGCTGGATAGATAGATGATAGATAGACACATAGATAGATGATGATGATAGATAGATAGATAGATAGATAGATAGATAGATAGATAGATGATAGTAGGTAAGACAGACAGCTGGATAGACTTACCTTTTCCTTTTCAAATTGAGGAATGAGATGAGAAAGAGAGAAGGTAATTCATACATAAAAAACTCAAGTCCAGAAGATATAAAGAAGTAAAAAGGCCCCAAAATTAAAGAATTTATGACCCAATCAATAAGAAAAGGCTTGTAATTAAAACACCTGACTCAGCCTGGAACAATGCCAGTGGAATGGAGAAAGTAAGATCTGTAAGCCTGAGGCCAGAAAAGAGAGAACAGGACTCAGGGTAGGTTGTTAGGAAGATCACCCCAGTAAAAAGTTTGCTTGCAACTCGTTCAGTTGGCTGATGACAATACACAACCTGGCATATGGCAAGGATGAAAAGGACTGTTAGCAACCAGAAGTAGCAGGAATTAACTAGGCAACAAAAGGGTGAAAGAGGTAGAAACTGTCAAAATTAGTAACCGCTGCTAATTCCTACATTGTTCCTCTGCATACAACGCACTTCCCACATTATCTCTAATCCCCATCAGAGTCTTAAAAAGTAAAATGTTTTGGTTTTGTGAATCTGTAAAAATAGGTGATTTAATCAACTGGATAGCAATTTGAATTTTAAGAAATCCCAGTAATTCACAGTATGGGGCAAAACAAAAATGCATTTCACATTTCAGAGACAAATTTCTTGAATGTTCAATATTTTATATGAAAATGGATAGGCTTTAGTTTAAAATCAGTTTAATCTCTCATTGATTAATGAAAAATAGTATGTGGAAAACACATTTTTGGAATAACAAGCGTCTTCTGAGTGTGTTTGTGGATGAAAGTGTGTGCTCATGAGTGCATGCACCATATAGAAGGTGTATTCAGAGGCATGTATGAAAGTTCTGAGGCAAAATCCTCATGAACTCCACCACTTTGTGCCCCTTTAAGCATGTATGTGTGATTTTAAATAAAAAGCAGTAAACCAGAAGGAAAATGTATTGGAAAAAATCCCATCCTATCATTTATGAATATGCATTATAGCTTTTGTTCAAAATACAGAAATCCTTATTTATTCCAAATATTACAATGACCTTTGGGTGGTCTCAGTAAACCTAAGCAAATCTGAACTCTATAGATCTTTTAAGTAACTAATGGGAACTAACTACAACCACCCATACACATACACACACACACACACACACACACACACACACACACACACATTTACACAGGAGACACTTAGTCATTAGAAAAATTGCTAATCATCTGACCAACTTTTGGCAAATTATTGCTCAGCTATATGGTTACACTTTACCCAAATAGACTCCTGGTAGTTATTATCCCTCATTTCCACTTGTTTTTTGCAGTCTTAAGATAAAGCAGAGAGTATTTTAACAGAAATATCTGCGTAGGTAGAATCCAAAAAGATTCCTGGGTGAATTCCACTTCCTGAGACCAGCACTCATGTTTTCAATGTCAAAAACATTTAGTCATGAGTTAGGAATAAGCAAAGAAGCAGTTAAAGAGACTAGAGTCATGCCAACATCCAGGAGTCATCAACGATCTCTTTTGGGACTCCAATCAAGCCTAGATCCTAGGAAAGATGGGGACTGAGATACATAATGTGGTTGCTGTGCATCAGCTGGGAGGTAAGGGTGCCAATGGAGCTCTATATCAGCTTATTTTGTAGACATAATGTTCTTGATCCATGGAATGTAGCTGTGTAGGTCAGTGAAGACAACAGTGTATCCTGTGAGAATACATCCAGTTTCCCAAGACAAAATTCCTTGTAATTCACCACCACATATGGCTGGTGCAGCTGTGACCACCTGCCAGATAGAGTAGAGGGATCAGAAATTCCTTCCCGCCTGAGATTTCCTCAACACCTGAACAACAATGACAGCTACTACATTTGCCATGCAGAGGGATCCAAGATATAAGAATACCATATGAAGGCTTCTTTCCATTGCACTAATGACTCCTACACCTCCCAGTCATCCCTACACAGGTATTTCCAAGCAGTAGCTGGGAGATAGCTTTCCACCCCAAAATCTGTTTCTTTCATCTCTATCACAGGGTGGAGAAGAAAGAGTCATCATTCTTCAGCCACCTTACTCTCTGAACTCCCAGCCTGACTGAAAAATCCAGCCCCTTGAAGAAGGATGAGAGACACAAAGAGTAGAGACTGAGCTTAGGGGCAAATGAGGTAAGAAGACTTACCTGGCACGGCTCTTGGCTTCCTAGCATGGGTCCTGTACAGAACATGTCTTCAAGGAGTTTTTCACCCAGTAATTTTTTGCAGTTTATATTAGAGCTCAGTTGAATCTTGACTCTTTGCAGCTTATGGTTTGAATTTCCTAAGCACAAGAAATAAGGAGACTTTGATTCCTGTTTGCCTTTTCATAAGGCACCCTGCCTCCTCCTCCTTCAGGGCTTCTTCTCAGTAAGAATGAACAACCATGGATCAAACACATCCTCCTGCTCAATTTATCATCTCTGACAGATGATCAGGATCAAGGGGTGGCTGCTGAGAAGACACTCCACACATCAAACAAGATCTGAATCCAAGCTCTGTCATTGCCAAGTTCATGATCTTGAATAACTAGTTTCCCTGAGTCTGAGTTTCCTGTCTTATAAGCTATAAATCCCAAGGAAACTTATCTACACGATATGTAACGATGACTATATAATATGTATAGGATGCTTCATGCCTGGTACATAAGTAGTGATTGGCAAATGGTAGTTATTACCGCTGTTGTAATTGATAACAATATCACTCCTGTTAGGTAAAGGGAAAATATGATTCTTACCAATTTGCAAATTAAGATTCAAGAAGTGAAAGAATTTGTTCATAAACCTATAATGAATGTTAGAATCAATACTCAAACACAGATCTCAGATTCTAGCCCCTGTGGTGTGTGCCAATGTGATACATTCATGCAACACCTTGATCTAGGATTTGATTCCCAAAGCCCTAATTAAGATCACTTCTACTCTAGAAAGCCAATATTGTTGTTCCGTTTCTAGCTTTACACATGTGCGTAGAAATCTGGCACTACCCTATAAGTTCCAATTCCTTCCCCTAATTCCTTAGAGATCCTAAAGATGTCAATATATCCAAGAACTAACTCTTCTTTTTGATTGTCACTCACCAATAAAGTCTTTGTTGTCTAACCAAGTGTGAATCAAGCAATCTTTAACTGCATTCTTGAGAGTAGGCAACTGAAAAATTCTGGTGGAGAAGGTAAAAGGTACAGGCAGCTTTATCAGCATGAGGTCATCTTTAGGAGAGGTAACAGTGAAGTTTGGGTGAATAATGATCCTCTCATAAGGTACAATCTCCCCAGTAAAGTCTCGAAGATTTGTGGAACTGCCATAAAAGATGATCTGAAGATCTCTGAAAAATGAAAAAGAGAAAAAAGATTAATACTCCCAGATCCCAAGGCTAATCACACACACACACACACACACACACACACACACACACACACACACTTTCCTTCTATGGTAACCCATTTAACCTTTTCCACTCATTTTTATGCACTTAATCCTTTATGTGTAGCTGCCACCTGTGGTCATGCAGATTGTGCATTATACAAGCCAATGGGTTGTCATTCGCATAGACTATAATGTAAATGGTGCCTTCAGGAATTAAGCAATGCAATGGCTTGGACTCTACTCTTAGCATAATTCTAGAGAGAAGCTCCAATTCAAGACCCCTAGAAACAGTAGAAAGAAGGATGTAAATGGATAGTCAAGGCTTTTATGAGACTAGTAGGTTTTGTTAGGGAGGCTCCTCTGGGAGTTGAGGGGAATAGAAATGTGAAATTTTACAGAGGAAGTGAGTAACAGCTTTGAGAGTTTAAATATTCTAAAGCTAAGGAGGATCATCTGAATATACTATGCTCTACTCATGTCTATCAAAACTGCTGGATTAACAGGGTTTTCTGGTGGTCCTTTGGGAAAATAACAGTCAAAAATCCTGGATGTTCCACTGAGATCCAGTTGAGATCCACTCACTAACATGGCTCAAGACTCTAAATTCAGAACAGGGCACTCCAGTGAGGCCCCTGAGTCTCCCACTCAGGTATTTCTCCAACCACAAGAGTGAGATAAGTACCACATTGGTACTGAGCACCGATGGTTTTGTTGAGCTCCCAAATGCTAAGATTATATTGTCTCCTAACAACAGTACCATATGTCTCTCAGTCTGTCTTTGTCACCTTGTAGAGAGTTATAATATAAAGTCTAAAGAGATAAGACAGGGTGGCCGCCCTGGGTAGCTCAGTCAGTTAAGCATCTGACTCTTGATTTTGGCTGAGGTCATTATCTCAGGGTTGTGGGATCAAGCCCCGTGTGGGACTCAGTGCAGAGTCTGCTTGTCCCTCCCCTCCCTCCCCACCCCCGCTCACACTCATGCTCTCCTTCTCCAAAATAAGTAAATATTTTTAAAAATAAAATAAAAATAAAGAGATAGGACAGGAATAGGTCTGATAAATTCATCCTTGAGCCACGCCCAAGGATTGACAAGTTTAAAAAGTTCTCATTAGAGCAACATCCTTTAGACAAATTTTGCTTTGGGCCACTTTTACAAGACGTTAAACTATATAAGGACTTTCCTTAGTTTTGCTGTGTTCCTGAGAACTGTCATACTTTGTTTCATCTGCTTGCAGTGAAGAATTTTGCTTGGCCCCCAGGTGGGGATGACTGGTCCTTGGCCAAGCTGTTTTTACTGACTGTTGCACTTCTCATTAGATCATCTCAGTCTATTTGGTTCTCTATACCGAACACATGCTCCCTTTGTGTTTAAATTCATATGATGTCTCTCCAATTGGCATAATTCCTCCAGAACAATATGAAATTTCAGTGGCCACTGGGAGGAACTTTTGACAAGAGCAAGATTGTTCATTTGACAGATACATTAGAACAGAAAGGGAAGAAACCCTCATGTTAAGATTCTTTCTCTCTTGTCTTTCTAAATTAGAGATCACTTAATGACCCCTATCACTCCATTTCCATACCTTGGGAATTAATGAGAACTGGTGTTTTAATTATACAACTTGATGGAATTGTTAGGCCCAAACTTATTGTTTAAATCAGTTGTAGTAACTCTCTTGTGCATCTGTGTTTGTCAAATTGGCTTTTCCTGTTGCTAAGATTATTCTCCTTTCTTGCTAAAGGAAAGTCATTGGTGCTTACAGTGTTAATTTAATATCTAAAGCTGGTGTCCTCTAATATTTTCTTTTATCCTTCCTCTATTTCTTTTTTCCTTCCCTTAAGAAATTTTGTGATTTAATTTATCATAAAATATGTTTATAAGTAAATACAGAAGTTTATATTGAAAAAAGAGTTCATGATAAATAGATGATTCAGGAAAATTAGAGTGAGTAAACTTCAGCTTAAGGCAACTCTACAGCATGCAAAACTAAACTGTGGTGGAAAAACAAGAGAATAGTTCCCTCTGAGGGATATGGATGGACTATAACTAAGAAGGCCTATGAGAACCTAAACTTACACCTAAAGGAGCTAGAAAAGGAATAGCAAATAAAGCCTAAAGTCAGCAGAAGAAGGGAAATAATAAAGACTAGAGCAGAAATAAACAACATAGAAACAAGACAGTAAAACAGATCAACAAAACTAAGAGCTGGTTTCAAAGAATTAATAAAATTGATAAACCCCTACCAAACTTATCAAAAAGAAAAGAGAAAGGACCCAAATAAATAAAATCATGAATGAGAGGAGAGATCACAACCAACACCACAGAAACAAGCAAGTATATGCCAACAAACTGGGCAATCTGGAAGAAATGGATAAATTCCTAGAAACATACAAACTACCAAAACTGAAACAGGAAGAAATAGAAAATTTTAACAGACTTATAACCAGCAAAGAAATTGAATCAGTAACCAAAACAGATGGCTTCCCAGGGGAATTCTACCAGACATTTAAAGAAGAGTTAATACCAGGGCACCCGGGTGGCTCAGTCAGTTAAGCAACCAACTCTTGATTTTGGCTCAGGTTATGATCACAGGGTGTTGAGACTGAGCCCCACATCAGGCTCTGTATTCAATGCAGAGTCTGCTTGAGAGTCTCTCTCTCCTTCTGCCCCTCCCCCCTTCACTCACATGCTCTTTCTAAAATAAATAAAAACAAAGATAATAAAGAAGAATATCTATTTTCTAAGCTGTTCTAAAAAATAGAAATGGAAGGAAAACTTCCAAACTCATTCTACAAAGCCAGCATTACCTTGATTCCAAAACTAGACAAAGACCCCACTAAAAAGGAGAATTACAGGCCAATATCCCTGATGAACATGGATGCAAAAATTCTCAACAAGATACTAGCAAATCCAATCCAACAGTACATTAAAAGAATTATTCACCACAATCAAGTAGGATTTATTCCTGGGCTGCATGGGTGGTTTAAGATTCCCAAATCAATCAATGTGACATACCACATTAATAAAAGGATGGACAAGAATATTCTGATCCTCTCAAGAGATGCAGAAAAAGCATTTGACAAAATACAGCATCCATTCTTGATAAAAACCCTCAAGAAAGTAGGTATAGAAGGAACATTCTTCAACATCATAAAGGCCATGTACGAAAGAACCACAGATAATACCACCCTCAATGGGGTAAAAACTGAGAGCTTTTCCTCTACAGTCAGAAACAAGACAGGAAAGTCCACTCTCATTACTGTTATTTAATACAGTACCAGAAGTCCCAACCACAGCAATCAGACAACAAAAAGAAATAAAAGGCATCCAAACTGGCAAGGAAGAAGTCAAACCTTCTCTATTCACAGACAACATGATACTCTGTGTAGAAAACCCAGAAGACTCCACCAAAATATTACTAGAACTGATACACAAATTCAGCAAAGTCACAGGCTATAAAATCACCATACAGAAATCTGTTGGATTTCTATACACCAATAATGAAGCAGCAGAAAGAGAACTCAAGGAATCAATCCCATTTACAATTGCACCAAAAACTGTAGGATACCTAAGAATAAACTTAACCAAAGAGTAAAAAGATCTGTACTCTGAAAACTAGAGAACACTTATGAAAGAAATTGAAGAGGACACAAAGAAATAGAAAGACATTCTACGCTCAAGGACTGGAAGAACAAATATTGGTAAAATATCTATATTACCCAAAGCAATCTACATATCTAATGCAATCCCTATCAAAATATCACCAGCATTTTTCACAGAGCTAGAACAAACAATCCTAAAATTTGTATAGAACCACAAAAGACCCTGAATAGCCAAAGCAGTCCTGAAAAAGAAAAGAAAAGCTGGAGGTATCACAATTCTGGACTTCAAGGTGTATTACAAAGCTGTAGTCATCAAGACAGTACGGTACTGGCACAAAAACAGACACACAGATCAATGGAACAGAATAGAAAACCCAAAAATGGACCCACAACTATATGGTCAACTAAGCTTTGACAAAAGAGGAAAGAATATCCAATGGAAAAAAGACAGTCTCTTCAATAAACGGTATTAGGAAAACTGGACAGCCACATGCAGAAGAATGAACCTGGACCCCTTTCTTACACCATGCACAAGAATAAATTCAAAATAGATGAAAGACCTAAATGTGAGACAGGAAACCACCAAAATCCTAGAGGAGAACACAGGCAACAGTATCTTTGAGCTCGGCCACAGCAACTTCTTGCCAGACACACCACCAGAGGTAAAGGAAACAAAAGCAAAAATGAACTATTGCAATTTCATCAAGATAAAAAGCATCGGCACAGCAAAGGAAACAATCAATAAAACTAAAAGGCAACCTACAGAATGGGAGAAGATATTTGCAAATGACATATCTGATAAAGGGCTAGTATCTAAAATCTATGAGGAACTTATCAAACTCAACACCCAAAAAATAAATAATCCAGTTAAGAATTGGGCAGAAGACACGAACATTTTTCCAAAGAAGACATCCAGATGGCCAACAGATGCATGAAAAGATGCTCACCATCAGTCAGCATCAGAGAAATGCAAATCAAGACCATGATGAGATATCACCTCACACCTGTCAGAATGGCTAAAATTAACACAGGAAACAACAGATGTTGGCAAGGAGGCAGAGAAAGGGGAACCCTCATACACTGTTGGGAATGCAAACTGGTGCAGCCACTCTGAAAACAGTATGGATGTTCCTCAAAAACTTAAAAATGGAACTAACCTATGATCCAGCAATTGTACTACTAGGGATTTGCCCAAAAGAAACAAATATACCAATTCAAAGGGCTACATATACCCCAATGTTTATAGCAGCATTATCTGTAATAGCCAAACTATGGAAGCAGCCCAAGTATCCATTGACTGATGAATGGATAAAGAAGAGGTGGTGTATATATACGCAATGGAATATTCCTCAGCCAATAAAAACAATGAAATCTTGCCATTTGCAATAACATACATGGAGCTAGACAGCATTATGCTAAGTGAAACAAGTCAGTCAGAGAAAGACAAATACCATATGATTTCACTCATATGTGGAATTTAAGAAACAAAACAGATGAACATAGGGAAGGGGGAAAAAAGAGAGGGAAGCAAACCATAACAGACTCTTAACTGTAGAGAACAAAGTGAGGGCTGATGGAGGGAGGTGGGCAGGGGATGGGCTAAATGGGTGATGCGTATAAAGGAGGGCACTTGTGATGAGCACTGAGTGCTATATTTAAGTGATGAATCACTAAATTCTACACCTGAAACCAATTTTACCATATATGTTAATTAACTAGAAATTAAATAAAAACCTGAAATAAAAAAGAGCATCAAATATTGTTTAACTTTAGACTCTGTTACATTAAATCTCCATATTAAAATTTATAAAGCAATGGCTAAAAGAATAGAAATTGTGTATATTCCACAACAAAAATGAAAGAATTAAAAGGTATCTAAAATATTAATCAAATAATAGAGCAAAAGCATTTTTAGACAAATATAAAAAGAATAGAAATTCAAAATAGGTAGAAACAAGTCTGAGTATAATATAAACACAATGGCCTAAACTCTCCAGTTAAAAGACAGAAATTGTAAACTGCATTTTTTAAATCCTACTATATGTAAATTAATAGACATATTTAAATGAAAAAGATACAGAAAGGTAGAAAAGATGTAAAATGATATACCAAGACAATGCCAACTAACCAAAAAAAAAAAACCAGGATTGGCATATTAATATCTGAAAAACAGGCTTTAAAACAAAAAATATTATCTATATGAAAGAAAGTAATGACAATCACAATTTTGATTTATCAGGAATGCACAAAGCACCTACATTTATAAATGTACCTGAACTTATATATACTTAATAAAATGGCCTAAAAATATTTTTAAAAACAAAAAGTAATAAATATATAGGACTATTTTGATCAATCCAAATACAGAAGAATATTTCAATGCAAATTTCTAAATTATTGATGTTAAGCAAAAAAAAAAAATAGTAAGGATATCAAAGGCTTGAACTACACAATTAAAGTTTGATATATATAGAAACTTCTATCCTAAAATTAGAGAGTGTACATTCTTTCAAACACACAAGGAGTTATAAAAATTGACTTTATACTGGTCCAAAAAGCAAGTCTCAATTCTTTTCAAAAAATCAGTAACACTCTCTGACCACAAAACAATTAAACTAGAACTCAAAGATTTTCTTTTAATTTGGAAAGTTAGCCCCCAAAATTTACTGCTCCAAATTCTAAACTTAGGAATAAAAGATTTAATCATGTGGAAATTCTTAAAAATTATTTAGAAATAAAATAATAATGAAAATGGCCCTTTTCAGGGGCATCTGGGTGGCTCAGTCGTGCCTTCGGCTCAGTTGTGATCCCAGGATCCTGGGATCGAGCCCCACATCGGGCTCCCTGCTCAGCTGGAAGCTCCCACTCCCCCTGCTTGTGTTCCTGCTCTCGCTATCTCTCTCTCTGTGTCAAATAAATAAATAAAATCTTTAAAAAACAAAAACAAAAGTGGCCCTTTTCAAAGATGGTTAATAGAAAATCCACAGGAACATATACATAAATTGCTAGAAATAGTAAGAGAATATAACAAAACAACATGCCATTAGATATATTTATGATCTAAATATATATATATATTTATATATATAAAAAATACATATATATAGAGAGAGAGAACTTAAAATGTATCAAAGGGAAACCAAAATAAGTAGCGAGATATGCCAGATCCATGGCTAGGAATAATCATTATCAGAAAAATATTAATTCTTCCCAACGGATACAAGAGTCAAAGCAATTCCAAATAAATCCCAGTAGAGTTTTTTATAGAACTTGACAAGTTGATTTTAAAATTTATTTTAAAAAATACCTAAGTGTTCCTGATAAAGAAAAACATGGCTGGCCTACCCTATCAGACATCACAAGTTATAATAAAGTCATAATTATTTTTTTAATTTTATTTTATTATGTTATGTTAATCACCATACATTACATCATTAGTTTTTGATGTAGTGCTCCACGATTCATTGTTCGCGTATAACACCCAGTGTTCCATTCAATACGTGCCCTCTTTAATACCCATCACCATCCCCCCACCCCCCTCCCCTCTAGAACCCTCAGTTTGTTTCTCAGAGTCCATAGTCTCTCATGGTTCATCTCCCCCTCCGATTTCTCCCCCTTCATTTTACCCTTCCTACTATCTTCTTTTTTTAAAAACATATAACGTATTGTTTCAGAGGTACAGGTCTGTGATTCATCAGTCTTACAAAATTCACAGCACCCACCGTAGCACATCCCCTCCCTGATGTCTATCACCCAGCCACCCCATCCCTCCCACCCCCCACCACTCCAGCAACCCTATTTGTTTCCTGAGATTAAGAATTCCTCATATCAGTGAGATCATATGATACATGTCTTTCTCTGACTGACTTATTTCGCTTAGCATAATACCCTCTAGTTCCATCCACGTCGTTGCAAATGGCAAGATTCCGGGGTTTTTGATGGCTGCATAATATTCCACTGTGTGTGTGTGTGTGTGTGTGTGTGTGTGTGTGTGTGTGTGTGTATATATACACACATACCACATCTTCTTTATCCATTCATCTGTTGATGGACATCTTGGCTCTTTCCATAGTTTGGCTATTGTGGACATTGCTGCCATAAACATTGGGGTGCACGTACCACTTTGGATCACTACATTTGTATATTTGGGGTAAATACCCAGTAGTACAATTTTGGGCCATATGGTAGCTCTATTTTCAACTTTTTGAGGAGCCTCCATACTGTTTTCCAGAGTGGCTGCACCAGCTTGCATTCCCACCAACAGTGTAGGAGGGTTCCCCTTTCTCTGCATCCTCACCAACATCTGTCGTTTCCTGGCTTGTTAATTTTAGCCATTCTGACTGGTCTGAGGTGGTATCTCACTGAGGTTTTGATTTGGATTTCCCTGATGCCGAGGGATGTTGAGCACTTTTTCATGTGTCCATTGGCCATTTGGATGTCTTCTTTACAGAAATGTCTGTTCATGTCTTCTGCCCATTTCTTGACTGGATCATTTGTTCTTTGGGTGTTGAGTTTCATAAGTTCTTTATAGATTTTGGGTACTGGCCCTTTATCTGATATGTCATTTGCAAATATCTTCTCCCATTCTGTCAGTTCTCTTTTGGTTTTGTTGACTGTTTCCTTTGCTGTGCAAAAGCTTTTTATCTTGATGAAATCCCAATAGTTCATTTTTGCCCTTGCCTCCCTTGCCTTTGGCGATGTTTCTAGGAAGAAGTTGCTGTGGCTGAGGTCGAAGAGGTTGCTGCCTGTGTTCACCTTTAGGAGTCTGATGGACTCCTGTCTCACATTGAGGTCTTTCAACCATTTTGAGTCTATTTACCAGAAATAAAGATTGATAATTTAAGTGTTAAGTTGAATTATACTCAAGTTAAGAGCTTTTATCAAAATACACTGTAAAGAGAAGATCAAGCCACAAACTGGAAAAAGGTATTTTCAACATATGTAATTGACAAAAGAGTAATAACTACAACATTTATAGAAGTCCTACAAAGCAATTTTTTAAAAATTCACAAAATGTTCAAAAAACATGAAAGAGAATTTCCCAGAAGAAACACTATTAGCAGAAGGAGGAGGGTGGAGAAGGAAAAGAAGGAGAAAAAATTATGCCAATCATCACTACAAATAGAGATAAAACAATTAAGAGCATAACAAGATATTTGACACAATCAGCAAAATAGTAAAAATGTTTGACAATACCCAATGTGGGAAATTGCTGGAAGATGTGCAAAAGTGAACATTTGCATCCTCTATTATCCAGCAATTCCACTCCTAATGATATACTCTAGAGTTATACACCAAGAGGTATAGTTGCAGGTACACACCAATAGGTATATAAACCAACACATGTATTTAGGGAGTCTTGGAGCCTTGGAACAGAGTGGACAGATCCCCATCACTTACGGTAAGAAGCAGTGTGCTGCTGTCAAGACCCACTGAGGGGCAATCAAAGTCCCCACACAGGACTGATAACTGGAATTCAGGTAAAATAAGTAGAGAAGATGATTAAACCCTTCCATGTCTTCACTAACGTATGAAACAACACCTGGAACAAAAAGAAAAGAGAATCAAGGGATATAACCTAGCTGACTAAAGAGAACTCAGGTTGCTTATGGAGATTTCAGGATGCCAATATCAGATAATATCAATATTTACGACTCATTAATCACTTAGCCCCTAACTCTATGGTACTAGAGAAACATACTGTACAAACACTGTACTAAACACTTGATGTACTTTTTAAAAATTTTTTTCCTTCATTTCTCTTTCTGCTGCTTCATTATCGCTGTATAGAAATGCAACAGATTTCTGTACGGTGATTTTATAGCCTGTGACTTTGCTGAATTCGTGTATCAGTTCTAGTAATTTTCTGGTGGAGTCTTTCAGGTTTTCTATATAGAGCATCATGTCATCTGCAAATAGTGAAAGTTTGACTTCTTCCTTGCCAATTTGGATGCCTTTTATTTCTTTTTGTCATCAATTGCTGTGGTTGGGACTTCCAGTACTGTTAAATAACTGATGAGAGTGGACATTCCTGTCGTGCTCTTGATTATAGAGGAAAAGCTCTCAGTTTTCCTAATTGAGGCTATTAGCTGTGGGTTTTTCATATATGACCTTTATGATGTTGAGGAATGTTCCCTCCAACCGTACTTTGTTGAGAGTTTTTATCATGAATGGATGTTGTACTTTGTCAAATGCTTTTTCTGCATCTACTGAAAGTATCATATGATTTGCAGATATTGAACCACCCTTGCAGCTCAGAAATAAATCTCACTTGATTGTTGTGAATGATTCTTTTAATAGATTCAATTTGCAAGTATTTTATTGAGAATTTTTGCACCCATGTTCATCAGGGATATTGGCCTGTAGTTCTCTTTTTTAGTGGTGTCTTCATCTAGTTTTGATATCAGGGTAATGCTGGCCTCATATAATGAGTGTGGAAGTTTTCCTTCTCTTTTTCATTTTTGGAGTAGTTTGAGAAGAATAGGTATTAACTCTCCTTTAAATGTTTGGTAGACTTGTCCCTGGACTTCTGTTCGTTGGGAGTTTTTTGATTACTGACTCAATTTCTTTGGTGGTTATCAGTATGTTCAAGTTTTCTATCTTTTTCTGTTTCACTTTTGATAGTTTATATGTTTCTAGGAATTTATCCATTTCTTCTAGGTTATTCAATTTGTTCACATATAGTTTTTCATAATCTCTTATAATTATTTGTATATCTGTGGTATTAGCTGTTATTTCTCCTCTCTCATTAGTGGTTTTATTAATTTGGGTCCTTTCTCTTTTCTTTTTGATAAGTCTGGCTAGAGGTTAATCAATTTTACTAATTTTTTCAAAGAACCAGCTCCTGGTTTCATTGATCTGTTCTACCGTATTTTTTTTAGTTTCTATATAATTTATTTCTGCTCTAATCTTTATTATTTTCTTCCTTCTGTTGGCTTTAGGCTTCATTTGTTGTTCTTCTGTAGTTCCTTTAGGTGTAAGGTTAGAGTGAGAGTTTTTCTTACTGCTTGAGGTAGGCCTGTATTGCTATATACTTCCCTCTTTGGGCTGCTTTTGCTGCATCCCATAGGTTTTGCACTGTTGTGTTTTCATTTTCATTTGTTTCCATGTATTTTTTTTATTTCTTCTTTGATTTCCCGGTTGACCCATTTATTTTTAGTAGCATGTTGTTTAACCTCTATGTATGTGTGGTCTTTCTAAATTTTTTCTTGTGGATAACTTCTAGTTTCATAGCATTGTGATCAGAAAAGGTGCATGGTATGATTTCAATCTTTCTGTATTCGTTGAGGCCTGTTTTGTGACCTAAAATGCAACCTATTCTGGAGAATGTTCCATGTGCACTTGAAAAGAATATGTATTCTGCTGGTTTAGGATGCAATGTTCTGCATTTATCTGTTAAGTCCATCTGGTCCAGTGTGTCATTCAAAGCCATTCTTTCCATGTTTATTTTCTGTTTAGATGATCTGTTCATTAACGTAAGTGGAATATTAAAGTCCCCTACTATTATTGTGTTATTATCAATTAGTTCCTTTATGTTTAATAATTGTTTGTTTATCTGGGTGCTCCCAGGTTGGGTGTATAAATATTTACAATTGTTATATCTTCTTGTTGGAGTGTCCCCTTTATTATTATATAATGCCCTTCTTCATCTCTTGCTATAATCTGGGATAAAATCTAGTTTGTCTGATATAAGTATTGCTACTCCGGCTTTCTTTTGACATCCATTTGTGTGATAAAGGTTTCTCCACCTCCTCACTTTCAATCTGTAGGTGTCTTTAGATCTAAAACGAGTCTCTTGTAGGCAGCATATAGATGTGTCTTGTTTTTTTAACCCATTCTGCCACCCTGTGTCTTTTGACTGGAGCATTTAGTCCATTCACTTTCAAAGTAGTTATCGATATGTATTTATTGCCATTCTATTACTTGTTTTGTTGTTGTTTCTGGAGATTTTTTTCTTATCCTTTCTTGTCTTTGTCACTTTTTTTTCCAATTTGGGCTTCTCTTGCTTTGTCAATTTATGTTTCGGGGTCCATGCTGTTTTACCTGTAGACGATAAGTAGTGAAGGAACAATAACTTACACAATATCCCCCACTAACTAGGACAGTGTCTGGCAGGAACTCAATATGCATGTATTATACAAATAAATTAGTGGGTTGGAATAAAATTTCCTTTGTGTGCAGGGGTCCACTGGGAGGCTCTGAAATTAATAAAATGGTTTTCTGAATCCATATGTGAAGCAAGCATCAACAGAAGACTAAGAGTTAATGTTATGTATATGAGTGTGTACTTTTTTCCAAATTCATATATGCATACATTTATCTTAAAAAGTATTTCCTGAATACTTGCTATATGCCAGGCAATATATTGGATGTTAAATATAAAAAGGTATCCAAGATAGAAGTAGATTTTGCCTCCATGAAATGAGGGAGATAGACAACAAGCAAATAAGTACATAAATGGATAGTTATAAATTGTGATGAGAAAGTAACAGTGTTCCATGAGAAAGCATAATAAGAAAGAGTAAATGAAGAATCTAATTTAGTTTGGGTGTGCAAAGAAGTACTTGCTAGGTAAATGACAGGTAATCTGAGACAGAAAGATGAGAAAAACCAGCCATGGGAAGAGCAGAAGAAAGAGATTTTCAGGAGAGGAACTGCATGTATACAAAGACTCAAAGAGGAGTTAGGACTAGGAGTGTTCAGGAATCTGAAGAAAGCCAAGGAGACTGAAGCATAGAGGCTGAGTAAAAGACTGGCCCACAATGAGCCTTGGCAGGAGGCAGGGAGCTCATCAAGTAGGGCTTGAAAGCCATGCTCAGGAGTTTGGATTGTATTCTGAGCATAATAAAAATCTATTAAAAGAATTTGAATATATAAAAGTTATGTGATCCAATTATTTTTTTAAAAACATCACTGGATTTTGATTAGAAATGGATTCGAGGGGTGCCTGGGTGGCTCAGTCTGCCTTCAGTTCAGGTCATGGTCTCAGGGTCCTTGGATCCAGCCCTGCATTGGGCTCCCTGCTCGGCAGGTAGTCTGCTTCTCCCTTTCCCTCTGCCCCTCCCCTTGCTCATGCTTGCTCTCACGTGCGCTCTCTCTCTCATAAATAAATAATCCTAAGAAAAAAAAGAAATGGATTGGAAAAGGGCAAGAGAAGAAACAGTTAGGCTTACTGTAGTAGTGATGTGACTTGCACTAGAGTGGCAGCAGTGGAGATGAAGAGCACGTAAGTGGGTGGATGGACACAAGATCTACTTCAAAGGTAAAGCTGACAGGGGAAATCCAGGTAAACAGTATTTTAATAAGATACACATTGCTTTAACAAAGGTAGTTAATTCATCTTTTTGTCATTACATAAGTATTCTATCAATAAATATCATTCAAAGAGTCAAAATATTTTAAGACTAAAAGAGGTTCTCATGCCCAAAAAAGTTGAGAACACAGATAATCTTCACATTCCTTCTTACTCTAAAATAATCCAGTGCATAAATTAAGTCTTATTTAATCCCATGATCTATTCCTGACTCCAGACCATCTCTCGTTAGCTTTAAGAAGTCTGCACTACTCCTAGCTCCATCTTACCTGCAGCAACAAGACAGAGTTCCTTCAAGCCACTGGGACTTCCAAGGAAAGCTGAGGAACAGGTTTCTCCTAATCAAAACTGAGTTATATGCCAGGCTGAGGCCCCAACTGAATATTGGTCATTTACTCTAAAAATGCTCAGATTGCTTTCCACCAAAGCCCTGATGCCCTAACTCACTTTTGACCAAGCTTTACAGTCACTGATTCTAAGAACTCGTTAGAAACTGACACACTGCGTCCTTACCCCTGGGTTCCAGTCAGTCCCTGCCTGTTTTACCTTCTCTCTCTACCTGAGTTAGATCCGTTTATTCATCATTTTAATTATGTTCTTATTACTCCTTAGAGATCCCTTGTCCTAATGTCCTTGAGTTATACTTTAACTGGGCAAATTTTAACTCCATATTAATGCAACTACCTGCCTTCACTGTGTCTGCAGTTTTAACTTCCTTAATCTGTCACAGGCATAGAACACATTAACAACTTCCTCCTCCTAGAAACAGACTCCTCTGACTGGTATAAATTACATTTTTAATTTCTCCTGCCTCATAAGGTACATTACCAGGCTCTCATCTTGTAGCAGTCCCTAAAGCATTAGAGCTCAATTTTACATTTGATCCAAGAAGGAGTAGCCACATTCTCCCCACCCAGCTCTTCACTTTTATAACTAAAAACCCCACACAACAAACACAACAAGCATAGGAAGACTCTGAATAATGGAAAGAAGAAAGTGGACTGCCTAAGGAACCTGGGGACTTAAGGAACAACATAATACTAAGTTCCCTGGGTATTCTCCTTACATCTCATAGATCCAGGATAGGGCACTGGAGCAGAGTAGCCTATAATCCAGAACCACCAAAAAGCAAAGACAACAAACAAAAACAAAACAAATTTTAAAACTCCAAGAAAAACCTGCTCCCCCTAGCCAAAGGAAAGGGGAATGAGTGGTCTAACACAAAGGAACTCTTTTTGACAACACCCACCCTACTCTAACCAAACAACAGTGGAAAAATGCCCACCTGCCATGGTTTCACCAAGGCTGAGTAGGGGACTAATATTCCACCCTCACTCCCAGTGGAAGCAGGCAATACTCCAATTCCTCAACCAGAGTAGTATGAATGGGGCCCTGGGGAAAGCTGAGCCTCTGCACAGTGGCCAGGAGGCTAATGGAGGCAGTCTGAGGCAAAGCTAAGAGTACTCTGCTTCCTTCCCTCCACCACACATGGCCCTATGTTCCCAGGACTCAGCAGGTTGCCAAGCTTTCAGCATCATTTGACAACTAAATTGAACAAGACTATGTAAGGCAGAGCTACTCAGAACATTGTTTCCTCCATCCCCTGGTAAATGGAGCACAGTAGGGAGTTGAGTTTCAATACCCACCCTTCAACATGGAAATGTTCTGGTAAATGCAAAACTTCAATTCACTTCACCCCTTCTTGGTGTGAGCACAGCCCAACAGGGAGCTAAGCTTCCACCCCTATTTAGTGGCAATAAGTGATATGTGACAGAGCTCCACTTCCACCCAAAAGATGTCAAGTACCTGAGGGGGAAGGCTAATTTCCATCCCACCCATATTCAATGAGGTAATGAGGCAGCACTCCACTTCTGTTGGCAATGGTATAAGTAGGTTCAGAAAGAGGCTAAACACTGACCTTCACCAAGACCTGCAACACTACACCTGAATGGAGGTAACTGCCTGCTAAAAAAGAAGATTAAATAGGACCTGGAGTTTCAGAGTGTAATATCCAAACTAGGAAAATCGAGGATCATCCATCATACCAAGAACCAAGAAAATCACAACTTGAATGAGAAAAAACTTATGACTAAGTTATATGACTTATATGACTAAGATGACAGAATTGCTGACAATGATTTCAAAGCACCAATCATAAGTATAGTTCAAAAACAAAACAAAACAAAAAAACCTAATGCATCTGTTAGCCATTTATATGTGTTCTTTGGAGAAATGTCTGTTCATGTCTTCTGCCCATTTCTTGACTGGATTTTTTGGTTTTTTGGGGTGTTGAGTTTGATAAGTTCTTTATAGATTTTGGATACTAACCCTTTATCAGACAAGTCATTTACAAATATCTTCTTCCATTCCATAGATTGCTTTTAGTATTGTTGACTATTTCCTTTGCTGTGCAAAAGCTTTTTATCCTGATGAAGTCCCAATAGTTCATTTTTGCTTTTGTTTCCCTTGCCTCGGGAGATGTGTCTAGCAAGAAGTTGCTGCAGCCAAGGTCAAAGAGGTTGCTGCCTGTGTTCTCCTCTAGGATTTCGATGGATTCCTGTCTCACATTTAGGTTTTTCATCCATTTTGAGTTTATTTTTGTGTATGGTGTAAGAAAGTAGTCCACTTTTATTCTTCTGCATATGGCTGTCCATAGAATGAAGAATGCCTTTGATGGGCTTACTAGTAGATTGGACATCACTGAGAAAAGAATCTTTGAGCTTACAAATATATCAATAGAAACGTCCAAAACTAAAATGAAAGGAAAGAGAGAAAGAGAGAGGGAGCGAGAACAAAGACTTAAAAAGACAAAATAGGATATCCAAGGGCTGTGAACAACTTAAAAAAAAAAAGTGTAACATATGCATAAAGGAAATGTCAGAAGGAGAAGAAAGAGAGAAAGAAATGGAAAAATATTTGAAACAGTAAGACTGAAAATTTCCTCAAAATAAATGACATATTTCAAAACACAGATCCAGGAAGCTCAGAGAGCACTAAGTAGGATAAATGCAAAAAAACAAAACAAAACAAAACAAACAAACAACAACAAAAAAAAACCCCACCAACAAGAACCAAAAAATTGCACCAAGGCATATCACTTAAGATAGAAAATCAAAGATAAAGAAAACAGTCCTGAAAGAAACCCAAGAAAAAAACACCTTACCTGTGGAGGAACAAAGATAAGAATTACATCCAACTTCTCCTCAGAAACCATGCAAACAAGAAGAAAGTGCAGAAAAATATCTGAAGTATTGAGAGACAAAAAAAAACAACCTAGAATTCTGTACCCCGTGAAATTATCCTTCAAAAGTGAAGGAAAAATAAAAACTTTCTCAGATAAGCAAAAATTGAGGGAATCTGTTGCCAGTAGACCTGCTTTGTAAGAAATATTAAATAAGATCTTTAAGAGAAGGAAAATAATATGTCACAAATTCGGTTTTTCATAAGGAAGGGAACAGCTTCAAAGAGAATAAGTGAAAGTAAAAAACTTATTTTTTATTCTTAATTGATATAATAAACAACAGTTTGCTCAAAATAGTAATAGCAGCAATGTATTCAATGATGTATGCCTCTATGTGTATATGCTCATATACAAGTGAAATGAATGACAGCAATGATGTAAGGGAAAGGATTTATTTTGTTATCATAAGGTACTCATACTATCCATGCACTGACATAGTGTTTTTGAAAGTGGATGAGGATTAATTGTAAATTTATATTGCAAACTCTAGGGCAATCATATAAAAAACATTTTTTTCTGTTTTTTCTTTTTTTTTATTATCTTATGTTAATCACCATACATTACATCATTAGTTTTTGATGTAGTGTTCCATGATTCATTGTTTGCATATAACACCCAGTGCTCCATGCAGAAGTGCCCTCTTTAATACCCATAAAAAAGAAGTATAATGGATATGCCAAGAAAGGAGAGAGAATAAAATAATATAAAATACTCCATTAAAATCACAAGTGGCAGACCAAAAAAAAAGTGAAAGACAAAAATAGGAACATAAGACAACAAATAGAAAACAATAGCAAATACGGTGGATATTAATCCAACCATATCTATAATCACTATGAATGTCAGTAGTTCAAATGCATCAATTAAAACACAGAGATTGTTAGAATGAATCAAAATATAAGATCCAACTGTACGTTGTCTACAATAAATCCACTTTAAATTTTTTTAAAGTTTTATTTATTTAAGTAATCTCTACACCCAACTTCCCTAAGATCAAGTCACATGCTCCTCTGACTGAGCCAGCCAGGCACCCCTAAACCCACTTTAAATATAAAGACATATAGACCAAAAGTAAATGGTTGGAGAAAGATATACCCCACTAACACTAATCAAAAGAAAGCAGGAGTAGCTATATTTAATTTCAAACAGAACAGACTTCAAGGAAAGTTATCAGAGATAGACAGGCATTATTACATTATAATAAAGGGATCAATGATCCAAGAAGACATAACAATCCTTAGTATGCAGGTGCATAATCACAGAGCATCAAATTATGTGAGGTAAAAGCTGATAGAACTACAGAGAAGAACAGATAAATCCATCCTCCTACTTGGAAACTTCAATACCCCTCTCTCAGGAATGGACAGTTCCAGAAGGCAGAAAACTAGTCAGGATATCATTTAAGTCCACAGCACCTTCAACCAATTGGATATAATTGACAGTTATCGACTGCTTTTGTAAAAACAACAGAATACACATTCCTCTCAGGCTCACATGGAACATTCACCAAGATAGACCACATTCTGGACCACACACCACACCTTAACATACTTAAAAGAATAGGGAATCACACAATTTCTGATCTTAAGCCACAATGGAATTAAACTAGAAATGAATAACAGAAAGATAACTGGAAAATTCCAAAATACATGGAGATTAAACAGACTTCTGAATAACCTATGGCTCAAATGATAAATTGGACCTCATCAAAATTAAAAACAATTGCTTTATAAAAGACTCTCTGAATAGAGTTTATTTTTTTTAAGATTTTACTTATTTATTTATTTGAGAGAGAGAATGAGAGAGAGAGAGCATGAGAGGGGGGAGGGTCAGAGGGAGAAGCAGACTCCCTGCTCAGCAGGGAGCCCAATATGGGACTCGATCCCGGGACTCCAGGATCATGACCTGAGCCGAAGGCAGTCGCTTAGCCAACTGAGCCACCCAGGCGCCCTCTCTGAATAGAGTTTAAAGACAAGTTATAGTCTGGGAAAAATATGTGCAGACCTCCTAGCTGACAAAGGACTTATATCTAGCCTGGATACATACTCTCAGACTCAACAGTTAATAAAACAAACAATCTAATTAGAAAATAGGCAAAAGACAAGAACAAACACTTCACTAAAAAGAATATCCATATGGTAAATAGGCACATGAAAAGATATTTGACATCATTAGTCACTAGGAAAATGAACATTAAAATTTAAATAAGGTATTACTACATACCTAACAGAATGACTAATGTGAAAAATAATGAACTTTGGTGACAACACTAAAGGCTGACAGAGAAACAGAGAAAATAGTTCACTCACATATTGTTGGTGGGAATCTAAAATGGTACAGCCAATCTGGAAAACAATTTGGCAATATGGTATAAAACTAAACATACAATTACCATTCCACCAGAAATTGCATTCTTGGACATGTATCCCAGACAAACAAAAACTTACTATCACACAAAAACGTAGCAGCTTTATTTGTAAAAGCCAAAACCTGAAAACTACCCAAATGTGCTTTGGTAGGTGAATGGTTAAACAAACCAGTGTGCATCCATATTCCAGAATAACAGTATAAAAAGAATAAACTATTGATATACACACAACTTGACAAATCCCAAGGGAATTATGCTGAGTGAAAAGAGCCAATCCTAAAATATAACATACTGTATATTCCATTTCTGTAACATTCTTGCAACAACAACACTACAGGAATGGAGAACACATTAGTAGTTGCCATGGCTTAGGGAAGGGGGGAGGTGTGGAGGAGGGAGAATGTAATGGTGTGTCCATAGAAGGGCAACAGGAGGGACTTTGCGGTGATGGACTGTTCTGTGTCTTCAAAGTAGTGATGGATGCATAGACCTACACGTGTGAAGTTGCATAGATTTAAATACACACACATGTAAAAATGAGGAAAGCCAATAAACCGGATCGTATCGATGTCAGTTTCATGATTTGCTATCTTTTCGTGCCATAGTTATGCAAGATGTTACCACGGTGGAAACCAGATGAAGGTACGTGGTACTCTACACATTTCTTGCAACTTCCTATAAATGTATAATTATTTCAAAATAAGAATTTTAAACAAAAAAAGGCAGTTAGAATTCTTCATAGTTCTGTCTTTTACACATTTCCATAAACTCTTCTCAAGTAATCTTTTCTACTCATTCCCATGAATTCAAATCCTGTCAAGATTCCCAAATTCCAAAATCTGCATCCCAGCTCAGACTCGGGTCATGAGTTCCTGACCTTTATATTCAGGTGGACATCGCCATTTGATGTCTCAAAAGTACTTCCAACTCAGGAAGTCAAAAAAGTAACCTGTCTCCTTCCCCAAATACCTCCTTGTCCAGTGTTCCTGATTTCCGTAAATTGTACTACCACTCACCCAGCCAGAAATCTGGGTAACAGCCTTCACTTTTTCCTGCCCCTCATTCCTCACATTCCACTGACCTCACTATTACCTCTGGTAACCTTTTCCTTTATCTCAGACTCACTGCCACCACCCCAGTCCACTCTGTTGCCCGGAGAGTTGCAACAGTCTCTTAAATTTCTCTCCAGATCTTTCCCACCCATAACCCACGTCTCTACCCAAAACCAGTCTCCCTACTAAAGTCATATGAAGGTTTCTAAATCCTAAGTGTGGTAATATAACTCGGATATTTAAAACTCTTTAAAGGATTCCTATTACATCCAGGATCATTTCTAAAATTAAGGCTAGAAGACCCTCTACTATATGACTCTTAATCTACTTCCTTCCTCTGTGCTCCAGCCACACAGATGGTCTTTTAGTTAACATGTCACACCTCATGACCTTCACACTTAGTGAAACGACCTGCACCTCTGTCTGAAACGACCTACCAACCCCCTACCCCACTTAACTTGGTTAACTCCACTCAGCCTCATATAGGTTTAGGAAGCACTGATGTCCTTAAAAGACAGACATTTTTCTCATGTTGCACATATGGAAACTGAGGCTCAGAGAGGTCAGGGCATTTGTCCCAGGCCATATAACTGGGTAGAAGAGCGTAACTGCCTAATTACAGAGCCACACCAACCTCATTATGGGCGAGTTACTTAATTACTCTGTGCCTTAGTTTCCTCATCAGAAAAAATGAGGACAACAACAATACTTATCTCACAAAGTTGTTATAAGAATCAAATGAGATAATATGAAGAAAGCAGTATCTGTTATAAAAGCACTATATAGTTATGTGCTTTTATGGTGGCAGTGCTGATGGTGATTATTCTTACGATTGCACATTACATTTTAAAGCCCAAGAGCAAAATAAACCCTTTCCTTTTGACCCTTACAGCAGAACACCTGCTTTTTTGTTTTCTATGCCTTCAGTACATTCCTATGCCCCCTTCCAGGCTCCTACCTCCATCCTCCCTTCTGGCACACCTCCATGTTTGAGCCCAAGAACTTTGTAAGACATTGGGAGGTTTGAGCCCACAACAGAAAGTTTTAGTTAGGTCCTACCAATGACTGAGCCTGTACAGAAAATGAGTAATGTATCACCCATTTCCCAAACTTTGACATCCCTCATCCACCAGCTCTCCCTCCCCAACACAGCGCCACAGCCTCACCCCCCCAACAGAGTCCTAATAAATTTGACAAAGAGTTACCTTCAGTCACTCACCAGTCACCATCAGCAAGGCTAATAGAATACAATTCATGTTGATGCCTGAATCCTGTGCAGAGGATAAGGATGTAGTGGCAATTAACAGGCACAAAGAAAGCACAGAATTTATATCTTGCTTGGAGATTCTGGACAGCAGAAGGTACAGGTGGAAGAACTGAGGACAAGGATTCTACAGAAGTCTGTCATCTAGAGGTGTCTCCTTCCACTCCTGATCCTCGGTGTGAAAGCGGTTCACCAGTCACCGCTGCCCACCTGTCAGCTGGCACAGAGATCTTCTCAGTCTAACTGAAGCCTGCCCTATGGGAAGATGAGGTCCACAGGTCTGAGCTTTATCTGCCTCCTCTAGGGAAAAGATTCCAAAGCAGGAGTCAAGTAAACCTTCTGTGGAGTTAAAAGTCATCCCAAGTTCCTCCTCTAGCCTCTCAGTTCTTTTCACCAGTTCCTTCCCCACAATGTGTGACTAGCACCCCTCCCTCCCCATGTCCCATTGACCCCTTTCCTTTCTGGGCTAGTCTGATGAAGCAGAGCTGTGTCCCACCCTCCTCTGTGACACTCCCCTCCTCCCTTTTAGGCAGGTAGTGCCTAGCCCACCCATCCTCAGAACTGCCTCACTTGTACAGGTTATGTCTTATAACTACAGATACCATTTCAACAAAAGTTCCCAACCAATACCAACACGAGTGGCTCTTGTCAGAGCTCCAAATCTGCTCTTACTACACTGTCCTCCCATATGCAGTTCTCTCTCCCTCTCTCTCATTCTGTCCTTTCTCTGTAGCTGCTTTTTTCAAATTGATTTTTGGTGGCGGAATATAACAAGAATATTACCTAAATAGAAAATCAGTTAGATGACAGAATGAAACAATAATAGAATTAGAGTCTCTATAAACCTGCTTTGTGGAATGAGGCTAGAAGCAGATGTGTTTCCATGTGTACAAGTAATCTGTAATAATACTAATAAAGAACTTAATAACGAAAAAATTACAAACATGAGGAAATGCTGAGTATCATACACACACACACAAACACACACACACACACACACACACATCCATCCAACCATAGAATTCTAAAGCTATTTTTTCAAACAGAAAAGAACAACTTTAAGAATGATGTCCATATCAGATATCAGTATCCTAAAAGAAAACAATTGGAGCACCTGGATGGCTCAGTTGTTGAGTGGCCAACTCTTGATTTTGGCTCAGGTCATGATCTCAGGGTCGTGGGATCGAGTCCTGAGATGGGCTCCGTGCTCAGCAGGGGAGTGTGCTTAAGGATTCTCTCTCTCCCTCTGCCCCACCCCCGCTCTCTCTCTCTTTCTCTCAAATAAATCTATTTTTTTAAAAAGATTTTATTTATTTATTTGAAAGAGAGAGAGCACAGAGGGAGAGAGAGAGAGAGCATAGAGAGGAAGAAGCAGACTCCCTGCTGAGCAGGGAGCCCAACATGGGGCTCGATCCCAGGAGCCTGAGATCATGACCTGAGCTGAAGGCAGCTGCTTAACCAATTGAGCCACCCAGGCGCCCCTCAAATATATAAATCTTTAAGAAAAAAAGGAAAAAATAAGTTGGATTGGCAAACTACAGGAAGCACTCAAAAGCTAAAGTAATATAAAAAGGTATTAGTATTTAAACAAGAAACCCCACACTTGAAAGTAGTTTGCTAGGCCTGAAGAAAAGTGTGTAGGGCAGGGGGGGTGGGAGGGAGCGAAGCTGAGGAGAGAGGGTTATGAGGACAACATGGGATGAAGATCAACGGAGGCCCCTAAAGCACACTAGGGTTTACTCTACAGAAGATGGGGAACTACTGAAGAGTTTTTAAAAGGACACTGACATGATTTCACAAGCATTTTAGAAGGAAAAATAACAATTCTAAATAAAAAGGAGAATGTCAAGTTGAGCAACACCAGACGGGCACATATATTAGTTCAAGCATGACAAGATTATGGCCTGAATTAGGATGACAGCAGTGAGAACGGACAGATAAGGATGGATTTAAGACAGTTCTGGAAGTAGGATGGTTTGAGGTTGAGTGGTGAGAAACAGAGAGAAATCAAACAAGTGGTAGGTAGAATTATCTCCTAAAAATAAGAAAAACAGGCAAAAGAATGCATTTGAGGGCGCCTGGGTGGCTCAGTTGGTTAAGCGACTGCCTTCGGCTCAGGTCATGATCCTGGAGTCCCGGGATCGAGTCCCACATCGGGCTCCCTGCTCAGCAGGGAGTCTGCTTCTCCCTCTGACCTTCCCCCCTCTCATGTGCTCTCTCTCTCTCATTCTCTCAAATAAATAAATAAAACCTTTAAAAAAAAAAAAAAGAATGCATTTGAAAAGCTGGAGGAAGAAAGAGTAAAATTCTGACATGCTAAATTTCAGGAACCCTAAAGCAGATGCAAAAAAATGGTTTCTAGGAGGGGGCGCCTGGGTGGCTCAGTCATTAAGCCTCTGCCTTCCACTCAGGTCATGGTCCCAGGGTCCTAGAATCAAACCCCGCATCGGGTTCCCTTCTCAGTGGGAAGTCTGCTTCTCCCTCTCCCACTTCCCCTGCTTGTGTTCTCTCTCTGTCAAATAAATAAAATCTTTATTAAAAAATGGTGTCTAGGAGGCAGTTCTATATGTGGGACAGGAGGTCTGGGCTGGAGATACTAATTTGAAACTCATAGACAGGTAGTAGTCCCCAGGACCAGCCTACTCCAGAAAATCTGTTGTCTTTGGAAAGGCCTCAAACTCCCCTCCTGGTCCATAAGCTTTTCAAAGAAATCTAGGCCCAACAACCTCAGAGTAAAGAATATCTCTCTCTCAGGTTTCACCTCTGTTAACTAATCCTACCCTCACCACAGAAAGCCTTCCACAGCTCCATCCTGTCTTTGAACTTCAAACACATTTTGTAAGCCAGCCCTACTCCCCAGTGGACCTCTGTGTTCACTGCGAGGGACAGGAAAGTATGCACCATGTCTCTTACTTCAGGGAATTTGTGTGAGGAAATGTATTTTTTCAAGATCTAGGAATGCCAGTTGATTAGCTGAAGCCTGGAGGACATGGTTGAAAAGCTATGTGTCTCCAATAATAAGACTGAGATTCTATTTCTAGTCTTCCTAATCATGTGTGATTTTGAAACACTGATGTAAATTCTGTTTCAGTTCTCTTATCTACAGATCAAGAAAAAAATGATACCAGCCTTGTCTCCTCTTTGTAGGCTTGTTGTGCCACTGGAATGAGATTATGGGCTTAAGAGACTTTGAAGGGCTAGAGTGATACAAACTATAATTAATTTTACATTTCAACTGACCTGATATAAAATCACCACTGGCAGCATCTATAAAGAATTTAGCTCAGTGCCTGGGATTTGGTTAAGTGCTATTAGTGAAAGTGTTCTTGTTAGAGTGTGCTCTGAATTATCCAAGGATGACCCTAGCAGTTTATTATTGGCTAAGAAATCTTTTCATTAGGTAAAAAGCCCTGACAAGTCCTGCCTTCTAAATTGTTATCAATACACAGTAGGTCCTAAATTTAATATAACCTCGGATATAGACCATTCCCCAACTGTCAAAATAACTGTTCTATGAGTGCTTTTCATTTCCACATGTCCTTAGCTCAAGCTGGTGATCAGGACAACAGAACAAGTTGGTGATGATGGCTGAGTGATGACACAAACAGTGATCACAGGGAAAGATGAAGGAAGTGTAATAAAGATGGGAGGGGCTAAGGAAAAGGATAAGTGTTAGGGGGTTCAGAGCAAACCCGGGGACCCCGCCTAAGCTAAGGTGGCGAATCTTATCCCCCACAGCTCTGGCCTCAGAAACTCCATATGGAAGATAAGTCCTGAGCTGAGAGCTCCCTTTCCCACAGATAGCTGATTGAGGCAGATGGGCTTTTAGGGACAGCAGGTAGAGGGACCTGGATCTGGAAGTCTAAGAAACTAGGCTTTTTTTGTCCTTCCCTGAAAGACCCAAGAGAGGCACAGTCCATCTTCCCTGGAACAGAAGGGCCTTCATCTGTCTACCTGGAGCCCTCTTCCTCCCCCCTGTTTTTGCCCAGAGCTGTTTTCCAATCCCATCTCATGTCCTAACTGTACCTAACCATATCCACTGATTCTACCAGGCATTCCTGAGGAGAACACTGTCCTGAGAGTTTCATACTCTGCTGATCTTCTGCATCTCACAGGGAAAAACCTGGACCGCTATGAAATTTATCTTCTATTTGGGTGTCCTTGCTGGTATGTATCCATGACCTTCTACTCTGTCCTATAAGGCACAGGTTAATATAGGCTGGAGTAAGGCAGACTGGGGTGTGTGGAGGGTACAAAAGAAGAGCCTAAGAAAACCAGTCATGGACAGAACTAGGTATCTCCCCGCCTAGACCCCGCCCAAAGGCTCTCAGGAGGCTGAGCCCACTCTTCCAGTGCTAAGCTGCAGAGCAGGTGATGGTGCTCACTTGCCTTGGAGAATGCTCAACAATGAGTGTTCCCTGTGGAAATTCCAAAACGTGGGTCTCATCACCCACAGAGCAGGTCCCAGTGTAGTCACAGGGACAGAGAACTCATTCTGAAGTCTGATATCCCCCCTGTTCCAAAAGTTAAGAGACTCAGAATGCAGGGAGTGAAGAAGCTAGAAACAAGATCAAATGCAAGGACCCACCTCCCTCACTCCCTGACCTCCAAGAAGTCCTTCTGATGACAGAATTTGCTGGTGAGGCACTTCCCACCACTTCCTGACTGCCTGTGTTGTGTCACTATTAGCTGTGTGGGCTTTGAACAAATTAATTAAGCCATCTTAATTGCTTCAGTTTCTTTCGTCAAAATGGGGATATTACTCCCTATATTATAGAGATGTTGTGAAAATGTTAAATAAACCCATTGAAAGCACTTAGAACAAGAGCTCAGTGCCTCTTGTCCTTACTAATAGGCCACTTTTTTCCCCTTGGGATTTGTATGTGATCATAAAAGGGTGTGGGGAGGTATAGGCCAAGGCTTGGGAAGGATTAATGGAAGAACCAAAGACAGCCCAAACAAGAACAGTACTTTATTTCTGACACTACAAGCAGCCTTCCTCCCTATCTTCTCACGTGTTTTTTTTTTTTAATAATTCACTACATGTTCATATTAAAAATTTGGAAATATTAAAAAGTAGAAAAAAAGAAACATTGTTCATAATCCCACCTCTCAGTCAACACATGCTAACACTTTAAATTTGCTCCCAGGCTTTATTTTATTTACTTTTGCATTTAAATGATTTGTTTTTTCCTTTGCTTCTTTTTAGACAATTGGATTACTGGATTAATGTACATATTTATTATTATTGTTAACTTAATGAAAGTTTATCAGTATTTCCTTTGTTGTTTAATATTCTTTACAAATATAATTTTAATATACGTGATGTTCCATATGTTGATGTACTTTTTCATTTCAGTGTCCTACGTTACTATATTGGACATTTATATTTTCAATGTTTAGCTATTATAAATAGTGCTAAAATGAGCACACATGCATAATCTTTGTCTACACTTAAATATTTCTTTAGAATGGATTCTTGGGGTTGGAATTATTAGGTCATAGGTGATGCACTATTTACACTCTTGATGCCTATTTCTAAATGTTTTTCAAACAGACAGAATTAATTTATGTCCCTACATGTAGTGAAAGAGTCTCTTCCATTGTACTTTCTTAGATTTTAATAGTATCAACATTAAACCAAAAAGTATTATCAATATTAGATAAAATCGTATGTCATTTTTATTAGAAAAAGAGGGTCAAACATTTTCACATTTCCTGGCCAGTCGATTACTTCTTTAAAATTGCTCATATTCCGGGCGCCTGGGTGGCTCAGTTGGTTAAGCGACTGCCTTCGGCTCAGGTCATGATCCTGGAGTCCCGGGATCGAGTCCCGCATCGGGCTCCCTGCTCAGCAGGGAGTCTGCTTCTCCCTCTGACCCTCCCCCCTCTCATGTGCTCTCTCTCTCTCTCATTCTCGCTCTCTCAAATAAATAAATAAAATCTTTAAAAAAAATTGCTCATATTCCTTTTCAACTAGGAAACTGCTGATTGTCTTATTTGTCTTAAGACATGTCTTACCTACTATTAAGAATGTTCTATATATTAAGAATACTGATTATTTTCCCAGGGACACTTTTCTCTGCTCACTCGTCTGTGCAGAAAGAAGACCATGCTCCCTATCTGGTATACCTCAAGTCGCACTTCAACCCCTGCGTGGGTGTCCTCATCAAAAACAACTGGGTGCTAGCCCCAGCTCACTGCTCCTTACCGTGAGTACTGGGAACCCTCCCCCCCCAACCCCCCGCCGCCGGAAGCAGCTGTGATTCATTCTACATCAGTGGGTCTCAAATGGAGGCAACTTTCCCTTTCAGGGTACATGTGGCAAAGTCTGAAGATATTTTCGGTTTGTCACAATGCACTGAGGGGGTGTTGTGCTCTTGGCATCTATGTAGCAAATAGAGACCACAGCAAGGAGGCCACTGAACATTCTACAGTGCGCAGGCCAGCCCCCACAACAATCACCCAGCTCCAAATGTCAGTAGTGAGGAAACCCGCTCCACAGAGCATGCCTCCTCAGTTCTTTCAAGTTTTTTCCTGACAATATGAATGTGTCTAATCACTTAAGGGACCAGCAGGTAACTGAGGGTGCACTCAAATTGGACAAACTGAGAATAGTTCAGTGCTCCCAGGATTAGTATTGGAAAGGTACAGTTACTACCCCTAGGCCTAAGGGGGCAAGAGGAGAGAATGGTTACAAGAAGGGGAGTGGGGAAGGGTGGGGAGGACAGAGCGAGAGGAAGGGAGGAAGCACTGTGTGGAGGGATGGCCTGACAGGAAGCCCGGAGTGGCAACCCTGGGGGAAGGTAGCTGGGAGGATAAATACGCCAAACTCATCCTCCCTCCCATTGCTGCCTGGTGCTTGCTATCAACAAAACCTAATCAGAGAACAGAGGACAGGAGAATCCATTGATTTAATCTACATATATCACCTCCCAAAGGTAGAGAGCAGGATGAAGTAGGGTTGTGAGTGGATCTGATGAAGCCAACAGAGCTCCAACACCCCGGTCATCCCATTCTTTTATGTCCACCAGAATGCAAATGCCCAGTTGGATAGGCTGGAGCTGGAGCGGAGGGAAAGTAATATTTCTATGCCACGCACAATTGTCCTCTCTACTACATTAAGGATACTACATGAAAACACAGTGGTTAAAGGCTCCCCCTTTACTGTGTGACCGTGGGTGAATTACTACTATGTGCCTCCATTACTTCACTTGTAAAATGGATGAAAAATAGAATCCACTTCATAGTTTCATGGTGAGTAGTGAATGAGGTAATCCAGACTCCAGACAAAGCAACTGGCACAGTACCTGACACATTGTAACATCCGATATCATCTTTGACGACACAGTGATAATGATGACAATGATCATGATGATGACGGTGATGGTGACAGTGATTACTTCCAACCCCTTCTCCCTCCAGAAACCTGAAAGTGATGCTGGGAAATTTCAGGATCAGAGTCAGAGATGGCACAGAGCAGGCCATTAACCCCATCCAGATTATCCGCTACTGGAACTCTAGCCATAGCAACCCCCAGGATGACCTCATGCTCATTAAGTTGGCAAAACCTGCCAGACTCAATAACAAAGTCCAGCCCCTTCCCCTCGCCACCAGCAATGTCCGGCCAGGCACCGTCTGTCTGCTCTCAGGTTTGGACTGGAGCCAAGACAACAACGGTGAGTGTACCCCCCCCACAGCAAATCAGAGCCACCAGTCACTCCATAAGAGGAGCACCATGTCCACATAGCTGAGAAGAGAGGAGAGGAGAATGGGCAGAGACCACGACTGGTCTAGCAAAAAGAGACCCACCCACAAGTCCAAAACTCCTCCCTTCCTAGGATATTGACACGCCACTACCTCCTTGAGGCTTCAGGTGCTGGGGTCACCAGGCCATCTGACTCTGCACAGAGGCCACACCATTCCTGTCAGAGGCAGGACTCCCATTGAAGAGTCTATGCTCCTCCCCTGCATATGGCTCATTTTGCATGTAGAAAGAGGAACCTCAGAGAACCTAGGTCAGGTCACCTCTTATTCCCTCTAAGACTGGACACAGAGTAGAAAGGAAACTCTGTTTCTTAAAGAGACATAAAGGCTATTTTTAAATCCTCTGGATTAACTCTCAAAACAATGTACAAGATCATTCCCTTTTCTCATTCCTTTTTTCTTCAGACATACACCAGTGGAATAGAGGGTAGTGGTTGGAGGGGCTCCATAACAATGGCAAACAGGAAGGCTTCTTCTATCCTGTCTTCCCTCAGGCAGACACCCTGATTTAAGGCAGAACCTGGAGGCCCCTGTGATGTCTGATAAAGAGTGTCAGAAAACCGAACAAGGAAAAAGCCACCGGAACTCCTTATGTGTTAAATTTGTGAAAGTCTTCAGCCGAATTTTTGGGGTAATCTTTTTCTCTATATTCAGTTTTCATTTGCTTGTATGTGTCTAGTTAACCAATCATGACAGTAAAAAAAAAAAAAGTTAGAACACCCTCATCTCTCACAATTTTTTGAGAATTTGATAAGGTTGAAGCAAAGCCCCCAGTGTCCTTCAGTAATGGGCCCTCCTTACAGATGTCCTTATTCATTAAAGCGTGTCATGCAGCACCTCCACTTTGCTAGATTTATTATTTATTCTCATAGCTGCAGGTCAAAATGGGCTTAAAAAAATTCAAACTTCACAATGGAAACTGGTTTCACCAGTCCAGATAAAAATGGGGTTTGACTCATTTTACATGTGAGTTCTAGAGAGGTTTTTCTCTTTCTCAAGATGAAACAAGGCTAGAACTCATCTAAATCCAAAGCTAGCCAGCTTCCTGTCTCCTGATCCTGTGTTGTTTTCATGACCCAGCATGCTACCCCTGGGCAGAGCTCATCCATGTTGGGGACGAGAGGGCTCCTGTGACAAGATCTGATCATCTCTCTCTCTCTGTCTCCCTCTCTCTGCATGCTCTCTGGTAGGAAGTGGCCGTCGCTACCGTGATCTGCAAAAACAAGCTCCAGGGGATCGAGGTTGGACACTTCATGGGAGGAGATGTCGGAATCTACACCAATGTTCACAAATATATACCCTGGATTGAGAGAATCACTAAAGAAAAATGACACCTTACTACTCCCTCTGCATCCCACTGGCTTTGTCATTGACTCTACAAGCCACTACTTTCTCCAAACTCGAAATAAAATTTCCAAGTGGAAATGCATTACACCAGTAGCCCGTTTTCTTGGTTGTGTCTCTGCCCATATCCCACCATGATGTGAAGAACCAAGAACAAAACATGAAATGAGCACTTATCACACTGTACTAGGATATATCCATTATCTCATTTAATACTCGTAACAAATCCTTGAGGTTATCTTTCATTCCCACCTTACAAATGAGAAAGTTGAGAATAAAAAGAGTACTTAACATTATCTAAAAGATGATAGACATCACAGCCTGGAATGGAACCCCCAAATTCAGATTCTCAATCCCATGTTCTTAACCCCCAAATTATAGGGGGGTCTATGGCATCACAACATATTTTGGCTTCTATTTTCCTGCTACTTCTCTTATTCAAAGAATCTGAAGCTTTCACCTGTGGCTAAGATCATGGGTACTGGAATAATCTCTCCTAAGAATGGCATGCTTTCTCTCACTGCTGCGCTGACTGCAGCATGCTGCTGGGAGACAGCTAGGAAATGGGTAAGAAGTAAAAAACAGAACTTCGGGACAGGGTCACCCACCATAAATCAAGTCCAAGAGGAAGCCTAGCAACTCCAGAACAAGGTAAAAAACTCATCTAGATCCAAAGAGAGTAAAACCTCAGGGCAGTAGAAGATTCCAGAGGCAGATATGGCTGAGAGGAAGTGAAGGAAGGGCAAAAAACTGGGCTTAGCCACAGACCATGGGATTAACAAAGTCAAGAAAGTGGGTACCAGTCCTCTGGTTGAGAACTTGGTATAGAACTTGAGAACTGAGAACTCCAGGTGTCTCAAATCTGGAAATGATAAAGAAATTCTGGATCCAAGACATTGAGGAATACAGGACAAGGAGGGGTAAAGTAATCTCCTAGCAGATGTAGACTGAGGAAAGAACCACACACTATCCTTGGACAATATTTTCTATATCCTAATTTTAAAATACAGTCTATACTTCAGAGACTTTTGTGTTAGGCAGAATAATGGCTTCCTAAAAATGTCCATACCCTAGTCCCCAGAACCCATAAATAGGTTATTTTACATGAAAAAGGCAGCTTTGCAGTTGTGATTATGTTTATGCATCTTGGGATGGGAAGATTATCCTGGATTATGTGGGTGGGACCAGTGTAATCACCTGGGCCCTTAAAAGTAGAAGAGGAAGACAATATTTGGCCAGAGAGACGTGACAACAGAAGAGGTAGTAGAGATTCAAAGAATGAGAAGGACTTGACTGGCTACTGCAGGTTTTAAAGATGGAAGAAGGGGATTACAGGGCAAAAAATACGAGTAGTCTCTAGAAAAAAAAAAAGAAACAGAATGAAACTCAGCTTCCAACTAGCAAAGAACAGGGAACTTTAGTGCTATAATTGCAAGGAACTGAATTCTGACAACAACCAAAATGGGCAAGGAAATAGATTCTCCCCAATAAGAAACACAACCTGGACAACACCTTGATTTTAGCCCATTGAAATTTGTCAAACTTCTGACCTATGGTGCTGTTAACATAATAAATTTGCCATCAGTTTAAGGCATTTGTGGTAATTTATTACAGCAGCCATAGAAAACTAATACAACTTTCAAAACACATTCCCTAAAAGAACTGCTTTCCATAATGGCTGTCAATTGCCCGGAAAATAAACTCTAAACTCATCAGAATGGCATCCAAACCTCCTAGAGATCTCCCACCCACCCTACCCTACTCCCAAAATATTTCTAAATACATCTTCTGCCTTTTGACCCTGTGAAATGCAAATATGAGTAAAAGGAATGTCAGAAGAAAATGTAAAGAAAAGCCCAATGCCCTCTGCCTTTTAAGTTAGCAACCTGGTCAAGACCCAAACTTTACAAAATTAGATCCATTAAAAAAATTCCTCAAGGGGCACCTGGGTGGCTCAGTTGCTCTGGTGTCCAATTCTTGATTTCGGTTTGGGTCATGATCTCAGGGTCATGAGATCAAGCCCGAGTTGGGCTCCACTGGGCATGGAGCCTGCTTGAGATTCTCTCTCTCCCTCTCCCTCCCCACCCTGCTCTCTCTCTCTCTCTCTAAATATAAAATAAAATAAAATATTCCTCGAGCTGAAGGCAAGCCTTCAAGTGTTGAAGGCAAAGGCAACATTATCCCAGGCAAAGTATTTCCTCTCCCCCCACAGCCTATGACTTACACAAAGACAAATCAAATCAATCACTATACAATCAACTCCTCAGTGCAGGGTTTTTTCTACCAATTTTTTTCAATCCCATTAATTAGAGGGAGTTTCCCAGCCCAGTGACCAGAGGCAGCATGGGTTCTGGGACTAAACTATCAAGACTATGAACCATCAAGACTTCCCTGAGCGCCAAGCTGCAGCTCACAGATCGCTTTCCCTCTGCTCCTCCCTCCATTCCTGGCTCCTACATCCAAGGTTGTACTGTGTTCTCTTCTTGAAGGAGGTGCCAGCTGGTCTTCACTAACGTTATTTCACTGATCTCAAGCCCCTAAAACCCCAAAAAGGTTTTAGTTTGCGTTCTACCTTGGACAGAGAGGCAAGTTTACTCCAAAATAGGGCGCCTGGGTGGCTCAGTTGATTAAGCAACTGCCTTCAGCTCAGGTCATGATCCTGGAGTCCCGGGATCGAGTCCCACATCGGACTCCCTGCTCAGCGGGGAGTCTGCTTCTCCCTCTGACCCTCCCCCCTCTCATGCTCTCTCTCTCTCTTTCTCTCTCTCAAATAAATAAATAAAATCTTTAAAAAGATAAAAAAAAATTTAAAAATTTAAAAAATAAATAAAAAAAAGGTTTACTCCAAAATAAGAATACAGTTTTAAACAGGGCCCAGTGAGGTCACCCAATTCTCGTTTTTTTCTTAGATCTCTTCTTCTCAAGCTATATTCCCCACTTACTTGAGGTTTCTGAAAAAAAGATATCTAGTAACTTGTCCAAGACCATACAGATAATAAAAAGCAGATTAAGGATACAAACGTTGTCCAATTGACTACAAAGCCTGTGCCATTTCCTTTATGTTTTTCTATAACTACATTTCTAAAAACACAGATGTTTCTAGATACTTAAACTTGCTTCTTTCCTCACATATGGCAAAAAGCCCCTATTTAGATAACATAAGAAGTTTTATGGCTTCTCACATGATCTCTGATTTTAGCTCCTACTGAAAAATTCTTTGAGGTCTGTATATAGTGAGTCTTCACAATTCCTATTTAAATTTAAGGCGTCTCTAAACCCAGCAGGAGAAGAGAAATAATAAAGATCAGAGCAGAAATCAATGAAATAGACACCAAAAGAACAGTAGAACAGATCAACGAGACTAGGAGCTGGTTCTCTGAAAGAATTAACAAGACTGATAAACCCCTGGCCAGACTTATCAAAAAGAAAAGAGAAATGACCCAAATCAACAAAATCATGAATGAAAGAGGAGAGATCACAACTGACACCAAACAAATACAAACAATTATAAGAACATATTATGAGCAACTCTATGCCAGCAAATTAGATAATCTGGAAGAAATGGATGCATTCCTAGAGGTGTATCAACTACCAAAACTGAACCAGGAGGAAACAGAAAACCTGAACAGACCTATAACCACTAAGGAAATTGAAGCAGTAATCAAAAATCTCCCAAGAAACAAAAGCCCAGGGCCAGATGGCTTCCCAGGGGAATTCTACCAAACATTTAAAGAAGAATTAATACCTCAGGGGCGCCTGGGTGGCTCAGTCATTAAGCATCTGCTTTCGGTTCGGGTCATGATCCCAGGGTCCTGGGATCAAGTCCCACATCGGGCTCCCAGCTCAGCATGAAGCCTGCTTCTTCCTCTCTCACTCCCCCTGCTTGTGTTCCCTCTCTTGTTATCTCCCTCTCTGTCAAATAAATAAATAAAATCTTTAAAAAAAAGAAGAAGAAGAATTAATACCTCTTCTTCCGAAACTATTCCAAAAAATAGAAATGGAAGGAAAACTTCCAAACTCATTTTATGAGGCCACCATTACCTTGATCCCAAAACCAGACAAAGACCCCATCAAAAAGGAGAATTACAGACCAATATCCTTGATGAATGTGGATGCAAAAATTCTCACCAAAATACTACCCAATAGGATCCAACAGTACATTAAAAGGATTATTCACCACAACCAAGTGGGATTTATCCCTGGGCTGCAAGGTTGTTTCAACATCTACAAATCAATCAATGTGATACAATACATTAATACAAGAAAGAACAAGAACCATATGATCCTCTCAGTAGATGCAGAAAAAGCATTTGACAAAGTACAGCATCCTTTCCTGATCAAAACTCTCCAGAGTATAGGGATAGAGGGTACATACCTCAATATCATAAAAGCCGTCTATGAAAAACCCACAGCGAATATCATTTTCAATGGGGAAAAGCTGAGAGCTTTCCCCCTAAGGTCAGGAACGCGGCAGGGATGTCCACTCTCACCACTGCTATTCAACATAGTACTAGAAGCCCTAGTCACAGCACCAAAAAGACAACAAAAAGAAATCAAAGGCATCCGAATCAGCAAAGAAGTCAAACTCTCACTCTTTGCAGATGATATGATACTGTATGTGGAAAACCCAAAAGACTCCACCCCATAACTGCTGGAACTCATACAGGAATTCAGTAAAGTGGCAGGATATAAAATCAATGCACAAAAATCAGTGGCATTCCTATACACCAACAACAAGACAGGAGAAAGAGAAATTGAGGAGTCGATCCCATTTACAATTGCACCCAAAACCATAAGATACCTAGGAATAAATTTAACCAAAGAGGCAAAGAATCTGTACTCAGAAAACTATAAAAATACTCATGAAAGAAATTGAGGAAGACACAAAGAAATGGAAAAATGTTCCATGCTCATGGATTGGAAGAACAAATATTGTGAAGATGTCAATGCTACCTAGAGCATCTACACATTTAATGCAACCCCTATCAAAATACCATTTTTTTCAAAGAAATGGAACAAATAATCCTAAAATTTGTATGCAACCAGAAAAGACCCAAATAGCCAGAGGAATGTTGAAAAAGAAAAGCAAAGCTGGTGGCATCACAATTCCAGACTTCAAGCTCTATTACAAAGCTGTGATCAACAAAACAGTATAGTACAGGCACAAAAACAGACACATCGATCAGTGGAACAGAATAGAGAGCCCAGAAATGGACCCTCAACTCTATGGTCAACTAATCTTTGACAAAGCAGGAAAGAATGTCCAATGGAAAAAAAAGACAGTCTCTTCAACAAATGGTGTTGGGAAAATTGGACAACCAGATGCAGAAGAATGAAACTGGACCATTTCCTTACACCACACATAAAAATACTCAAAATGGTTGGAAGACCTAAATGTGAGACAGGAGTCCCTCAAAATCCTAAAGGAGAACAAACACAGGCAGCAACCTCTTCGACCTCAGCTGCAGCAACTTCTTCTAGAAACATCGCCAAAGGCAAGGGAAGCAAGGGCAAAAATGAACTATTGGGATTTCATCAAGATAAAAAGCTTCTGCACAGCAAAGGAAACAGTCAACACCAAAAGACAACCGACAGAATGGGAGAAGATATTTGCAAATGACATATCAGATAAAGGGCTAGTATCCAAAATCTATAAAAAACTTATCAAACTCAACACCCAAAGAACAAATGATCCAATCAAGAAATGGGCAGAAGATATGAACAGACATTTCTGCAAAGAAGACATCCAAATGGCCAACAGACACATGAAAAAGTGCTCAACATCACTTGGCATCAGGGAAATCCAAATCAAAACCTCAATGAGATACCACCTCACACCAGTCAGAATGGCTAAAATGAACAAGTCAGGAAACGACAGATGTTGGCGGGGATGCGGAGAAAGGGGAACCCTCCTACACTGTTGGTGGGAATGCAGGCTGGTGCAGCCACTATGGAAAACAGTACGGAGGTGGCTCAAAAAGTTGAAAATAGAGCTACCCTATGACCCAGCAATTGCACTACTGGGTATTTACCCCAAAGATACAAATGTAGGGATTCGAAGGGGTATGTGCACCCCAATGTTTATAGCAGCAATGTCCACAATAGCCAAACTGTGGAAAGAGCCAAGATGTCCACTGACAGATGAATGGATAAAGATGTGGTGTATATACAATGGAATATTATGCAGCCATCAAAAAAATGAAATCTTGCCACTTGCAACAATGTGGATGGAACTAGAGGGTATTATGCTAAGCGAAACAAGTTAATCAAGGAAAGACAAGTATCATATGATCTCACTGATATGAGGAATTTGAGAAACAAGACAGAGGACCATAGGGGAAGGGAGGAAAAAATGAAACAAGATGAAACCAGAGAGGGAGACAAACCATAAGAGACTCCTTATCTCAGGAAACAAACTGAGGGTTGCTGGAGTGGTGGGGGTGGGAGGGATGGGGTGGCTGGGTGATGGACATTGGGGAGGGTATGTGCAATGGTGAGTGCTGTGAATTGTATAAGACTGATGAATCACAGACCTGTACCTCTGAAACAAATAATACATTATATGTTTAAAAAAAAAAGAAGATAGTAAGAAGGGTAAAATGAATGGGGGCAGAAATTGGAGGGGGAGATGAACTATGGACTCTGAGAAACAAACTGAGGGTTTTAGAGGGGAGGGAGGTGGGGGGATGGGTTGGCCTGGTGATGGGTATTAAGGAGGGCACGTATTGCATGGAGCACTGGGTGTTATACTCAAACAATGAGTCATGGAACACTACATCAAAAACTAATGATGTAATGTATGGTGACTAACATAACATAATAAAATTTTTAAAAATTAAAAAAAACTCAACAACCAAAAAACAAATAATCCAATTAAAAAATGGGCAGAAGACATGAACAGACATTTCTCCAAAGACATCCAGATGGCCAACAGACACATGAAAAGATCCTCAATATCACTCATCATCAGGGAAATGCAAATCAAAATTACCATGAGATATAACCTCACACCTGACAGAATGGCTAAAATCAAAAACACAAGAAACAACAAGTGTTGGCAAGGATGTGGAGAAAAAGGAATCCTCATGCACTGTTGGTGGGAATGCAAACTGGTGCAGCTACTGTGGAAAACAGTACGGAGGTTCCTCAAAAAACTAAAGATTGAATTACCATGTGACCCAGTAATTCCACTACTAGGTACTAACCCAAAAAAATACCAAAACACTAATTCAAGGGTACACATGCACCCCCATGTTTATTGCAGCATTATTTACAAGAGTCAAGCTACAGAAGCAGCCCAATTGTCCATCAATATATGAATGGATAAAGAAGATGTAGTATATATATACAATGGAATATTATTCAGCCATAAAAAATGAAATCTTGCCATTTGCAACAACATGGCCGGATCTAGAGAGTATAATACTAAGTGAAATAAATCAGAGAAAGACAAATACCATACGATTTCATGCATATGTGGAATTTAAGAAACAAAACAGATGAGCAAAGGGAAAAAAAGAGAGGGAGACAAAACCAAGACAAACCAATAGACTCTTAACTAGAGAGAACAAACTGATGGTTACCAGAGGGGAGGTGGGTGGGGAGGATGGGCGAAATAGGTGATGGCAATTAAAGAGAACACTTACCATGATGAAAACATAAAATAATAAAAATTTAAAATTGATATACACACATACATACACACACACACACATCTCACCTAAATTTCAGGGTTAAAAGCCCACTATCTATCTACATGATATAATGACATTTATTTCACCTAAGGAAATTAAGCACCTATAAGATTTTTATACATCCACCCATAAAATATTATATTATACATTAATATTATAAAATATCAATTATATATACATATACATAGGTGCATGTACACATACACACACACACACACACACACACGTGTGTGTGTGTCTATATATGTATATATTAGCAGCCTGGGGTGGGTTTTTCAGGCTGGACATACAGTGCTTCTGACACCCTTTTGAATATTTTCTTTTTTTTTTAAGATTTTGTTTATTTATTTGAGAGAGAGAGAGCATGAGCACAGGAGTGTGTGAGGGAGAAGGAGAGGCAGACTTCCTGCTGAGCACGGAGCCAATGCAGGGCTTGATCCCAGGACCCAGAGGTCATGACCAGAGCCAAAGGCAGACACTTAACTGAGCCACCCAGGTGCCCCTTGAATATTTTCTTCTTGTCTTAGAATATAAAGCTTTATAACTGGGCATGATCCTACACTGTCACAGTCTTTCCACATACCTTGTGATATAGTTAAAAAAAACTGGATTTTAGAATCAGAAGACAAATTGGAGCCTTGGATCCACCTTTTCCTAGTTTATGAGCCATTTATAATACCTGTTTGTACCTCAATTTTTTCATCTGTATGATGGGTAATACCAACATTTTCTATGAAGTTGTAAGGAACCAATAAAACTGCATGTGAAAATGTAGCTCAGACAATATTGGGCTTTAGCAGGAAGGGAAAAATGAAGGGGGGGGAATCCGAGGGGGAGACGAACCATGAGAGACTATGAGCTCTGAGAAACAAACTGACAGTTTTAGAGGGGAGGGGGTGGGGGGATGGGTTAGCCCGATGAAGGGTATTAAGGAGGGCACATATTGCATGGAGCACTGGGTGCTATATGCAAACAATGAATCATGGATCACTACATCAAAAACTAACGATGTAATGTATGGTGACTAACATAACATAATAAAATAAAATAAAATAAAATTTTAAAAATTTTTAAAAAATTAAAAAATAAAGTTAAATGGCAATGTGCTCAAGCTATAGCTACCACACTGTGTACTTCATACAAGACACTGCCCTGACCCCACCCTTCATTTCCAGAGAGTTCCTCTTCTTAACAAAGAGTTTTAAACATCCCTCCCTTTCCTGAATAGGCAGAGAATATAGGGAGGTGCAGGATATTGCTTATATTGCATGTTGGACGTCATAATCTTGACGCAGTACAAGGCATTGAGCAAGGTGACAAGCCAGAGACTATTAAGAGTCCAAAAACATCCAACACAACAGGAAAAAAGTAGATAAGTGCACTGACCTTTCCACATTTGGAGAGATGAAGAAGTAGACGATGTTGAGTGAAACAGTCCCAGCATAAGAAATCTGGTGATGCCCAAGCTGAAGAGGATCCTATTAGAAGAGGAGATTCTGGGGATTTTGAGCCAAGTCTGATAATTAACCACTGCGATAAACAGATTCACAATGAGTCCTGCAAAACTCAAAACTGCTGAGACAATAATGGCAGGGAAAAAGAATATCTGAAGCATCTTTCCTCACTAAGAACTTTGCAGCCATGGTTCGGACACTGGTAACAGGAGAAATACTGAGATGCGCAAGTAGGCGCCAGGACCCAGCCAGGAAGGACATTCCTTTTCTAATTGTCTCCAGTGTGGCAAATGATCCATTAATGGTCTAGAAGCCAGCTGCTTTTCCTGAGATGCAAATCTTCCCATGATTGCATTACTATTTCTTCATTCATATCCTGTTTTCCTTAGAAATGCCTGATTAAAATGGCCCCAGTGAACCTGGGAGTCCTCTCTGCCAAGAGAAGGACAGCTGGAGGGAAGAGTTATGGAAGGCTCCAAGGACTTCAAATCCAAGTGACAGAACTCCAGTCCAGCAATGTCTCTGTCCCTGTTTCACAGGGAATGAAGCTTTTCTTCAGAGCAACCCCAGAAGATGGTGGGAATTCCCAGGCTTCACTCCTACCCACCCAACCTCATCCACACAACCGTAGATTACTGAAATCCAGCTTCTCTCTCCCCTGTAACCTGTTGATATGTTGCAGCCCTATTTTCTCCATCTCTCATCTGGCCGTGCCAACGTTACCGTTTCATCCCTGAGCACACACAGTGATTGACAGTTACAAAAAGACCAAGTTCAAGGACTTCACACTTCCTCAAGAAAGCCTTTTCTCAATTAATTCCATCTATCAGGATGATTCCTTTACTTTGCATTCCCTCACCCATCACATACATTTGTGCTATAATCATTTGCTGTGATATGCTGTGCTTGGAAAAAATATCAGCCATTTCATGTGTTTCCTTTATAGACGTGAGTTTATGCTTAGATCACATGGGGCTATTTCTTCTTAGGCATTTAGCTGCAAATCAAAGTACTCTGATTCCAAATCCACAGTAATGCTTTAGCTATAGTTTTGCATCTCATTGCCTGATTCCTCTGTAATTTCTCAGACAGGAAAGGGCACAGTAAGAGGCAAATTATATTATCGAAGACTATAAGTGAACGCAAGAGTATGGCATCTCTTATCTACTCTAGCAGTTGGGGGGACCCAAGGCGCAAACCTCGATGCAGCCACATATAGGTTACCAAACTAGCATCAAAATAAAGTATACAAAGTCCTGTTACTTTGTACGGGAACAGAAATACAAAGAGACGAATAAAAGAATAGAATAGATGAACAGAAGCTAAGATATGATATAAAGACCACCAGGTCCAGAAGAGAGTGTACATTCATGAGGTCCTTTAAGACAGGTGACAGGAAAGCAAGCCTGGAGGGATTCCCTGAGCTGGAGCCAGTGGCTTACAAAAGCATTTGTATAAAACTAAGAGGCACATGACAGAAGTATGCCCACATCAGTTAACCAGGTAAACACAGAGTGAACAAGCAAGGCACTGCAAGGGAAGATTATATCATAGCACATATTTCCACTTAATTATTTATAAAATAGATTACTGCGTTAAAGTAATTAAGTTAAAATATTATGAATATCACATTTAAACAGAATAAATAATACGGAGTAAGATCTAAGAATTAAATGTTCCAAAAGGGGTGGGGGAACCCCATACTGGCCAGCAAGAGACCTCATTTGAAATGTGATATACAAGGTTGTTGGGTTCAGTAGCAGGAGGCACTATAATTAAGATGTGATCATGTTGGCTAGAGTCACCAGTGACCACACAGGTTCTGTCAGATGTTATTTCCGAAAACGCCAGTATAGGAAAAGCATTAACAAAACCCTTTTTCCCTCTGCACGAGAACTTTACCTTCAACTAAATATAAATATCATATGGCTACTCCCTGCTTTGGGCTTCCTTGAGTGTGGTGACTCCTCTGATATGTGTGTGTCATTTTTTTATTTTATTTTTTATTTTTAAAGATTTTTATTTATTTATTTGAGAGAGAGAGAGAGAGAGCATGAGCAGGGGGAAGGGCAGTGGGAGAGGGAGAAGCAGACTCTCCGCTGAGCAGGGAGCCTGATATGGGACTCCAACCCAGGACCGTGGGATCATGACCTGAGCCGAAGGCAGATGTTTAACCGACTGAGCCACCCAGGTGCCCCTGATGTGGGTGTCCTTTGACTCAACCTTGGCAGCTATGTCTATGAAATTATTTAGAAGAGAAATTGGCACCTTAGGGACATGAATCTTTTTAGGACAGTCCCTACACAACTGTGGATCAGTTAGGATCTTCTCCTAGCATCTCAGCTCTATGGCCGCAGCCAGGACTCTGCAAAAGAGGAAGACCTGATGCTGCCCTGCTCATAAGCTAGGTGCCTGAACCATATCCACCTGAGTAGACCGGTGCCAGAGGCCTAAGATAGCCTTGTTAAGTCTTACTATTTACTGAAGCCCAAGAAGACCCACTGGTGGTGGGTGCACTGTAGTCATGAGTCCAAACTCTAGATTCATCTGGCAGATCTGTCAGGAAAACTTTAGGGCAAACAGTCAAAGCAAAAGGATGATTTAGCTTATTTGATGAAGGCTTTGAAGAATGAGAGCAGTCATGAATAAAGGGGAATTACAAACTGTGAGCTGTTTTCAACAGAGTACTAATGTTGCTCAGGAGGAAGAAAGAAGGAAACTTCCACTTCTTGGGCTGTTTTTAGTGCTTACTCTGTTCCCAGCACTGCACCAGGCATCTTAAAACTCCGTTAATCCTTAAAACAGTTCTGGAAGGAAGATATGGTTATCCCTATTTAGAGGTGAGGAGAATGAAGATGAGAGAGGGTAAGTGGCTGCAAGATAGCACAGAAAATCAGTGGCTAAGGTGTAAGGTCTCTCTGAGGCTGAGCTCTTTCCACTGTTGCCCTCATTGGTTCGTTCGTTCAATAAACTGTCACCATCAGCCAGGCACTGTGTTAGGTGCTGAGAAAACAGAAGAATCACACACAGCACATCCTGCCTTCAAAAAACACACAGAAATGGGGCACCTGGGTGGCACAATCGGTTAAGGGTCCAACTCTTGCTTTTGGCTCAGATCGTGATCTCAAGGTCGTGAGATGGAGCCCTGCGTCTGGCTCTTGCACTCATCACAGAGTCCGCTTGGGATTCTCTCTCCCTTTCCTTCTGTGCCTCCCACTCATGCTCTTTCTCTCTCTCAAATAAATAAATAAATCTTTAAACACACACACACACACAGAATAGTGGAGAGATGGACGAAAAAACAGAGCTCAGTGTTTCTGGTGCTATGTGAAGGAAAAACAGAGTGTGGGGGGAGGTTCAGGAGGGGCCCTTGAGCCTCCTGTCTCAGAGGACTAGACCTGTCTTGGCACTCCACGGGGCTCCAGCCCTGGCTGAGAGCAGCCTGCAGGAAGTATGGCCATGCAGTGGTGGATCCCAGCAGCAGAACAGAGCAGTGCACGGTTGTGGCTGTCACAAAAGGAGACTAGAGACAGAGATCACTGGGGCCAGAACCCTTCATCATATTTGAAGCATTTGTTTCAGTGACGCAGAGATGAAATAGTTGTTTGCATGTCTTTATTGCCCACTAAGTGTGATATTTTTGAGGAGAGCAACTGGTATCTAATATGGTGCTTGGTGCAAAGTGACTGTCAGATAAATGTCTGCAGTATAAACGAATGAACTGGAATCAGATGAGCGAGAATCAAAATGGTGTGAGAAATTTATTTATGCCTAGAATATTATAGCAGCATCTGGCAGCTAGCTGGAACCCATCCCTTTCTCAAAGAGATCTGCTAGATGGGCCATAAGGGTACAACCCCGAGCAACCAAAAAAAGTTCAGAAATTTCCCTCTCTGGCCACGAGTACCCTATTTAGCAACAGATGGGTAGCAAGGCTAGACAGAACACACAGAGAAACTCCACTCATGAGCTTCTGAAAAAATATTTTTCAGAGTTAACCTAGAAATGCTGCTCTGGTCATTTGGCCGGCTCCACCAACTCGCACTGACAATTTCATTATAGGGAGATCGACAAAATGTATTCACTTGGCAAACTCATATGTGCAGAGAAAAAAATAAAGTTCTTAATTTTGTCTAAAGGTAATACAGTTTTTCTCCTGAGACCCTACCTGCTGGTTGGGGGTAAGTGTTTAATCCAATGAGATAACGAATGTCTTCAGAAAAATTTTCAGGCTCTTTAGATTTAAAAATTAAAATCTGAGACATCATCCCCCCTGCCATGCTTCTCCCCTTTAATTAGGGTCTGGGTGTACGGAGAGAAGGACGGAGATTAATGCTACCTCGTGGTGTCAGAGAAAGGCCATGCCCTCTCTCCCTCAGTGTCCTTGTCTCCTCTGGCTTCCAGGGAGAGGTCCTTGTTCCTTGGTTGCTGCTTGGCCCGCCTCCATTCAGGCCTGAGTGGGTGCTTTTAAGCAGTCCTCAAAGAGAGGGGAAATCTGGACTCGCACCTGCCCTCCTTGCAATCCCTTTTCGGTCTCCGTCTTCCCGCTCCCACCATCCCCTGCGGACCAGAAGGAGCAGGCTTTCGCTTAGACCGTGTCCTCTTATACCACCAGCAACACCGTCATGAGACTAGAGCTCCATGAGGCACATTCTCCGGGCTCAACCCCTGATAAGCTAAAATGCTAGTAGCTGATATTTGTTGTGTAGTTACTAAGCTTTAGTTGCTAAAATACTTTACATACATTGTCTTCCTTAATCCACACACCAATCCTATGAGGTGTTTTATAAAATTACCTATTTTATAGCGAAGGGAACTGAAGTCCAAGGAGGTTTAGCAACTTGCCAAAGATCATGCACCTATTAAGTGATGAGGTCAGGATTTGAATCCAATGTGTTAGGCTCCAGAAATAACGCTCTTAGTCCCTATAGTATACATTTTTCTAGCCCAGCAAAATGTAGAAACACCAGAAAATAACATACAATGTCATCAGCAGTTGTTGGGAGTTTTTGAGGTCATTTTTGCTTTCTTAAAACAAAACTTTTTGCAGAATATCAACAGAATATCAGACTTTGTCTTCCACCTATCTCAAGGCAAGAAAATCACAAATACAACTCTAAGACCTAGACAGCTCTGTTCATCAACTTGGTAAATATCAGGGGCATTATTTAAGGCAAAAGGCACTGAAACTTTAGTTTAGAAATGTTGGAATGTATTTTGGGTTTTTTTTTTTTAGTTTTGTTGTTTATTTATTTTCATTTATGATCCTTCTACACCCAAACTACAGCTCAATCTCATTAAGGATCAGGATCTGTGAACTCGGCCCAAGAGTTCAGAGAACACTAAAAATGAGAAGTAGGGGCCTCTGATGGAAAATTGGAAGGTCTCATGAGCTATTGTCATAAGTTGCTGTTGATTCACGTGTTAATACACCAAAAGCAATATACCCGCGATGCACTGAAGAACACATATGTTTGAGAGTGGTGGCCTTGGGAACACAAGCTCTGGCAGGCAATTGTACTCCAAATGCATGGACAATTCTCATCCTCATACTTTGACCCAAGGAACCTGCTCATAGTGGGGGAAAGCCATGCTCTGGTCCTTGTTCATGAAACAACTAGATTTGAGAGTCTTAAGGGATTTTAGTAACTAAAACTAATTCACTGAAGTAAAACAAAACAAACAAGATGGCCTCTCAGGGTTTCTCAAAACAGGGCCTGAGGTATTAGGTAATTCTTCCCCAGGTACTGGGGACTCATTGAAGAGCTGCCAGGGGGTGCCTGGGTGGCTCAGTCAGTTAAGCCTCTGTCTTCAGCCCAGGTCATGATTCTGGGGTCCTAGGATTGAGCTTCATGTTGTCGTAGGGCTCCCTGCTCAGCAGGGAGCCTGCTTCTCCCTCTCCCACTGCCCCTCCCCCTGCTCATACTTTCTCTCTTTCCCTCTCTCAAATAAATAAATAAAATCTTTAAAAAAAAAAAAAGAGTTGGCAGATTAAGTATTCCCCCTCTATTTAGAAGACCAGATCCTCTCCAAAATAGCCAAAACTTCCCGGCATCGTGCCTCTAGCAACAGATGAGAGACTCCTTTCCTCAGCAACTCACCCACTACCCAGACTCATGTCCCCACTCTCACCCCTAACTTTGATTAATGGCAGTCCACATGTGACTGATGTCATATAATAGAGTCCGATATTTTCCAGAAGCCACCTCCAAACTTCTCTGAGCAGCTGGGGATACCACACATATGAATCTGATTTCCTCTACTCTCAGGGAAGGTAACTGTGCACTCAGCCAACTGGACTACATCAACACACTCCCACTCAGAATTCTGTTTCCATCCACACTCCAGTGAAGTGACTAACAGTCCTAACTTCAGCCTGTTCACTGCACCGTATCTGAATCTGTTAGGTCAGGGTAGGATTTAATGGAGCCACAGTGGGAACAGGAGGGAGGGATTCTTCAGAAGTTAGCCAAAGACACCAAGAACCAAAAAGCAGCTAAGCCAAAGCCTCCAGTAAAATGTTACATTCAATTAAAAGAGAGAATTGAATCTTACATTCAATTAAAAGAGAGAAAAACCCCCACACCTAAAATAGAAGGCAGAATCAGGAAGTCAGCTTAAGGACCAAAGAACCAGAAGGTCAGAGCTAAGCAGAGAAGTCGTCCAAGTGACAGAAAGTAGAAGCAAGTGTTCAAGAGTGGGTGACAACGAATTCAAGAGTGGGCATCTGGGTTAAGAAAGCAGGTGCCAATCAAAACAGCATGGATTTCCATAGTTACACTTCCCTGTGCTGGAAAGCAGCACAGATTTTTACTAATTACAAAAGTACCCATTTCAGAATCCCTATATTGTAGTGAATTATGAATGAATATTAAACAATTATTTTAAGTTTCAACAGATACCTTTCTGAAAGAGAATTTTATGTCAGAATTAGGAATTTTCCTTTTTTTATTATGTTCAATTAGCCAACATATAGTACATCATTAGTCTTTGATGCAGCAGCTTCAAGAAGCAAGTATCAATTTGAAAACAAACAGTGCAGACCAAAAGACATTTATTCCTGTAACTTTAGAAATGAATACATAAATCCCAGAACAATCCCCAAATTAATTTCTGGTTACATATGACCAAATGCCAAGTAGTATGGTAATCCTTAATGCTATGTCAAAATATCACTCATTCCACAAAATAACAATAATAACAGCAATAATAGTTATTGTTTACTCCACCTGGGACTCTAAGCACTTTTCATCTGGTAACTCACTCGCTCCTTCCAGCAACCCTATCAACAACATACTATTACTATTCCCATTTTATAAATGAAGAAGGTGAAATAGAAGAGAAAAAACTTCCCCAGAGTCACCCAGTTCACAGGGGCTGGGTCTAGAACACAGGTATATGCTTTCAGGGTCCAGATTCATAGCCACAACCCTCTACACCTGACAGCCTGTTAACGACAGAAAGCTGGATTCAGATTTGCCATGGGACCTAACTGTATACATTCATGAGTCTGAGAATTCTTCATGATCGTAAGTAATAACATTCTCACTGACTTCCTGACACTGTTCAGTGATAGGATATAAATCAATGCCTGTGTAACTGTATTAAAAGAAAATGTATTGAACTTATAAAAACTGCTTATATTATTCTTTTATAAAACTCTCAAGTTTTCAAAGCTCATATGCATCTTGGTTAGGTTAAAAAACTGCTTGGACTTTTGCCCAATCTAAAAAATAAAAAATTACTTGGCAATTTACTTCAGCCAAATGATAAAGGAATGCCAGGACTACTGAAGTAAAATGACCACCACCAGCCTGGACTGGAGCCTAATAGCCAAGGGTCTCGATTCTCATTCCCCTGCTTTTGTCCTCACACGGTGGATGTGTGGAAACTCACCTCCTGTGCGAACTGCTCCTGCTGCACAATTCACTGTCAGTCAGATACCAGCTTCATGGAGCGAGGGCTCTATAGAGTACGCTGGGACATGCTGCCTCCTGAATCCCTAGTACCCTGTGAAGTCAGGGTCACCGTCTGCATTTCAAGATGAGGGAAGAGAGGATCAGAGAGAAAATGAAAGTAACTCACCAAAGGCCAAAAGTCTTGGAAATGGACAGAACCAGAATTCAAGCCCAAGTCTGTGGAACTGCAAAGCTTTTGCTCTTTCCCTCAGGCCCAATACACTGTTTTGTTTACATCAGCTCATCACTGTCCCTATAAACTTGAAGTTAAAGCTAGGAATCAGCTCATCACGTTGATAGGTATTAAAATACAACTCCACATCTATCTATACAGTGAGTGTTCTTACTATATTGACATTTTCCAGAGACTGTTTCACTCTCTCCAAAACCACCATACAAAAAGAAGCCATGAGACGTGTCCCCAGTGGGCCAAGGCAATGCAGTCGTGTCTCTCTCCTCCTGATGTCACAGGACGGGTGCCATGGAAGGGTCAGGAAAAGCCCTTAGCCTTGAGCCAGACCGAAGGTACTCCAAGGCTCCCACCTGTGCCCTCAGTCACTCTATGGGGCAAAAGGTCCCTTGAATCCAGGCTTCCAATGGCCAGGCTCACACCACAGCATCTCCACAAACGTCTGCTTCAGCCTGTTGTTCCCCAGAATGAGAATGAATGAGTGGCTAGCAGTATAAAACATTGTAACTACTTCTCCGATTATATTAACCATCTCAGATTCTGGTATGAAATAACTGGATGATGTAATCAAAAAGGCCAGAAAGTAAAGCAGGAAGAGAAAGAAGAAAGATGATGATTTTGATGGCTCTCTGGTGGGCCTCAGTGCTTGGATCTCTGCAGCTGATGCCGCCTTGCTGCAGCTGCTGCACGTGTCTCCCCAGGGAAAGGATGAGCAGAAAGTAGGTGGCCAGAGACACAATTAGGGAAGGGAGGTTCCAAAGAGTCCCAAGAACATGGATCACTTTGTATTCATTTCTTTTCTTTCTAAAGTGCTCGGTCACATTCCCTGTGCCTTTGATCCCACTGAGAACAGATCTTAAGTTCCTGGATCAGAGACATGGCACTGACACACGATAAGAACAGGGCACCCAAAATCATGTGTACGACCACCCTGGAAACTCTCCACTTGAGCCAGAGGAATGTAGGAGGGGAGAAACTGGCAATTTTCAGGCAGTAGAGGACACTGAGACAGGTGGCAAGCCAAATGCTCAGGTGGTTTGTAAATGTCCAGAAAATATCAATAATTTGCATCACTAACCCTTCATCATGTATTTTGGAAGAGAACACCATTAAAACACCATCAACCAAGAGAATCCACAGCAGAACGATCCTGGAGAGAGCCAGGTTAGTGACGATGAAGTCAGACAAAGAGACTGTCTTGTTCTTGAACCAGCTGCTGCCATTGACCAATACTATGAAACCATTCCCCAGCATCCCCAGAATGAACTCAGTGGCAAACAGAACCAGGAACATCCATTTCTCCAGCCCTGACATGTCAGCTACCAGGTAGACCTGACCTTGTTCTTTCTGTTGATGGGCAATCTCCTTGCTGACTTGAAATTTCTCTCTCTGAATCTGTCACTTCTACCTGTTGCTTCACTGTACCTGTCTCTTGTCTCTGCCCAATTTAGTCTGTTGTAGAGCACAGTTTAGTGAACCCTCTCTGGATCTTTCCGATTAGTCTGTCCTCTTCACAGATGGCATGGACTGTCACATTCCACTTATGGTCTAAACTCAGTAGCTCTTTGCCAAAATGCAAATGGAGTAGTATTCAATGTCACCAAAGAAGGAAGAGATCTGACTCACAAAGAAGGTGAGGATTTGCACTCGATTCCGAAGGGAGGGGGGTTCCGAGCCACCCAGGACAGAAAGGTGCATGACCAGAAGAGTCATACAGAATCACTCTGAAGAGTAAGAAGTCTTCTTCCTGGGAGGAGAACTCAGGGACACACACAGAAAGGGGGAGATCAGAATTCCACCAGAAGGCACTATCAAAGTCACTCTGGAGGGAGGTTTAAGTGCATGAAACAGAGAAAGTTCAGTGCCACTGGTCCTGGGTTAGAATTAAAAGGTGTGCCTCTTAGAGTATGCCTTACATGAGGGGGCTCCAGGTTCTACCCTAGTGAGCCATATCATGAGAAATTCTTAACTATTGGGGAATTTAAACGATAACAATAATGAATTATAGCCTATAAGCTCTTGTAGATTTTCAGAGTGCATGACCACTGTATCAATACGTCAACAGTTGTTCAGGCTGATAGAAATCACACACAGACAATCTCTTCAACCAAAGAAGCCTTATTTATGTAAAACAGTGCCTTACAAATTTTGACCACGGCCAACAGTAATACTTTTTATATGGTTTTATACATATCACCTATATGTACATATTTTGCTGGGAACACAAAGGGTTCACAAAACAATTATTTCCCTTTTCTAGATGTGTGGCAGTCTGATATTTTCTATCCTGTTCTATTTCTTCCAATGCTGCTTGCATATTACAAACTTCATTTTACAACCTACGAATGAGTTGTGATAAGTACTGTTTGAAAATACTGATCTGAAGGATGGAGAGAGAAATCAATGCCATCAAGATACAAAGCAGAGAGTTTAGCAACACTTTCCAAATAATGGAGAGATATATTTTCAGGTCCCCTGAAAAGGACCTCACACAGTAGTGGATGAAAAATCTGCACAAACAATACATAGTCTCTGCTGGATACATGCCAAGGAGCCAGGTGAACCTCATCAGTCTTGGCATTATGTGGTATACAGTATGATTACAGAGCACTACCAAGAATACTCGGACATAAACACAGTCCTCCTTAATCACCCTCAGCTTTCTAGGGCTAACTTTACAACCTGGCCAAATGCTCCTGAACTCTGTGCTACAGAATTAGAATAAGGTAGTAGAAGATGAGGAAACCATAAACAGCTAGCGCAGTGCCCCAGGGCTCGGAACAGTGGGGCACCACATTGCCATACCACTCCGAGAAACAGAGGGCTATGTGGAAGGGACCTCCTGACAGTCGCTGAGATTTTTCAGTTGGGAGACCCCAAAGAGAGTGCGCTGAGAGAATAAACCTCAAAACACAGGCCAGCAGACTAACAAGACACTGCACTATCATCTTCCTCCACTTCATTATTCTGGCACTTTCTCCACAGGGACTTGGGCATCACATTCCAGGTCTTGGCATCATTCCTGCTCTGATACTAGCATGATAACTGTGTTGAAAAGCATCAGCCATACACTCAGACTGACAGCAAGACAAGTCACAAATAATATCCCTTTCTATCAACTGAGGTTCACTAATCTGCAGAATACAGAAGGAAATCAGCATAGCCGGGTATATACAGCAGAGAGATTGACCTACAGTGATAAGTGGGTGCAGGCTTCTGGGTCCCTTAAAATCCTTACCTGGAGAGTGCACAATGGCAAGTTGTAAGTCTGAGTAAGCAGGCATTTCATCAGAGTCCCGAAGGCCCACCCTCAAACCATATATGCATGTATACATTCTCTATGGCTAATTTGGATGTGTGCATCTTACCAACCTTGGTCTTACACTGCATACAACCCCACTACAGAACACCGTAGCTTATGGCCCTCTCCAAACAAATACAGGCCTCATTGATCACCTTCAGTTCCATCCCCCAAACTGATAAAACTGTTTTACAAAAACAGAACAAGAGTCTATTCTCCAGATGCTTTCAATACCAAGCTACCATGCTAACACACCAGCTTCAGGCCCTATCCTGTCATAATGTTACCCAAAAATGTTTATCCAGTCTTTTTCTACCAGACACTGGGGACAGGGACATTCCTCCGGGATCTCTCTACTCCTGCACACACCTTGCTGAGTGTGCTAAGTATCCAAGGCCCGGAAACTTATCTGGGGCCATTTCGTGAAGCGAGCAACCAGAAAGGAGGAGGTAATGTGCCCCTCCAGGACAAGGAGCAGGCTTGTTTACTGCTTGCTATAAAAGCTGCATGTTCTCCAGGCTCAGTGTATCTCTCCATAATGAAATCCATCTCAGCCCTGTGCATTGCCCCTAGGAACTCTCGGGACAAAGGGAACTGATACAATCATGCTGGTGTTCATGCTGCTTGTTGTGCTGCCAATAATATGATCACCTTTCTCTGATCCAGAGGTTTCATGTTTTCTGCCAGCTTCCACGAAACAGTAACAGGCTAACTCACTAGCTTGTCAACAGGGTAAAATCAAATCCCAAATCCACCGCCAACCTCAATTTGATCACCACAGCTTTCAATAGCCTATTCTAGTTATTTTCTCCCTCAAACCCATAACCCCCGCCTATACTCTGCTCTATACTGTGGGGTTTGGGATTCTATAAACCATTTCCCAGATACCCTCTCCAGATGCTTTGCTGTTGGTAGCTGCCAATATGAAAACTGGCAGATGAGCAGGAAGGAGAAAGAAAACTCCTGCTTCTCACTCCAACAGGGTGTCACTTGGTGGCAATTCCTTTGACTAGGGAAAGACTGATGATTGCAGACTCCAGGAACCTGGATAAAACCATCTATACCGTGTTTCCAGCCTGGCCAAGGTAAAGACTCTTTAGCACACCAGAAACCATTGAAATCACTTCCCTAGCAATGCAGCAACAGGTGCATACTCATAGGCTCCAGCCCAGGGATGTTATCAGTTTCTGTTCTCTGGGTATAACCCCTTCCTTTTTTGCTCTGGCAGTACCTTCTTTCTCCCTTTTCCTCTTCCCACACTTTTGTAAACAATCCCTTCCATTAAATTCCCTCTACCTGAAATACCTAACCTGGATCCCACTTTCCTGACTGGACTCTGAACGATACACAGTCCACCTACTTTTGAAGTTTTAGTTGTTTCCTAATTTCAAAAAAGATATGACACATCTCTGTTTCGCATTCTCCTTGGGGTTCTGGGGTTATTTTCAAGAGGAAAAAGAAACTCATTTAACGTGTGAGGCCATTTTCATATTGCAACTCCTGCTAGTAAGTTTTTAATACATATTATTTTCATTATTTTAAATCATCCTTTGTTGAAAAGTCCAAAATGCACACCTTCATGCTGTACCACTCTTCTGAGCTCTATACTCCCATATCCACCTCCCTATCTAACTTCTTTACTTGGCTCTATCACGGACATCCCAAATTTAACATGTCCAAAATAAAACTCTCAATTTATTCTCATTTTAAAAGAACTCTCTCTTACCCCCAATCTTCCCTATTTCAGCAAATGGCAACATCATCCATCCAGTTGCTCAAATCAAGCACCGCCTAAGAATTAACTTGATTCTCTCTTTCCTATAACCCCACATCAACTTATCAATGACTTCTCCATTTTAATCACAAAACATATCCTGAACTTGCCATTTTCACTGCCTTCATCCTGGTCCAAGTTACCATGATCTCTCATCTGAACTACTCAGTGGCCCCCTAACTCATTCTCTACTTCTAATCTTTTTTTTCTGTAACAGATTCTCCATATAGCCACAAGAATGATCTTAAAATGCACATTAGATCATATCACTCCAGTACTTAAAACACTTCAATGGCCTTGCAGTGCAACTACAAGATGTAAACTCCTTATACTATATACTAAGAATCTCTTCTGCATGTCCTCTTGCATGCACCAAGATTCAAGATAAATTTTATATCACATGATCTGAGTTAAGAACAGGCTTTATTGGAGTAAGAGAAAATTCACATCAACAACAGAAATAAAAGCATGGCTCCCCTTCATCCTCCTATAATTACACACACAGGGGGACCAGAGCACTGTTCAGTGAGTAGTGCATTTCTGTATGCCAATGGAAGTGCCTCACCCTCCCTAGTGCTCTCACTTGTGAAAGCAACTTCGTCAGTACTGAAACAGTCTTATGTGCCAGAAAATCTGAATTATTACAGGAGTTATCTGAGACCAGATGACCAATACCTGGGGACCTTGGAACCCACAGGATGTTATAGTTCACACGGGTATTAAGAGTCAACAGGTCTCTGGTAACTGAGCTTACGTAAGCACTTACTGGTGGGAGAAGTGAAAGAAACCCTCTTTTCCCAGCTAGTTTGTTCTCCAGACAACCTAGTTTGAACTGGGGTTATTTCCAGACAACTTTTCTCATTGTAATATAAATTTCCTACTAAAAGAATGATCAGGGGCACCTGGGTGGCTCAGTCAGTTAAGCGTCTGCCTTCGGCTCAAGTCATGATCCCAGTGTCCTGGGATCAAGCCCCACATCAGACTCCCTGCTCAGCCTGACATGCCAAGTAATTATTAATAATGCCCCTTTTCAGTGTTTTACTCACTAAACACTCAGGTCCTAGGCTCAGACCCTAGCACATAACAAAACCTCAATAAATACATACTGAATAAACAAATTTTTTTTTAAAAAAGATTTATTTGAGAGAGAGAATACGCACATGGTGGGGGGAAGGCAGAGGGAGAAAGAGAGAATCTCAAGCAGACTCCCCACTGAGTGTGGAGCCCAAGGCAAGGTGGGGCTCCATCTCACAACCCAGAGATCAAGACCTGAGCCAAAATCAGGAGACAGTGGACTGAGCTACCCAGATGCCCCAAATAAACAAATTTTCTAAAGGAAGCTTGATTTTTGTTTTTAGCTCAAGTTTCAGATTCATTTTTTAACTGATACTTACTCAATATTATGTTTCTAAGAATTGTTTCTGGAATAGTTGTAATTCATTTACACCTCTGTATGCCACCGTGTGAACATTTACCCATTCTCTGTTGATGAACCTTTGGGTAGTTTCCTTTGGGTTGTTGGTTGTACTATTACATTATTGCTAAGAACACTCTTGGACCTGTTTCTTAGGCCATATGGGCAAGAGCTTCCTATTGGCTGTATCTTAAAGATGGAATAACTAGATGAAACTTCAACATCACTGGTTAATGCCAAGACGTTTTCTCAAAAGGTGGTGCCAATTTACACTCTCCCCAGCAGTGCATAAGTTTCCACTGGTATACAACATCCTCCTTCACACTTTGTTCTATCAAGTGTGTTGAAATTTGCTAGTGTGGAGGGCTTAAAATGAAATCTCATTGCAGTTTCTGGTTTGCATTTCCTTATTATTAATGAAGTCAACCACTTTTTCATAGATCAATGGATCATTTATATTTCACAGCGTCTATGTCTTTGCCCATTTTTCTAAGTTATTTCCTTTTTGCTTTGTAGGCCTTCATATATTCTAGATTGTATTTTTATTGCTTTGTAATCCTTTATATATTCTAGATTGTATTTGTTATACTATTGCAAATATCTTCTCTCCCAGTTTGTGACTTGTCATTTTGCTTTCTTTATGGTGACTTTCGATAAATAAAGGTTATTTTTAACAGTGAAATGTATCCCTCATTTCTATCTTGACATTTGTTTTAAAAAGAAACTTCCATGCCACCAGATCAGACACTGTCTTATATTTTCTTCCAAAATTTTTAACGTTTTGCCTTTCACAAGTCAGTCTTTAAATAACCAAGAACTGATCTTGGCATAAATTGTAAGGTAGAGATCTGATTTCATTTTTTTTCTGTATGAATAACAAATCTCCCTAGCACACCTCATTGAAAAAATCTATACCCACTGATCTATGCCACTTTTATCGTTTATCATGTCCACCTACACATGGTCTGCTTCTGGGTTCTCTATTCTATACCATTGTTCTGTTTATTCCTGCATCCATAGTACAGTTCTGTTATCACTACAGCTTTAATAAAAAGTCTTGCCAACTGGCAAAGTCCTCCATCTCATTCTTGGTCTTTAGGAGTTGTCGTCTGATCTTAGACCTTTGCTTATCAATGCATTTTTAGAATCAACTTGTCCAGTTGCCCAAAAAAACTTCTGGGAATTTTTATTTGATCTGTAACATCAATTTGGGGAGATGGTCTACCAATACGTTGTCTTTTAATATATTTCAATAAGGCTTTATGTTCTCCATAGAGACCACACACTTGGAAGACTCCTTTCATTTTCTGACACTCTTGCATATGGCATCTTTGCTGTTGTTCGCAATTGACTTTTGTATACTGATCTTATTTCCAGCAACTTTTAATTATTCATCTACAGATTCTTTTCTGGTTTCTATGTAATCACAGCATGTGTAACTTTCTTCCTTTCCATCTTAATAATTTTTTCTTTCCTTCCCAACTATGCTTGCTAAAGCCTCAGTGCAAGTAAGTTGTCAAAGAGAAGTAGTGATAAGACACCCTTTCCTGTTGAAGAGAAATGCTCTTCTAATTCCAAGTGTTTTGAGCCACATCTTTGACACGTACCCTTTGTTTTTATGTGCAAACCACAATGTCAAGATTAGCATGTCATCAGGGAACTCCCTTTCTTCATTGTGTTTCCTACTTACTGCTCTAGTTTCAGCTTAGTTTAGAACTTATCACTCGGGGAAGTCCCTTTCTTCCTACAAGCCCAATGCTACAGACTGAACTGTGTCCACTCAAAATTCACATATAGAAACCCTAAATCCCCAATGTGACTATATTTTGAGATAGGACCTTTAGGATAATAAAGTGAAATGAGGTCATAAGGGTGGGGCCCTGACACAACAGGATTAGTGTCTTTATAATAGACACCAAGTGCTCACTCACTCGCTGACAGCAAAAATAGAAGGTCATGTGAGCACACAGCGAGATGGTGGACGCTTACAAGCCAGGAACACAGCCCTCGCAAGAAACCAACCATGCTGGCACCCTGATCTTGGACTTCTAGCCTCCAGAATTGCAACAAAATGTCTGCTGTTTAAATCACCCAGTCTCTGGTATTTTGTTAAGCCCAAACTAAGATATCCAAGGATATGATAAAAACTATGTCATACTTAGCATCTGGTTATTTTGCAGTGGGACACCTCCTCACTCCAGATTATGTAGTCCGCTATACTGCCAGGAGAAGCATAAGGGTGGTACCTCTGTTCTTAACTTAAGCACTACTTTATTTAACAAGGGACTGTTAATTAAGGGTCCTCATTAGAGGCTTCAGGGAAAATTAAGCAATATTTATTTAATGAAAAATTATTATTTATGTACTTCTATTTACTCTTTTTAAGGCTGATTGCTAAGGTTTTATGTACATTGTATGTCCCAGTCCCTCCCCAAATTTAGAATGACATAGGTTAAAAGTCTGAAGGACTGTGACAATAGAGGTAAGATTTTACTTCTGCTAGCAGTAGAAGGTCTTCAAAGAGAAAGAATTAGAGTTATATATTCACTGTGTATATGGAGATAAATAATGTGTGAATTAGTAAGAATGAGGTTTAACTGCAAAGCACAAATAAGTGGCTTAAACAAGGTAGATATTTATTTGTGTCTCCCAAAGAAATCCAGAGGTACACTGTCCAGGACTGGTATGGTGGTTCCACATGGTCATCGCAGATCCCAGCTTCTTCTGTCTTCCATCCTGAAGATCGTCTCATGGTCCAAGATGGCTGCTGGAGATTCAGCCATCATGTCCACATTTCAGACAAGAAAAAGCCAGGTGAGGGTCTGGAGAAGCACAAAGGATGAGCCTCCCAACAGAGTTAATCATTTAAGGAGCTTTCCTGGAAGCACCACCAAATGACTTCTGCTTACACCCCCTTAGCAACTGTTAACTGCAAAGGAGAATAGAAATGCAGTATTTCAGCTATGCACACTGTCACCCCTAATTAAATATGGACTCTGTAAATTAATGGGGTCAGTAGAAAGGATAATCGATATTGGGTAGTGAATTAATGATGTTTCCGTATTTTTTGATGCTTGACATCTTGGGGCCTGGCAGATCCTGGGAAGAACTAAACCCCTTCCCAACATTACCTAATTCCTAGAAATAGTAAACACTTGCCCATGAGCAGGTCTTTAATACACAAACTAACCAATCCCGATTCCATACCCGCCATTAGCCTCCTCTTATCAGGCTCCTGCAGTCCAGAACACTATTCCTCTGCCCAAAATCCCCAGGTACCTGACAACTAGAGACCACCCCTATTGCCCAAAGCCTGGTAAAAATTATTCTGTCCAACAAAAACCTCAATAAAAGCTCTGTTGAACATTTTCCCCTCATTCCTTCTGCCTTCTGGCCTACCCTGGTGCTCCTCCATGTGGTTCTAATGGCGGCATGAGAACTCCTCTTGAGAACTATAATAATAAACTCCCTTCCAAGACAGCTGTCTTCAGGTCTATCATCTTGCCACACCTGATTAACACAAATCCCTGCTACCTTGTAAAAGAGGTAAGCAATTGGAAACTTTTCCCATAATATGGTTTTCCACAACAGAAAGCCAGAATCCTGACAACATTTGTTATGTTCTTTACAAAATGTGCTTCCAAAGTGTTTGGAAGAAGAAAAAAAAAAAAAAAGTCACTCTTGTCTTGACTTCTCTTCTGAGCTCCACTCATTATTATCAAATATAAGCTAGGAAATCTATGATTAAACTATGTTCAAAATTACTCCTGATCTTTCCTCTTCTCAAATCGGCTCCCACATTCATGTTGCTTAGTCTCAGAAACAAAATATCCACACAGCTGCCCAAGCAGCTTCAGAATTCTCTCGTAATGGCCTTTTCTCTTACCACCAGCACCTACTTGGTCCCCAGCGCATCCTGGGCAGGAGCTACATGTTCTTCTTCTACTCTGTATCCCCTACCTGGAGCCCATAACGGGATCTGGCACATAACTGTTGCACAGTGAACAATCGGGAAGACCACATTCCCTTGTGTCACCCACAATCCCCACTCTGCTAACCTTTCTAGGCTCCTTCAGCTGCTTCCTAACTGCCTGCAGGTTTCCCCCCTTCTAGCCCTTCACAGGTCTTTCCATTCTTTCTAAAGCACAGTTCTGATACATCCATTTTAAAACATGTGGCTCCCCACTGCCAAAGTCCTCTGTAAGCTTTCAAGGCCTTTTATGATCCAGCCCCAACCCCTTTTTTCATGTTTTATCTTTCACTGATCCATATACTTTCATGTTTCTGGACCTTCATTCATGCTGTTGCCCCCGCTGAAAATCTAACTATTCTCATCTGTGCCCACAGGACTTTATTGCGACCATTACTAGAGTGCTCCTCATACGTAGCACACTTTGTACATGGGCTCCTGCTTCTGTCCTCCCCACCCAGCTCCCATCATCCTAGATTGTGAGCTCCCTCAAGGCAGGAATGCTGTTCTGTTTATCCCTATTTCTAGGCCTGCATGCACGCATTGTACAAAGTAGGTGCCCAACTGACTTTTGAGTTTAAAAAGATGCCCAGATTAACCTTAAATAGCCATGGAAGATTAAAAGCAAAAAAAAAAAAAAAAGCAAACAAAAAGCACAATGCGGACTATGTTCTCAGTAACCCATGGACACTAACAACAACAACAACAAAGGCCAAGTACAACAACCTAATCTAAAGTTAGTAAGCACCCTATGAGACTTGGGAAGATGGGCATGGGGACCAAAAGAGATATGCCTTGTTTAAAATAACTACAGGAGTAATAACAGCCAGTATGTATAAGCACTTGATTCAGTTAATATGTGCTAAGTAAATTATATGCATTATTTATTCCTCACAGCAGGCCTATAATGTAGGACTACTATTTTCCCTGTTTTATTCACAGAAAAACAAAACAACAAAAAAACCCAAGGTAGGGAAAGTTAAGAAACTGAGCAGAGGTCCCTCAGCTGGTAAGTGCAGCAGATCCAGGCTGTCTGACTACACAGCCTTAACTGAACTACCATGATAGGCCACCTTTCTTCCAAACAGCAGGTGCAGCAGGAGAGCTAAAAAATGTCACAGTGTACATCTGTGTGGATAAACAACATGCCAAGGCCCCAAAGTATGGCAGAGGGCAAATGGATTAAGAATAAAGAGACAAAAGGCAAAATGTCATTATTGTGGCTGCATGATTTGGACAGCCTAAAAAGCTACACACCATCCTAGCACAGACTGTGGGAACAGCACAGAAGCAAATACAGTAGTGAGAAAGGACTGCAGTGCCACTGACACCTGCCAAAAGTCTCATTCTCTGAGAAATGAGCCTGTCAAATTTCTGAGCAATCTTGCTGACAATTTCAACACTCACTAGGAAGGAAACAACTGGAGGAAACAATGGGAGGAACTGTGAACCTATTCTAACCAGTAAAGAAACACTGCTTGGTAACAAGGAAGCAAGAGGAATATGTAAAGATAACTTGGTAGAGAGATTAACTGCGACTTATTTTCCTGGAGGATCATCACACTGAGAATGAGAAATAATAAAGAGGTAGAGGTATTTCCCCCTCAATCCTAATTCTATCCCAACCGAAACCTACTATGTACTGCAACTCCCAGTGTGACTTCGATGCACCACGAATGGTCAGAAGTTAGCCATGGAGGGTTCTGGATAGCAGGGCCGATGGAAGTGCGAGGCAGTAGGAAGCAGAGAGTAGAAAGAAAGCAAAATGCGAACTTCACATACCTAAACTCCCACTCTAGGTGTGCCTCACAGGCTGCATGACTCTGACATGTTACTTAACCTCTCAGTTTCACGTTTCCTCACCTGTAAAATCAGGATAATACCACTTTCTTAGGGTAACAGTTAAATGAGACAACGATAAAAAGCACTGAGCTCAGGGCCTGGCACCTGGTAAGTACACAGGAAATGTCAGGCATTAATATGGTAATTATTATCCTGTAAGAGATTTCTCTATAACTCATTAACTTTTCTACAATCATTTGCTTGCTGTTACTTCCACCAAGCTTCACAGCATATAATGCAAACCCTGACAAAAAAATAAGTGATTCTGCCCTCATTTTCATGTCAGTGTTTCAGTGCAATCCAACTAAACGACATTTAGAAAGCCCTATAACATCACTGTGCTAGGCTAAGCTGGATGGGGACAAATGGGTAGTCTGAGTAAAAGACAACCCTGCCTTCAAAAATTAAATGAGGTCTCTTTTGGGAACACAGAGAAACTACCAGTAATTTTTTCTGAGTTGCAGAGGTTAGGCTGTAACCCAGTTGGCAATGACAAACAATCCCCAAAACAGCCACAAAAACACGTCTTTGGTGTTTTGGGATGTCTTTGGATTCACTGCCCAGTAATTTTTAAGAAATGAATGACTCCTTGAGAACTGTACTGGCAGCAAACAGATCTCATATGGGTTGGTCTTTAAGGTCAGTTATTCTGGGTTACATACATGTATAAAGAGAAAAACAAAAGAAAAAGAAGGAAAAAAAGGTGAATGAAGTATCTAAGCATATAATACTAAGATGCAGAAGATGGGGGTAAATACATGAGAGATTATCTTGTTCACCTCTAGTACAAGAAGCAGTACTAGCTGACGGTCAATCAGAAGTGCAAGCCTGGCTTTGAAATAATGGAAAGATTTTTTTTTTCCCAAAGTGAAAGGTTTTGTTTTTTCTTATTATAAAAATAATATATGTTCAATGCTCAAAAAAAAATAGAATATATAAAAGTGCAAAAAATAAGGAAAATCACACATAATCCCCCCAGCCAGAGATCATCACAACCTTTTGATGTTTCTCCTCCTAGACTTTTCTAAACCTATACTTTTTATCAATTACTTCTTTTTCAAAAATGGGGTAATACCACACATGCTGTTTGAAACTTTTTTTCCCATGCTTCTATCATACTCATCTTTCCACCTAACACAGAATCCCAAAATCAAAGTCAAAGGACAGTTTTCCACAGGTATATTCCCTGACACCATAACAACATGAAAAAGGGAATGCAAGACACAAAAAGTGGCCTAGGAGACCCCTAATGACTGTTCCCACTACCAAACTCCACACACGTACTCCAAGACCAGCTCGGGTGAGGTACATATTTTCTCAGCACAGGGCGATTCCCAGGCGGGAAGGGCAGAGTTTGGGCTCATGCAGCCTGCCCAGTTGTGGACCTCGGGTCTGCAGCATCACGCACAGGCTGAGGCCTCTGCACTGAAGAGGTGACTCTGAGAGCTCTGCTGCCCGACCTCAGAGCCCTTCAAGTAAGCTCCAGCGGGAGTGTGCAGAAGCCGTTGGCCCGCACAGATCCTGCAGGGCCCACCTTTCTGCCCCTGCGCCCTGGACTCAGAGCTGCTTTGGGCTGGTCATTAAACTGTTTTGTTCACCATATTACCTTCCCAAAGCACACTATTTAAACAGGAATACTAATCTGCATCACTTCTCACAACCTTTAAGGAGTATATAAGTAGCTGTGCCAAGAAAGAGTGGCCCAAAGATCAATTTTATCTACATTATATTTTGCTTAAGGAATGTGGCACAAAGAAGGGAGGACTATGTCACCAGACAGTTTGAACATATAACCTCAGGGAGCATAGCTAACGTACTGATTAATGGTCCCAGCAGCAGGAAAAAAAGATGGCCGATAGAAGAGACTGGCAATCACTCTTCTCCTATTCCTGGGCATGAAGAGAGTAAAGCTAAGGAGCTCCATCTTTCCTTGAGCAAACTGTACTTTAAGTACAAAATGCTGCTCCAGTGTGGGGTTCGTGTGCAGCACGGGAACTGCGAACCCGAGACCGACCATCCAGCTCTCAGGCAGAGAGGACAAGACATGCGGTCTGGGGCACGCATCGACAGGCTGGGCCGGAGGCAGAGCTGGAGCCCAGGTGGCCTGGACAGAATGAGGGACTTCTATCATCGGATCCAGACACCGGGCTCAGCAGCAGCCAACTCTGAACAACTGCAGCCAACTAGCAGGCAGACCCGTGCAGGTCTGATGCAGACTTAAACAGTACAAGACGCACTAAAAACCTGAGTTTATTTTATGTAATATTTATTAGGAAATTACTAGAACTCTGTAATTTCCAGAATCTTATCATGAAAGTAACTGTGTACACAATGATCTATGTGCATCAAGGGACCATGTGGAAAATTAAAGGATAATGTCATACCCGAGGTTCTAACCTAGGGAGGCAATGTCAAAGGTTGTTTAGGGGACTCCCCCAAGTTCTGGATGAGACAAAAAGGATAGCGAATTGGGCTTAGAAAGACAGAAAATAGTGGAGCCAGAGCTCTTGTGGCATCACCTGGAGATGAACTATTTCATCCCTCCTTATTATTTTAGGTTTTTACTGCTAATCAAATCTATTTCATAAATGCTGCTCGTGAAATTTGTCCAAAAACAAAAGAGGTGAAGAAGGTAGGTTAGTCTTGAAGCTATTTAGGTTAGATACCAACCACTGTTCAGCAACCCCTTCCAGTTTGGGCTAAAGCTTAATATCCATTGGGATCATTCATCTGTCACCATTTATTGAGTATCTATTCTGTGCCAAGCACTGGTTAAGGTGCAGGTAAACAGAGAAGATACAGTCCTTGCCATCTAGTTTATAGAGCAAACAGTAAGAAAATCATTATTCACAACCACGGGATAAATATGCCTGGCATATAGTGAAGCTCAAGAAATACTCAGTGGCTGAATCAATACTATAAAAGTGTGCACAGAAAACAAGGGGGCATCCCAAAGGACACTTATCCCTTTGCCCTAACACAGACAAACCTGACAGTTCACTATTTTGTACACTTGTACACAGAAACCATCCTTAAAAGAATAAACAATTAGCTACAAAGGTCTATGAGACAAAAAGGGGAGCGGGAGTAAGAGTCAGGAGAAGTCTTATCACTCCTTTTATATAAAAGAATATTTTAATTCTCGTCCTTAGGAACTATAAAGACTATACATGATTTGGAAATGAGACTGTACCAAACAATGGCCAAAGGAGAATCGTCCATGCTATGCCTTCTCTTTGGTCTGGTCACTCAGAAATATAATGTTATCTGTAAAGAAACCAAATCATAAATATTATTTTCAGAATCTTTCTCATTTAATTGTTCCCCTATAATACGTACTTTAGTGCTGTTATCTAACAGGATTTTAGAAAAATTCCCTAAATGTGAAATAACTCCTGCTACGTTCATGAGAGGCATAGAACAGGCAGCAAAGGAGCTAGAAGTTGGGCTTCAGCTACATGACAACTATTCAGACCTTGCTAGAAGAAGTGTGGTATTTCTTGTCTTCCCTGAAGACAATTATAACTGCTCAGCAGTAACTCCCTACAAAAGAACTAGTCACAAATTGCAATGCCTACAATGCTCAGAAAGATGCCATGAAACCAGGCAGCATGTCCTCACACAGAAGAGGGTCCAGGCATAACATTTCACACACTGGAGGTATGGAGAAAGGATGGGGTCCAACATATGGCCCTGTGAGCAAAGACAGACTGATGTCTTTAAGTAGGCTGTCATACTCACACAGAGGACATTCTATTTTTAAATTTTAAAACAGATTGACTTTTATATACTCATTCTTGGGAAAATTTTTACTAATCAATATTACAGAGAGAGCATTTTCACACAAGAACATCAGACACTGCACTTAAAATGTTGTCCCAGGTGGAGTTAGTTTAGGACAAGCAAAGGAAAAGAAGTAGTACTTCCTGTATAGCTTGAAAAAACTCCAGATTCTTGTAACTTTAGAATTATTCAAGAAGTGGTTATTACAATATTTACGACTACAGTCTTCTACAAACAGAATATTCTGATACAGAATGGTTATTGCAGGAGAGATTATTACAACTTGACCCCACAGTGTAAAAAGGCAAGAGTGCCATCCACTGGTGGTTACTTTTATGTTAAAGACATGGATCCCTAGGAGAAAAAAAACCACCAAGCAACCAAATTTAAATTCTATTTCTCAGCACTGGATGTTATACGCAACTAATGAATCATTGAACACTACATCAAAAACTAATGATGTACTATATGTTGGTTAATTGAAGAAAAAAAAAGGAAGAAACTCTATTTCTTTCAATTCAAATGTCACTAAAGATCTATTCATTTTTACTACTGGCCATGAATCTATTAATTGCTCAATTAGCTCACCCATGCTGTGAGTACTAGTGACAAAAGAAAAGAAAGTGACAGATAATCTGAACTATTTCTATTTAGTGGTTGGCTTGGTTCAGAACAATTCATACAATCCAAAGTTTGCCCACACTTTTGGTTTATAGTGGAATAGGAAAGTGTTAAATGCTTTATAAATACATAATTGACAGAGATTTAGAAATGCTAAATTTTTATTAGAAAATTTGACTTTCCACTGATAAAATCATAGGTGTAGTTCTATGCCCTGCAGAGGTCTACAAAAAAATTTTTGAATAGGCAGATATCTCTGGAGACACGGCCTAAGGAAGAAGAAATCGCAGAAATGAAATACTATCAAGACACCCAAGAATTATGAAATCAAAATGGTCAGATAGGATCTCATCTAAGGCCTGATAATGAGGGTAGAAAGATAACTACGTTGGTTTTCAAGGTCAATATGCCTCAAAGAAACCAGTAAGAAAATATATTTTTTATTATTTAAAACAAATTATAATTTATCAATATGGTACAGTGGTTGAGACATGGACTCTGGAGCAAGGTAAAAAAGAAAGGTAAAAGGAAAATCTGTCAATTACGAGACAAGTTCTCAAAGGTCTAGCCTCCAAAATTGTGAGAAAATAAATTTCTATTATTTAAAAGAAATTAAGAAAGACTTAAGATACATATAAACCAGGGCGCCTGGGTGGCTCAGTTGGTTAAGCGACTGCCTTCGGCTCAGGTCATGATCCTGGAGTCCCGGGATCAAGTCCCACATCGGACTCCCTGCTCAGTGGGGAGTCTGCTTCTCCCTCCAACCCTCCCCTCTCTCATGCTCTCTCTCTCTCTCTCTCTCTCTCATTCTCTCTCTCAAATAAATAAATAAAATCTTAAAAAAAAAAATACATATAAACCATGAAAGATAACCTATGGACTTGTATCTAGGAAGCAATGAAAGAAATTTAAACATTGTGATATCTGGTAAAAAAAAAAATTAATAATTTCTTATTACTACGTATGATAATAGCACTATAATTATGCTTTAAATAGGAATCCTTATCTTTCAGAAATACCTACTGAAAATATTTATGGATGAAATAATATTATGTCTGGAATTCACTAGAAAATAATCTAAGTGGAGGAAAAGTGGGCTGGAGAAATAGAAGAAATAATATTGGCCATCAGTTAGTAATTGTCGAAGCTAAATGACAGATTTTTTTTCCACTTTTCTATGTTTGTGTATGTTTGACATTTTCGATAATTAAAAAATTAATTTTTAAAGATATCAAATTTTGGCATATCTCAGAAGTGCATAAACACTGAGACACTACTTTCTTTCGTTTCTATGTACTTACTTATCCAAAAGGTTTCTCAGTGTTCACATCCATAAAAACTAATAAAAGAATAGAATTGATGTTTAACAACAGGTCTTATTTTAACAATTTATTGAAGAGGTAAAAAATGGCCCTCTCTCTCATTAAAAGATGCATTTCCAATAAAATTTGTTTTCAAATTTATATATTAAAATTGCTTTGGTACTTTATGTTCTAAAAACAACACAATGATAACCCAATCAAGAAGAAATGTAATATTTATAGTCTTAATATCACAGAATTCTTAAAAATATTTTTAACTTTCCATTTATGTATGTGTTTTTGTTATGAACATAATAGGATGAATAATAAAACATTCTTAACTATACAATATATATTAAGATACATTTCTTAGGAGAAAATGGAAAAACAAGCTCAGAGAAAAAGAAATAACATGAAATTTCCAAATGTTGAAGAGCTTGTTCATGTATTTTTTTTCAAGGATGATGGGTATCAAATTGCTATGGTATTTACATCCATTAATACAATTCAGAGTAACAATTTCATATTGAAAAATATTTTCATGACAACTTAAAAATGTCCAAAGGGCTACATTTGTTTCAAAATTCTTGTAGAATTTTCAAAACAGTTTGAAAACTCTGCTCTGGGAGGTATCTCCTTGACCTTTAAGCTTTCATGTCCATGTTTCCTACGTTGTTTCACATTTTGTCTAAGGAAAGCAACAGGAACTTAAAATCATCATGTTAAGGACCAGGCAGGCTGTGAATAAACCTGCACAAATGCTACTCACAGTAGGGTAACTCTATCTCGGCACAGGCTTCTCCCTGTTTAGACCATGTCCTCAAAGACATTAAAGTTTTTCTCACTTCAAACAGTTAAGTACTGACACAGACGCTCTACTCAAAAGTTACTGAAATGAAACAGAGACAAGTTTTGAAGGATCAGGAAAAGTAGACACTCATAGCAAAGCCACAAACCAGACTCACAATTCTCATGGTGAGCTGCCTGACAATCTCAGCATCAGTACTCAAAGCCCCTGTTCAAGTTACTTACAACACGCCTAGCCTTTAAAAAGGGGAAGGAGGCGGCGGGGGCGGGTGGGGAGGAATAGATATTATCACAAGCTTCTTACCAGCTATGATCGTTGTTGCTTGCCGCCTCACGTTATTCTTATCTGTGTATTCACCATAGTCTACTTTCCCTTCTACATAAATTCGGGACCTGATAAATGTAAAATTTACAGTTTTCAGTCTGGAGAGTCTCATCTGTTTTACAAGAGAGAGTCGGGTGAGAGGCAGTAACAAGTACACACTAAGAATGAAACACAGAATCATCGCATAACTTCATTTTTGCTACTGCATCTCAAAGTTCAACATCAGGAGTATTAAGGGTACTGAAACAGAATGTCCACACAGACTTGACAAACCCAGGTAAAAAGGACAATATTCTCAGCCTTGAGCTGACAGCAGTCCTCATGAAAGTTTAAAAAAAAAGGGACTTTAAGACCATGAAATGGAAGAGCAACACAGCGTCATCCTTTCAATCTCTAGGACTGATTTCCAAAGTGTCATTTTCCCCCACCTCTGATTCTGGACTCCCTAACAGATTTGCTGATTTTCACGTATTGTTCAAATTCCTTCCCACAGTCAGGTTCATGAACTTATTCTCAAGGGACTTAAATTATTAAAATTCAAAATGGAGGTTTTCAGCTTAGTATTTCACTTAGAGTTAATTACCACAACCACTTCTGCACTGTTTAGAAGGCTGAACCACAAGACAACCATAGCTGATTTTAAAGGGTAGAAAATACATGCTGGCATCAATTTTTAGAGTCTACCATCACCAACATAGCATAATATAGAAAGTAGACAAAACTGGTAAAATGATTGTAGGCCAAAGGGAATACACACAAATTCATCAATCAGTGGGTGAAATTGCATACAGATATTTTTCTTGAAATTTCCTGTATTGATAGGTGTAAATGCACAAATTCATACCTACAAATAGGACTTTCGAAGTACATATAAAAAAAGGCACGAAGTTATTAAAAAAAAACAAATTTTAGTTATTCCTGAAATTATTTTTGAGGAAATATACTTCATTTCTATAAAACAAGTACATTTCTAAATATATTAACTACGAATACAACTGTTGTTCAACACACCCTTTTGTCCTTCTATGGGTTTGGAAAAGACAATTTTTATTTAATCAATCCAAGCATCCCAAAAGGGAACTACTAAGCCAATATAAAATTATCAAACATAACATAACTGCTGTGAACACTGCCATACCTCACGGTGTCAGGCTTCAGACACTCCAGATCCTGTACTAAGGACTCTAAGGAGATGCCAAGAGGCGACACGGGAACTCCTCAAAGCACATGCTGCACTTGCTCACACGGCACTCAGTACACTCTGCCTTCTCTCTTGCCTCATCTGCTTCTATTTATGTACACCCCTTATTTGCCCTAAACTGTAGGTTCTTAGAAAGCTAAACCATGTGTTACACACCTCTGAATTAGTCACACATGGCAACACGCCATGCATATAGTACTAAGCTCTGAATAAGTATCTCCAGTTAACAGAATAATTAGGATAAAGGAGTTAGGCATTCCCTGAAAACACCTTTGACCAGTTTTTTAAACCATTCAATCTATAAGATCCTTCCTTCCTCAACTTACCCCTTTTTCACATACTGATACGCCACATCTCTGAGGCCTGGGCGGAATACTGATATTCTGTGCCATGTTGTCTTTTGACTGACATCACCTAAATCACAAGAATAGGAAACATGGTTATAAATGCCAGCACACAAAACAAATGCCAAAAGACAACATGCCCAGCAAAACCAATGTCACAATTTCTAAAAGAAAGAAACAGAATTAGAGAAGAAAGATTCTTTCTAAAAGTAGCTCATCTCTAATCAACTAACTGAGAATAAATATTGTCTCTTTACTGCTGATACAATGGAAAACCCTAGTCTTTTATACTCACCCATCTGGTAGGCTTCACTCTCCCCAGACCGCCACATCTCATTTGTCGCTAGAGAAAATATCGTGACTGGGTTTTTCCCTTCCACCTGTCTCATGACGGGGTCCTGACCCACTCGCCCAAGCAGCTGCACACGGTTCAGAGCTGAAACACAGTGTGGAAATAAAATGAGATTCAGATAAAGGTCCAGAAGGGGAACAGTTACAAATACTACTTCAGCCTCGATCTCCGCATTAAACAAAACCCAAGTTCTAAAAGATCCGAGCTTAGTTGGGGCAAACAGAGGGAGGCCGGGAGGGAAAAGAAGGGTTGGCAAGAAGGGAGAAAATACTCTTAGAGAAAGTATCCCACAAAACAAACATTAAGCTCTTTATAAAATGCCTTTTTTTGAAAAAACTATGATTAAAAGAACAAATCTGAGATCTGAAAATCTTTATGAATATGAGTGAGTATTTCTGTGAAAGAACAGCTTGCACAGACTTTCACTCCCTCAGCCAAAAGGCACGTGACCTTGGAAGACTGAGATAACCAAGCAGGACTCAAGGAAACCCTCCGAGGCCCCGCAGCCTGAGGGGCGAGGCCAAGGGCGGAGATGCAAACATGAGCCAAGAGCCTAAGGATTAACAGATTATAACCCAACTAGCGCACCTCTTCTACAACACGTTTAAAAATTTTTGTACGTTGCTATAAATAACATACTTTAAACTAGGAAATTAGCTGCTACTTACATCTTTCAAGAACCAAGCTGCTAGCTATTTCAGACTCACGTCTTACAAACTGGTGAAACACCTAAAGTGGAACAAATGAGTAAAATGGCTTTAATTTGGGAGGAAAGGCAAACGCAAACAGAAGACCTGCTTACACTCAGTCACCATCGCATCAGCAGCTCCTATAGCACATACCCCCAGAGGACAAGCAATGCACGTCACGTGTTCCCCCCTCACAACACCAGGAGGACCACGCAAACGCTTGAGGGCCTTGAGGGCCGACTATTCCAGAAGCCCAAGGGTACCAAGTCCTAGAAGGCAAGCCCAGGGAAGTTGATTTAGAATCCCCTCCTGTTTCTTTTTCATGGCAACCTTCCTGATTATGGTGCTTCCGTGGCCGCACACAAAGGGTAAAGTCAAATATATGTTGGAAAAATTCATGCTTTAGATAGACCAAAGGAAAAAGTCTAGACAGACAAATGGGATTCTCTGATAAAGTACAAAAATAGGACTATTCAAGTCAGTCTGTCAGAGGAAGGTAGTAACTGACACAAAATAGCAGCAATGATGTAACAGCCATCACTACTGAATACCAGCTAACTACTTTACCTCTTACAAATTAGTCCCTGGAATAAATCAATCAACTATGTAAAATTATCCCTACTTTAGAGACCAAAAAAAACAGTTTAGAGAGATTAAGTACCCTGCCCAAAATCCTACAAGAAATAACTGGCAAGTCGTGCCTAGAACCCAGGGCCATCTGACACCAAGGCTGCCACTTTTCCCACTGCCCTCTGCTGTCTCCTTGAAGACATTCTGTTCAAGGGCTCCTGCCATGAGAGGAGCGCACAGCCCTGGGCATGTCACTGGTTTCAGCGTTCAGAGAGCTACTCACTACCTCAGAGAAGCATGTGTCGAGTGGTAGCACTGTTACTATGAAAAGCAGATGTCCACCAACCAAATGAATACCCGTTCCTGGGCCAGTGCTGACTATGGAATCCTATCACTATGTTTTGGGACACAGAGTGGTTAATAAACAAAGATGGAGTTACCACACAGTAAAGACTCAAAACAAACTAGTACTGGTATCATGCTTCTAGAAAGGACTAACTAAAGTACTCAGAAGAGCCAGAGCTCGCAAGTCTCAGAATAAATAGGTCTCATTTGGGAAACACAAAAATTAAGACCCACTAGAAAAGCAGAAATAGGGAATGATTTTAACTAGGATAACTTTAAAAATTAAACTTCTCTTTTATATATCTTAACACTGTAGTATTAAGACAGCAGTAACTCTTCTATGTTCCAAATTTCAACACACATACACTAAGAAAGGCTAAAACTATGTATAGGTTAAAGTGGGGATCCAAGAATACAGGGTCAATTCTACAGCGACGGGGGGAGATGAGAATAGGTTTCAGAGAGGAATTGAATCTTCATCAGTCTTAACAAGATGAGGAGTGAGAGAGGTGTTATGAAGAAGAATCTACAAACTTCGTGCCCAAATATAAGTGAGGAAAATGGGTAGTCTAGGCTGGCTGAAGGCTGGCTAGTGTCTGGAGAAATAAGGAGTTAGACTGGTGGGAGTGAGAAGGAATTCAGGACATAGTACATTTGTGGTGACGTGGTGACTTCTGCTGCACTCTTCAGCACAGGGAGATGGGGGATGGAAGGTTGACCACAGAGGAGGGAGGTGGTCAAAATGGAACCACATGTCTCATAGAAAACTGCTGGAAATGATTCTCATAGTCTTTAGATCACTAAAGACATTAAATGCTAACTGATCTAAATGCAAGTAACGTGTTTTAAAAAATTATGACTCCCATAATACACGTAAGCTAGGAAATTTTTGTTTTGTTTTAGTGAACATCATTTACACAAGTAAAATCTGTCGTAAATCCTCCCTACCAAATGAGTACACATAACACATAAAAGTAGGTGGGCTCAAAGGTCTTTTACCTCTGCAGTCAAAGCCTGAAGAAATCTGATCACTAAGGCTGATAATAACACATCTCAACACTAATAGGGAAAAGTGATTACCTGTAATACAGGTCTTCGAAACATGGCTTCTATTTGGTTTTCCTACAAACTAGTCTTTGGTTTTCCCCTGAAAAAAAAGAGAGAGAAATACTATATCTCAGGGCAAGAGCACAAATTCACTAACCCTAAATTCCTAACTGCATTCATAATTTTTAGGCGGTCCACCTGCGACCATAAACATCAACATCCCTGCACATTTTACGAGGACTCCCCCCTCCAAAAAAAAAAAGAGAAAAAAGTTTATCTTTTTTATTCCCCTTGGCTTCTTCTAACACATACAAAAAATACTTTCTGATTTATACCCATTTGCATTCCAGTCTTCTCAAATTTCATTAAAATGCAAGCCCCCTTAGAGCTGGGATTTTCGTCTTGATTTATTCACTGCCACATCCAATACTCCTGAGTTAGTTCCTAACACATAGTGAGGATTCAAAGTATCACAATATCACCAAGGGGCTTAAATCTGAAACTTGCTGCTGCAAAAACTACTGCCTCCAATCCCGTTAGCAAAGACCACGGAGATCCCTGGACTCCCCGGCCTCACCGCCGGGATGGATGGGCGCCCTTTCTCAAAGGTGACGCTCCGAACCAGCAACGTAAAGGGACTGGAAAGTGGCCGAAAACCCTGAAGTCCTCCGCACCGGTGAGATGAGAACGGCCAAGACAGACACAGAACAACCTCCCGAGCCACAGAGAGCCGCACGCACACCTAGCGAAGAACTCCTGGCTCCCTCCCGCCCGCCCCGGACGCTCTAGCGGCTTCAGCTTCTCGCTAGGCGAGCACTTCCGGATACAAAGAGGACGCAAGCCTCGCGAGAGGAATAAGAAAACGGAAAGTCCGCTGCGTGCGCAGTAGAAATGATCCGGCCACCGCCGCGGGAAACAAGCATCTTTTGATACGGTAGTTCCGCGAGCTTTTTTCCCGACGGGAGTGGATAAGGTAACGCCGCCGAGTGGTGAGTGGAGCTGATTTCAAGTTTCTAACGAAATGAAATTATTTTTGACAAGCTTCCCATCCCGGACCAGGAGGGGCCGAGGTGGACGAAACAAAGGATAGGTCGGCCTCAGGGAAAGACTGGCCAGGCCTGCTAAAGTAGGAAGGAAACCAGAAAAAGTAGGGGGGGGGGGCGAAAAATTCGAGGGGTGCCAAAAAATTTGGCAATCAAAATAATATTTTAAGAAGAATCAGGATAATATTTTAAGGTGTATTAATTAAATATATACAATTAAATCTGTGATGAACAAAGAAATCAAAATTTTAACTAAGTATAAGTTCTGAGCCATATTCAATCCTGAGGCACAAGAAAAAAATAAACGTTTTTACATATACCAAAAAAAATTACAGAACATTAAAGTACTTGAATATCGAAAATTTGAAGAGAGGGTATTTAAAAACTCACATTAAGTTGAAATATTTTATTTATACCAAAAACAGAAGTCACTGTAGTTTTACTTTCCTGGCTTTAATAGAAGTAAGTTGATCAATAATATTTACAAAAATCTACTTCTTTGCTTATCTTATTTCCAATTACGGGAATTGCCATGTCTGACAATTTTTCTTGCCCAAGTTGCAATCTTAAACAGTTTTAAATAACATCGGCTTACTGATTTTGTTTTATTTAAAATTCTGGTATGTTCTTCATTGTGGATCTTTTCATTAATTTTAATATTTTTTAAATATTGCATTAAAGTGTCCTTGATCTTGATTTCTGTGTTTCTTGGCACCCCTTAAATTTTGCCTCATTCATCCTAATCTTGGCCCTGCTTAGCAAGAGGGTATTGGGGTCCCACGGATTGCAGGATGCAGGCCAGTGGCGGCCTCCCCAGGTCTCTCCTCTGCTGGTCCTCGTCCTGTCCAACTTCTAGAAAAGGAGGGAACCCTCCAGATCATTCTAACAAGTAAATCTCCTTCTCAGGACTACATAAAGGCCTTCATTGGCCCATTTTTGCCCTCAAAGAAAATGCGAACTACTTAACATGGTTTCCAATGCACACTTTAACCTGCTCCTAAATGTCTGGCTTACTAGTTGGTACATTCTAGATGCTTTTCTCCCGTTTTACCTCTACCTTCACAATGTTTAGCTCCTGAAACAGTATGTTATACTGCCTTCAGGCCGTGCAGAGGTATCAATCGTCCCATACCCCACCAACTTTGTTACTACTGTCAGTGCCCTCCAGTGATGTCCTGTTTAAAAATCTCACTTCTAGGGGCTCAGTCGGCTAAGCGTCTGACTCTTGATTTAGGCTCAGGTCATGATCTCAGGGTCCTGAGATGCAGCCCCACCTCAGGCTCCATGCTTAGCCCAGAGTCTGCTGGAGACTCTCTTCCTCTCCCTCCCCCTTCTGCTCCCCCCATGTAAAATAAATAAAATCTTTAAAAAAAATTCCTTTAAATAAAAATTTTCCTTCTACTTGAGCTGTTGAGTCAAATGAAAAGTAAAATTCATCCGTTCCTCCAAAACCAATTTCCCGCTTCTAAGCTACTTGTTTATTTTAATGGTACCAACGTTATCCCACACTCGAACTTTGGAATCATCTTTAAAACTTCTCCCCCCATCACCTACATCCGTTTGTCCATATCCACTCGGCCCTAAAAGTTATTCCATTATGCCACTGACCTCTCCCTCTTTCTATTTGCACATACTTCTGAGTGAGGAGTGTGGAAAGGGTTGTTTAAAATAAAAAAGCAGAAAGCACGCCAATTGAAAACAGACAGCCTTGGGCAAACTCATAACTTTATAAATAATATCTTAATCTAAATAAGTAGCATCTTATGCTAATCTCAGTTTTCAGACAGGAATTGCCCATACACATGCTCCTTAGGTTGTTGAAACAAATTGCAAGTGCTACTTTCCTTTTTCTTCTTGACAAAACAAAACAAAACAAAAACATTAAAATGTACAAAATATATAAATGTATGATGTCATGGAAGACATTTAACTCATGATGTCATGAGTTAAAGCATTTTCTTATTATCAACTAGATCCTCCTGCCCCATAACAAATGCTCCAGCATCGCTTTGCTCTCACTGTTCTCAGCATCAGAAATGCCCTTCTCCATACTTTCAAAATTCTCTACTCAAAATCCTTACTTTGTTCTCCCATCTCACTTTCTTTACACATTCAGTGTATCTTGTATTATAATTTGGATGACCATGAAGGTGCTTCGTCTTCCCCATTGACTGTGAGCTCTTAGAGGACAGGGACTTTGTGAATATCCAATCAAAAATTATGCTTTAAAGCAGGGAGAGGCTTTAGAAGTGTTCAGGTCACAGGCTAGAATGAAGAAATAGAAAAAATAGGAAGAACCCAGAAGGATCCTCAAGCCTGAAGTTAGAAGACTAACAACAAACAACAAAAGAATCAGCGACCTGGAAGAGTAACTGAAATGTATTTTTGTAATAGAGATGCCACTCTTCCAAGAATCTCCAATTTGCATAGTTATAGACTGTCTGTAGTTCATCCCTGGGTCCAGAAAGGTCCTTCTCGATGCTGAGAAGTAGTGACAGATAGCCATGTGACTTTAATCAGTTACCATTTACCCCTGGCAGTAGTGGAATAATTCATGGCTTTCATCCTTTGCAAAGCTAGCCGAGAAAGAAAAGTGTCTATCATAGATGTGCAAGGCCACAAAGTTATCTTTGCCCTTGCCTTTTTTTTCCCCCCCTCTAAATTAGAAAAAGTCTCAGCTAGATGCATCAAGTGGTAGAGACCAGGGCTGGCAATGCTTTATCACAGATAGGAAGCTCTGGACAATTTTGTTGGGGTAGAAAAACATTTTTTGGAAATTTCAATCAGATTTTCATTTCGCTTCTAAATCAGTTTTTCTTGGGCGCCTGGGTGGCTCAGTTGGTTAAGCGTCTGCCTTCAGCTCAGGTCATGATCCCAAGGTCCTGGGATCAAGACCCATGTTGGGCTCCCTGTTCAGCAGGGAGTCTGCTTCTCCCTCTCCCTCTGCCCCTCCCCCCTGCTTGTGCATGTGCGCGCTCTCTCTCTCTCTCTCTCTAATAAATAAAATCTTTTACAAAAATAAATCAGTTTTTCTCAAGCCTCATAACAGTTGGAAGATTATAGTGCTTACTATCTAAATGACTACAGCATCTATTTTAAAAAAGTGACTCAAAAGCAGTTTTAGCAGCACTTCAGTTATTAGTTATCATGACTACTTTTTGTTGTTAAATTTTAAAAATCCACAATTTTTATTGTTCAAAATCAAAAATCTGACAATTTTTATGTAATTCAGGATTGAAATTATGTTTCATACAGAGATTAAAAAAACAAGCGTAGCCATTCAGGCTGAAATGGTGACTTTTATCTTTTAATGTTCATCTTTATACAACTTTAGATAATAGCATCTATAAACTGACACATAGGTTAGAGCTTAGTAAAGCACCATAGTGTTCCTTTAAGTCTCAAGATTATCTGTTGGCAACGTAATGTCTGTGTGTGTTTAAGATATCTATAGAAAGCATATTTTTATCCTAAAATATTTAAGTTCAACTTGTTTAATATTGTCAGTCCAATGATATTAATATTTGATAGTTTGACATCTGATAACTAGTTCCTGGGTATCTTGTGATCTCTGTGCAGAAACGGAACTTCAGACTGAGGGTGGAGCTTCTTAACTGAGGCAAGGGGTCAACTTCAACTTCCAACTGAACTGGAAGGGATTAAATCCCCAGCCCAGTGAAGACCCAGTCCCTCTTACACTCAACAGTGTCTATGCAGCTACGTGCTGATTTAGTAACTTGGTGCTACTGTGGAGCCCCCACCTCCAGAGAGAGAGGGAGAGAAAGCAGTAGTCTGGCACCCAGGTGCCGACATGGGCTCTGAGGAGCAGGGTAGAGAAGAGGTCATAGACCTTAATAGTACTAGTTGTAAATGCCTGAGAAGACAAGTATAATCAAAGACTTCTGGTCCATACATTGCATATGCTTAATAATATAACCTGTTTCTAAATCACAAATTGTGGTTGACCTCGCACTTTACTGCAAGGGGTATGGCTGGGGTCGGGGAGGCAAGAGATAAACCAACTCCATTTTAAGACCTTGAATAAAGACTAGATTTTTTAAACTGGCAATGGACAATACAGAGCACTTTACCCTACTTAACTACATGGGAAGAATTGCTACTCCAAGACAGAACAAAGAATGATATGATGGCTTATTCGATTTAAAAACACTTCTTAATTTGTTTTTTTAAATGGAAGGTAAAGAAGAATATAAGGCAGCAAATAAGCCTACAAACCAATTAACAGGCTACCTTCATTAACATGACACACTAGAAGGTATGAAATGCCTTTATGACCAATATTATTTTATGTATAAGAGCCTGACCATTATTAGCTTTTAGACCCACAAAGCTGGGCCTTACAGCCAAGACCTGTTACTACCAACCTACCCAATTTTCTCACCTATCTACTCATGAAATGGTTTCCAACAGAAATTTCTCACTCTTTGTTAGTTACATATTACAAAGAAGAATACTTTACCCATATTTGGCTTTGGACAAGATAAAAACCTTTATTTATAAATGTTCTATTCCCTTAAAATATATACAGAGAAAATAATTTGGATTAAAATATGATAAAATCACAGGAAACAAAGCCAAATTCTGATAAAAATCAAGGAGAAATTGGTGACACCCACGAAATCAAAACCAGTCATAACAATTACAAGAGGGTCAGGGCAAATATTCTGAAGAACCACCACATTAAATGTTCCTTGAACCCCGTATCCAGTGTTTTGTTCCATAAGTTAATAGCCAGTTCAGAAATTACAAGTTATGTATAGGCTATTTCTACCCACCTCACATCATGGTGAACTTATTTAATAAATGTAATATCAGAGAAAGGGATTGTCTTCACTCAAAGAATACAGTAGGAAAACCACTTGCTCAGAGTGACTGAGAATTCTTTTAGGAATACCATCATTCACCCTGAGAAACATTATTGAAGTACATGCACAGTTACCTCAACTCAAAACAAAATTATATTCCTTTCTTTGTGCAGGGAGAGTCCCTGTTCCTTGGTAGGCAATCAGCTACAGCAGCCTTGTAGTCCAGAGGCTGTGCCTAGAGCTGGTGATTTCTCTTCTTTCAGTTCAGGGCTGTGTGCTTTCCCGTCGTGCATCAGTAAGTGTGAGAAGTAAACAAACTGTTGATAGGTAGCCTTAGGAATATAACAGCAGAGAAGAGAAATGGCTGCCAATGATTGTACCTGGGACCATTGCTAATACAAGGCTGTAATAGCTTGACAATCTTGACTGTCAATGCTAAATTAGGAGTGGTTTTTGAATTCTTTGGGCATTCCAGTTGGTTAATCTTCCCCTTTACAAGAGGAAGGCTGACACGGTCAGTATCTATTTCTGGAAGCTATAAGGCAAAAGGGGGGATTGGTGTGAAGTGAGTTCTTATGGGGAAGACTTCCCCCAGGTGAAGCTTGAAGACTTTGCACTTTTTCCTCCCACCAGGCGTTTGGTGCTTCTTGATCCTGTGGGGGTCCCAGAGACCCCAGCATCACTATGCTCTTCCTGGGAGGACCAGGCCTGCTGAGCTTCTCTCAGTTCCCTGACAATTAAAGGGGAAAAAATATATTACTTGATCCTAAATTAAAGATGATATTTATGATCTAAATTTTTCTTTTTATTTCAGTATTTATAGAAACAAGCCTGAGCTATATAGAAGCCATATATATACATATATATATATATATATGTATATATATGTATATATATGGCTATATATAGAAAATTAACTCCTGTGATTTTCTTTAAAAATGGCTGGCACACATATGCCATAACACATGGCAGATTAGGTTTCCTAAATCCTACTGATTGGGGCACAAATGATGTTTAAAATTTTTTTAAATAAAAACCAGATAAAGACACCACTAAAAAAGGACTACAGGCCAATATCTCTGATGAACATAGATGCACAAATTCTCAAAATATTAGCAAACTGAATTCAATAATACATTTAAAAATCATTCACCACAATCATTCCCACAAGTGGGATTTATTGCTGGGTTGCGAGGGTGGTTCAGTATTCATAAATCAATCAATGTGATATATCACGTCAGTAAGAGAAAGGATAAAAACCATATGATCATTTTAATAGATACAGAAAAAGCTTTTGACAAAGTACATCATCCATTCATGATAAAAAAAAAAAAAACCCTCCACAAAGTAAGTTTAGAGGAAACATACCTCATCATAATAAAGGCCATCTATGAAAACCCACAGCTAACATTATCCTTAATGGGGAAAAACAGAGCTTTTCCCCTAAGATCAGGAACAAAATAAGAATGTCCACTCTCACCATTTTCACTTAACATAGTAGTGGAAGTCCTAGCCACAGCAAGCAGACAACAAAAAGAAATAAAAGGAATCCAGATCAGTAAGGAAGAAGTAAAACTTTCACTATTTGCAAATGACATGAAACTATATTTAGAAAACCCTACACACTCCACCAAAAAGCTGCTAAAACTGATAAACGAATTCATTAAAGTTGCAGGATACAAAATCAATCTGCAGAAATCTGTTGCATTTCTATATACTAATAACGAAGCAGCAGAAAGAGAAATCAAGGAATCGATCCCATTTACAGTTGCACCAAAAACTATAAGGTACCTGGGAATAAACCTAACCAAAGAGGTGAAAGACCTGTACTCTGAAAACTGTAAAACACTGATGAAAGAAATTGAAAACGACACAAAGAAATGGAAAGGCATTCCACACTCGTAGATTGGAATAACAAATATTTAACAATATTTGTTAAAATGTCTGTACTACCCAAAGCAATCTACATTTAATGGAATCCCTATCAAAATACCAACAGCATTTTTCACAGAACTAGAAGAATCCTAAGATTTGTATGGAACCACAAAAGACCCCAAATAGCCAAAGCAATCTTGAAAAAGAAAAGCAAAGCTGGAGCCATCACAAGTCAAGACTTTGAGTTATATTACAAAGCTTTAGGATTAAAACAGTATGGTACTAGCACAAAAATAGACACATAGATCAGTGGAACAGAATAGAAAATCCAGATATAAACCTACAGTTATGTGGTGAGTTAATCTTCAACAAAGCAGGAAAGAATATCCAATGGGGAAAAGACAGTCTCTTCAACAAACAGTGTTGGGAAAACTGGACAGAACATACAAAAGAATGAAACTGGACCACTTTCTTACACCATACACTAAAATAAACTCAAAATGGAATAAAGACCTAAGTGTGAGACCTGAAACCATAAAAATCCTATTAGAGAAACACAGGTAGTAACTTCTTTGACATTGGCCATAGCAATTTCTTACTAGATCTGTCTCCTGGGGCAAGGGAAACAAAAGCAAAAATGAACCGTTGGAACTTCATCAAGATGAAAAGCCTATGCATAGTGAAGGAAACCATCAATGAAATTAAAAGGCAACCTATGGAATGGGAGAACATATTGGACAAATGACATATCTGATAAAGGGTTAGTTTCCAAAATATATAAAGAACTAATACATCTCAACACCCAAAAAATAAATAATCCAATTAAAAATGGGCAGAAGATATGAATAAACATTTCTCTAAAGATGACATCCAGATGGCCAACAGACACATGAAAACTTGGTCATCATCACTTATCAGGAAAATGAAAACTACAATGAGATACCATCTCACACCTGACAGAATGGCAAAAATCAACAACACAAGAAACAACAGGTGTTGTGGCGAAGATGTGGAGAAAAAGGAACCCTCTTTCCCTGTTGGTGAGAACGCAAACTGGTACAGCCACTGTGGGAAACAGTATGGAGGTTACTCAAAAAGTTCAAAATAGAACTACATTATAATCCAGCAATTGTACTACTGGGTATTTACACAAAGAATACAAGAACACTAATTCAAAGGGATACATGCTCCCCAATGTTTATAGCAGCATTATCTGCAATAGCCAAATTATGGAAGCAGCCCAAGTGTCCATCAATACATGAATGGGTAAAGAAGATGTGATATATATATTTGATGGAATATTATTCAGCCATAAAAAAAGAATGAAGTCTTGCCATTTGCAAGGATATGGATGGAACTAGAGAGTATAGTCAGAGAAAGACAAATACCGTATGATTTCACTCATACATGGAATTTAAGAAACAAAACAAGCAAAGGGAAAAAAATACAAAGACAAATCAAGAAACAGACTCTTAACTATAAAGAACAACCTCATGGTTACCAGAAGAGAGGTGGGTAGAGGGATGGGTTAAATAAGTAGCTTGTTCTTGGGGTTGTGAGTTCAAGCTCCACATTGGGCCTAGGGCTTACTTTAAAAAGCAGGAAACGAAACAAAAAACTACCTTTCCAGTGTGGCTGTCTTGAACTTTTCCAAGTTAAGCTGCTGCTGGAGCTCTTCTGCTTTCCCAAGGGAGGGCCGGAGAACTCGACTTCTGGCCAGAGCTGCTGCTGAAGCTCTCTCCCTTGGGTCAGGGTGGATCATGTTCTGTTGATGTTGGACCAAAACAAAAGATACAGAAACTTCACTGCTGGGAAAATCTCCCCACCCAAGCCAACTCCAACCCAGCTACTGCTGGTGAGTTTTGTGAAACTCTGCTTTTAACTTTGTAGGGGAAGAAATAAATGAACACTTAGCTCCACCAGGGACGGGAGCATCATCCCTACACAGTGGCATCCATCATCCGTACCTTTGACTTGTCTTTATCATATTTTAGAGCTAGTTGCGTGATTAACTAGTTTAATGCCTTAATTTTATTTTAATTTTTTTAATGCCTTAATTTTAAGTGAGAAGAAACTGAGGTCCTGAAATCAAGAGTGACTTGTCCAACTTATCAACAGGACCAAGACTAAAACCCAAGTCACCCAAGTCCCAGTTCCATTTGCTTTCCACTACCACATGCTCCTTCTCACTTAAAACTAAGGATACCCCACCATGACAGTATTCCTACAGCACTCATCTTCAGGTAGAAAGTGCCTTGACCTAAAAAACTTAAATACAGTAGAAAATGGCTAATTATTTACAGCAATTAGCAATGTTGTATAATGGAGAAAACACTGGACCTTCCATTTGGAGACCCATGCTCAGAGCCAGTTCCACCATTCACTAAGTGGCTTGAGAAAGTGACTTAACTATGCCGAAACTCACTTTCCCTTTCCTGATACTTGGGATAACAATATTCACCTTGTGGAGCATTGCAAGAATTAAATAAATTGACATATATGTATAGTTATACATAGTGCCCTGGGCCAGCCCTGAAGTACTCAGTATGTATCAACTAAATCTAAGAGTAATTGACACATAGAAATAAGTGATTAGGTTATGCACGAAAGTTCACTGTGAGCAAGGGTTTACCTTGTTCTTTCAGGAAAGCAGAAGCACAGAAAGACAAGTTTATAACAAAATTTGAAGTTTTCAGGTAAACTATGAAATTCAAATTTAATCCCCAAGAGTAAATGTTTCTAAGGCTATTGTAGGGATCCTAACCAATCCTGTTCCTAAAACCATGAAATCTTACGTAGACGTTTTGTATTCTTAGTATCTAATTCTAGGCTTCTCAACAGTGTCATTTTCTTGTACCTCGATTTCAACAGAAAGCTTCCTTTCCTTGTCCCTACACGTACTCAGATATCACAGAGTACAAGTAACGCATAGATTCCCGAACTAACATTATGCCTTTTTCCAATAGTGCAGATGATTGGTGGTATTGCCAGTTATTCATCAGTAAAGTAGTTTATACTTTCTTCTATACACTTAGAATTCAAATTTTTTTTTTTTGTAATATCACTGTTACCAATGACAATAGTTAAAACCCTGACCCAAGAGCAAAAGATCAGGTTTGATTTCAGAGTTAATCAGTTATCAAAGGTGAGAATACAAGTCCAGGAACTCCTCTGGGCCTCGGTTTCCTGAACTGCCCACCTTAACAGGGTTGTTGGGAAGGGCAGAGAAAAACATGTAACAGGATTTTAAACTAGAACATGAAAGGTTCTATAATATCCTTTAAGTTTCCTTGAGAAGCTTTCAATCAGTCCTGTGGCTTTTCTGGGCTTCAGGGTCATGATTCTTTTTTCCTCTGTCAGTGGCACCACCAACACCTCCCTTTCCCTCTCCCTACCTCCTTGCCATTATATTTTTTTTTTTAAATAGACATTTCTATCTTCTCTTCATCTCCTAAGAGATACCACCTTGAGTAGATTGTAAAATTCTTCTGAGAGTTTCTGAGGAATGTCTGGAAGGTTCCCCTCACGAATATGATGCCATGCGGTGCCATTGGTGGGTAATGAATCTGCTCCTGCAGCCACTGCAATTGTTAATCCCAAGGCAAATATGTCTGCTTTGGGAAGGTGCTGATAATCCTTCAAAACAGACGATAGGAAGGCCAGTTAGGTTGCCTAGTGAAGTGAGTATAAAGACAACTGGTAAAAGAGGTTCATTTGAGCGCACATGAGCTTAAACAGACACAATGGGCAAGGTCACATCTGCCGTGGCTAGTAGTTTACTTCTAGAGAAGATGGACGATACAGCACAAATCCACCTGATTCACATTGCTGTGCCCTGAAGCATTTAAGGTAGAATCTTAGGGCCATTTTGTTCTGTCAGGCTCAAAGAGTTCAAGGATAGACTGGCACGTCCCAGATATTATCATCCTGGAGGGAATTAAATCCTTCCTAGCCCTGACTCCACAGACATCCTATTAGGTAGACAATAACTAAAGGTCATTTCATCAGAGCTGGTGGTGCTATCAAAAGGATGATAGCATGATAAGGATGGGCTGAACCAATAAAGGCTTCCTTTCTGCTAGAGAATCCATGATTTTAGGATTCTAAGAAATACTAGCAACAGTAAAGGACCTTTATAAAAAACAGTAAAAATATTAATCCATGATCAAGCCAGCTTTTCTTATGCCTTTTTTGGGGGGTGGGGGCGGGGGGAGTTTCTCTCTTACCTTTGGTCTCAATTCTGAATAGGAAAAGGGATAATATCAATTTAAATTGTAAATATAGACTTTTCAGGGCACCTGGGTAGCTAGTTAAGCATCCGACTCTTGATTTCAGCTCAGGTCATAATCTCAGGGTCATGAGATCAAGCCCTGCACTGCATTGGGCTCTGCACTCAGCACAGTGCCTGCTTGAGATTCTCTCCCTCGCCCTCTGCCTTTCCCCTTGCTCCTGCACTAGCACTCTCTCTCTAAAGTCTTTTTTAGGGGCGCCTGGGTGGCTCAGTCGTTGAGCGTCCGCCTTCAGCTCGGGTCACGATCCCAGGGTCCTGGGATCAAGCCCCATATTGGGCTCCCTGCTCCGCAGGAAGCCTGCTTCTCCCTCTCCCACTCCCCCTGCTTGTGTTCCCTCTCTCGCTGTGTCTCTCTCTGTCAAATAAATAAAATCTTAAAAAATATATATAAAGTCTTTTTTTTAAATGGTAAATATATACCTTTCAGCTTTTGCACTGTGAACCTTCATTTGAGAGTTAAAAAGTTCAATGAATTATAAAATACCCTCTGTTTCCCTAATCTTTACCTCTTGTAAAATCTCATTAGCCAGGAAGCGACTATCTCCCTCCTCCACTTTCGGTTTGCTTATTGAGGTCACATGACCCAAGTCACCTAAAAAAATAAAGAAAAAATAGAGCCCTTTAAAAGTGTGTCTTTAAAACTGGAACAAATGGAATCATCACTATAAATTTTATAATATACAGGTCAGGGCTTAAGGCAAACTCACCAATTTTATACATCACATTGGCAGAGAGAAACCAATCAGCTTCATTTTCAATCTCTTCTGGGACTATAGGAGAGTCACTTTGCATCTTATGACAAATGAAGATGTTACCTAAAAAAAAAAAAAAAAAAAACCAAATTGACAAAGTAATGATTCCTTAGCTTTTTCACTCAAAGATTCTTTTCTGTGTCTGACATTTTAGCCACCCTCCTCTTCTGTGTAACAAGACTACCATGGTCTCTTTCCTTTTGTGGAATCTCTCACACTACTTCTGAACAGCTCAGTGATTGAGAATATCTATAAGTGAAACTGATCTCAGATACACCTCATCGTCTGAAGAGGCTAGTAGCCTCAAAACAAAGAAATAGCCTGAAAAAATGGTATCAATGTTTCTTTGAGTTTCATGTTATTGAGTGCCAAAACCAGTTCTATTCACTTTAGCCAGTGCTGAATTAGAAAGAGTAATATATAGCACTAGTCGTCAATACGTTTAGGATGTAGCCAAAACGCTGTCACTTAGCTATGCAGTAAGTTAGAGACCTAATTTCATACTTTGGCTTCGCCATCTGGGAAAGAGCCTTCTCTCTCTCTGTCCTCTAGGCCCAGGAGGGAAAATGGATAAAGCTGTTTAAATTTTTTAGGGAAATAAATGAAAGCGATTTTGCCAGCAACCAGCATCTTCGATGCTTAGTAGACACACAGGCACCAGCTCGGTGGAGAATCTGGCCCAGGAGCAGAGGGGAGCCATACTGACTAGGTTTGATGTCCAGGTGCACCATGCCAGAGTTGTGGATGTACTTAAGCCCAAGGGAAATCTGCAGAAGGATGTCCTTGAGTTTTGGCTCTTGGAAATGATTGCCAGACTTCGTGTTTTCAGATAAAGCAGACTGCAAGCTCCCACCTAGGAAGGAACAACAGAGAGCAACCTCACAGAATAGAGAAAAGGCATGAATCGTAATATATAAAAGCGTAGTAAACATTCAATAAAGTTCTTGTGAATGAGTTCAGTCCAACAAGTTTAGATTATTCAGTTTCAGTGTAAAACACAATATCTGCCCCTGTCTATACCACAGATGTGTTGGAAAAGAGTTATAGGACTTTTAAAGAAGAAAATAAAATGCCACACCCCAGGTATCCAATGTGTGGTTGTATTGCCTTGAGTATGCCCAACTAACATTTTAAAAGGGCTAGGTATCTAATTATTAACCAGAAGCCCAATCAGGCCTAGACAAATAGCTGCTATTGGCATTGATGATTAAGTCAGTGTCAAGCTAGTAATTACAGGCTACTAGTAACTTTAGTGTAATTGATTCTAAGTTTAATTCCATTAAAAATATATCACAAAATAAGATTATTTAATGATTGCTGACCCAAGGAAAATATAAAACTTCAATATACACCTAAATCCTATTTGAGCCACAGTATTTGCATATCAACTATAGAAAGACTCTTGATTTATCATTGTTATCAGTAAAAAATAAGGCCTGGGAAGCCTGGCCGCCATCATGAACGACACAGTAACTATCTGGACCAGGAAGTTCCTGACTAACCGACTACTTCAGCGGAAACAGATGGTCATTGATGTTCTTCACCCTGGAAAGGCAACGGTACCTAAGACAGAAATTCGGGAAAAACTAGCCAAAATGTACAAGACCACACCAGATGTCATATTTGTGTTTGGACTCAGAACCCATTTTGGTGGTGGCAAGACAACTGGCTTTGGCATGATTTATGATTCTTTGGATTATGCAAAGAAAAAGGAACCCAAACACAGACTTGCAAGACATGGCCTGTATGAGAAGAAAAAGACATCAAGAAAACAGCGAAAGGAACGTAAGAACAGAATGAAGAAAGTCAGGGGGACTGCAAAAGCCAACGTTGGTGCTGGCAAAAAGAAATGGGCTGGAGATTGGACAACAGAAGGAGTAAAGATGCTGCAGTGGCTTTATCTGTGGTGGTTGTGCAGACTTTTCATGAGAGGATCAATAAACTAAGAATGTTAAAAATAAATAAATAATAAGGCCTGGACTCATCTGACTACCTGATCTTGCTTGCCCCTGTCCTAAGGTATTAGAATGCTTCTGAACCTTTATTCCCTTAACTTGCGTTCACTGGCAGCCTCTTCAGTCAAATTCTAGTCCTGGGTCTCTCTGGTCATTAGGGCTCTAGCCTTGAAGTATCTGTCCAGAACAATCTAGGATCTGAGATGGTAATGGTATTTTTTAAGAAATCCATACTTTACCATATCCCATGTAAAATTCAATATAAAGATTGACCTGTTGTGTTAAAATAAATTCAGAAAAGAGAAGAATTTCAGCCATTTTCAGAAACACAGAGGCCTAAAGTGAAGAGTGTGTCTGGTTTTCTTTTTCCCCACTCAGAACTCTTCTCAGAATTTATGTGCCAGAGAAGACATTAGATAGAAAGGAAGAGGGTGCTGAAACAAAGTCACCTGGAGTCTAAGTTTCCAGACGAAGCCGTGAGGTGTGGCAAGGAGGAGGTGGCCTGCAGCTAAGGCTCCCATGTCCCCTGGAACTCATCTCCCACTAGGCTCGGTGCTCCTTCAAGACACGGCCCCACCTTATGCAGTTCCACTTTCTCAAGGTCTTGCATCTCATCTATGTGTTCTGAACTGAATGTCTATCCTGGCAACAGAAGGAAAGGAGAGACTGAGACAGGGACCCCTTAGAAGGTGTGGAAAGAGAGAAGCCCCCTGTGGGTCCGTGGGAACCCTCTCAGATGGTCTTTTAGATTATAAGCTGAGGTATACTGTCAGTTCCCTGAAGAACTACAGGTATTTATTAAGGGTAACTAGACCAGTGAGAGCAGCACTTTTAATTACTTAGAAGCTCTGTAGATAATATTAAAGTTAGCCAAGTAATAATTAACAGTAAAAGTTACTGAAAAGCTTTTATGCAAAGGTGTTAGAAGGTGTTTATTTTGCCAAAGCTAAAGCTGATTGTCTCTCCCTTATCAGAGAGCATTATTAACTGTTCTTTGCTAAATAGTATTAAGAAAGTAGGTGTTCATAGAGCAATACTGAATGAACTATAAACTTCATCCCTGCTAATCTCAGCTACCCTGGAGCCTTAACTCCATACCCCAATGTACCACCTGGAGATGGTACCAGAATTGCCAGCATTGTGCCCTAGGAGGAAACAACCAGCTCCTGGACAGCTCTTCTCAAACCATCTTTATGAGATGGCCGGCTGGATTCTTTCTTTAGATAAAAGTTGGTTTCCCTACTTGGCAGGGGGGAAAAAAGAAGAAACTTAAGAAAGACATATCTATGTTTTTCCATCTGCTTATGAGGCCTGACAGACTAAAATAAATAGCAAATGCCTTCCAACAATGAAATGTAAACAGCAGAACAACAATTCAACAGGGTATTTTGTTCATACACTTGTATTCTCAAAATCTTGATTTTATGTTGCTCGCTACAACACAAGCATATTTTTCTGCTGGTAAAGTTATTCCTCGTTTGGTGGGAAAACAAAACCAGTATTCATGGTGTTCCACAGAGAAGGCAGGCTTCTGGATGTCACATCACTGGAACAAATCCAAGAACCACCATCCTAGGGGAGCAGGCTCTATAAAACTTCAGTGACAGAAGTCATCACAAGAAAATACTATCATTAGGGACAGATTAATCATCCCATCCTGAGTCGTTTGGAATCCTGGTGACTGCACAATTGATCTACTTGCTGGATGACCTTCAGATTTCAGAGGCTGACCCCAAGGTGATGTGTAAGAGATCTTGGCAAGGGTGAGGGCGGAGGAAGGAACATTTGATTGGTTCAGGGCTTACAAGGCACAGTCGGGAAAATCAGATAACTGCCTGTCTCTACCAATTATGATGTACGTTATCTAAGTCATCTAATTTATAATCTGAGCAAAACTATAACTATACATGGTCTAGCCTGACTGTTGGGACAGGCTGGGGGTACAGGGATAAAGGTGGCAAGCATGACGATGAAGAGATGAGAAAGGGGGAGAGGTAGAGAATGGAGGGGGGAAGGATTAGAAGGAATCAGGCACTGGCTACTCTGCCACCTTACAAGTACTTGGACTTAGTCTCCTTTATTTAGAGCCACAGGGCAAAGTCTCAACATGGATTATCCATAACTACAAATAAGACAAGTATAAGGGCATAATTTATTTTCAATGATCAGTTCACATTTGAAAGCAATGTATACGAATTACATTTTGATAAATCAGAATTACATTTTAATGGGCAAGTATGCAGTGAAGTTAGTGGACCACCATGGTAAACAGACAATGATTCCTCATGATATACTCCGAAATCGACTGCCTGGAAACCTCCAAAAGCCCTCCATAGCCTTCCCACACTTTACCTTTCTGGTCTTACTTAGGGATCAGCTCAGTCCTGTCAGTCTCCTTACTGTCTGCTTGGTCAGACCCATCCCCAATACCATGCCCTCTGTCTGCATACTGTTCCTCTAATGGGGGAAGTCTTCCCTCTACTTGCTTAAACTCTGGTAATCTTTCTGCAAGCCCCCTTTCAAGTCTTACCTCCTTTATGAGATTTTCTTGGGTTGCTCTAATAACTATTACTGAGTTCTTACTATGTATCAGGTATTGACACTGTGCTGGCCTTTGACATAGATTGTTGCTATTTCTCAAACTACTCCCTTAAGTAAATACTACGATCCCTTTACTCAGTGGGATTGACATCCCAGAGATCATACAACTAGTGTGCCGCACCCAGGTCTGCCTGACTTTAAAGCCCGGGCCCATTCTACCACACTGTGCTGCCCCTCGCTCACATCCATCTTCTCTGAATGCTTTTTAACCGTAGTTGTACCACCTGGCTTTGCAGCAAATTGTCTCGAGTATTCGTTGTAACAGAGCAAGTGGAGTAAAGCTCCTTGAAGGACTTACCTTAGCTCACTCTATGGTGTATCTCACCTTAGAACTTATTATAATATCATACCTGTAGAAGGTATTCAAATGTTGAACAGAATTAGAAGATGATTTGTAATAGGAACAATCACTCCTTCTTATTCTTTTTAAAATTTGAAATCTTTACAGTGCCCCAAGTCAGATTAAATTAATTCTGTTTTGTATGACTTTCTTGGCTAATTTTGTTGATATTATCTTTGTTAATAGTTAAAAGTCATGAAAATAAAACCAATTTGGGGGGTGGGGAGGGAGAAGAATAGGGAATCTCAGGTTATAAGAAGGAATTAGGAAGAGAAGATTAAGAAAAGTCTCAACTTCTCAATCACAAGGAAAGGGTCCATTTTTTTTTTTTTATCCTAAAGAGACTATTAGAAAAAGGGATTTAGGTGAACTTGCTAGAGAAAAGAAACCAACAAAGTTCCTAGTTAATACTACAAGGAAATCAGGCCCTAACGAAACTCCAAATCATTATTTTGCAGCATGTGTGTAATATTTTCTATGTTTCTAGCATTTCATAATATTATCTACTTAACCTACTTGTATATATAATGATGAAGCTTTACCACTGACCGCTCTCCTCAAAAGTCAGGCTGCACATACATACTCAGAACTACCTAGTGGTTACTAAAATTACTCAAAGACTGTACTATCAGAGAAACTTGAGGGTGGGTGTACATGTTGTTTGGGCTGGGGGAGCAGGTTTGGGAGGGATGCCATTTCCACTATTACCATGGTCAGAATATGGATTGCTGCTCCTAAAATGCCAGCAAGCTTCTACTTAATTTGGTAGCACTTTCCTATTTTACCAGTGAACATGTTGATGAAACATATTTGAGAATAATCACGTGTAACTGTACTGTTATGTCAACCCCTTAATCACAGATTAAAATATGTTAAACTAAAAGACTACTTTCTTGGGGCGCCTGGGTGGCTCAGTCATTAAGTGTCTGCCTTCGGCTCAGGTCATGATCCCAGGGTCCTGGGTTCGAGCCCCACATCGGGCTCCCTGCTCTGTGGGAAGCCTGCTTCTCCCTCTCCTACTCCCCCTGCTTGTGTTCCCTCTCTCACTGTGTCTCTCTCTGTCAAATAAATAAATAAAATCTTTAAAAAAAAAAAAGACTACTTTCTTTATTTAAGTAGCCCAGAAAAAAGTTCTGCCAGTTTCTTGTGTATGTATGGTTCTGAAGTCATTGCATCTCATTCCCAGCACCCACCCCACGCTCAAACTCTAGTGAGAACACTAAAGCTCAAAGGTAAGAAGCATCAAGATGCATGAACTATCCCCCAATTCAGGAATCCACTTGAAAATTAATCAAAAGTTGGCTGTGTAAGTTTAATCGCTCCCTCCCTGAAAATGGTAGGGACTATGGTTTACATCTTTTAGAATACCTAGCAAATGTAAGAGGATTTACCATTCAAACCACTAGGGCAAAATTTTTCTAAGTATTGAGTAAAGTATGAAGGGATTGATAGCTTCTATATGTCAGCCACACATCAGCTCTGAAAGAAATATGACATAGCAAAAATGGAAGTTCTTTTCAACATAACTCCATGTCCTCAGCTCTCTGCTTCCAAGCAAAACCATAGTACAGACTTTTTAGGTATAACTGCTGTGCCTGGCATAAAATACAAGGAGGAGGCAAAGATTTTTTTTTCCTGGAGACTTAAACGTTCATCTCCCTCTCCATAGATACTAGTCCACATACTTACCATTGCAGTATTCATTCTGAATGATCATGTGGTCATCTTCTGCCCATGCAGAGTAGTAACGTACCACATGCGGGTGATGCCCAAGCACTGCATGAGCATAAACTTCATGCAAAGCCAAATTCCTAAAAGACGGAAAAGCATCAAGAAAAATTAGTCAAGGGGCACCTGGGTGGCTCAGTTGGTTAAGCGACTGCTTTCGGCTCAGGTCATGATCCTGGAGTCCCGGGATCGGGTCCCGCATCGGGCTCCCTGCTCAGCAGGGAGTCTTCTTCTCCCTCTGACCCTCTTCCCTCTCATGCTCTCTATCTCTCATTCTCTCTCTCTCTCTCTCAAATAAATAAATAAAATCTTTAAAAAAAAAAGAAAAAGAAAAATTAGTCAAGATAATATACATACAAATGTTTTTTTAAAAGACAAGACTCTAGACTCCAGGAAACAAACTGAGAGTTACAGAAGGGAGGGGGGTGGGGGGATGGGGTAACCAGGTGATGGGTATTAAGGAGGGCACATGTTGTGATAAGCACTGGGTGTTATATCCAACTAATGAATCGTTGAACATTACATCAAAAATTTGTGATGTGCTATAAGTTGGCTAATTGAACATAATAAAAAATAAAATATAAGACAAGATATGAGTGAGGCATTATTAACAGTGGCAGAACATTTACTGAGTACTCGCTTGCTTACTATTTTATCTCATTTAATTTTCATAACTACTCAGTAAGATATAGTGGCAAGGATGAAGGCTTTAGAAAAGCTGGGACTGGCCCAACATCAAGCCGGTGATAGTAGACCTAAGACCAGAACCTTGATCATCCTAGTACCAAAATCCATGGTTTTTTTCTTATCATGTTAATCACCATACCATCATCATTAGTTTTTGATGTAGTGTTCCATGATTCATTGTTTTCGTATAACACCCAGTGCTCCATGCAGTAATACCCATCACCAGGCTAACCCATCCCCCCACCCCCCCCTCCCTGGAACCCTCAGTTTGTTTCTCAGAGTCCATAGTCTCTCATGTTTCATCTCCCCCTCCGATTTCCCTCCCTTCATTTTTCCCTTCCTACTATCTTCTTCTTTTTTAACATACAATGTATTACTTGTTTCAGAGGTACAAGTCTGTGATTCAACAGTCTTACACAATTCACGGTGCTTTTTTAATCGAACATGGCATATGTAAAGAGGAGTGTTAGGTTGTTACTATCTCAGTGGCAGACATGCTTTGAGTTTTAATTTCACTGTATTACAATTTAAAAAAAAAACTTTGATGCGCTTAATAAAGCCACTATGGACTTGATGGTTGGATTTTGTAATGGATCCTCTATCTTCTCTGTGAAGGCTAGACATCACTAGAGTCCGTATTACACTCAGCCAATATGATATAGTCACAGGGACAGTCTTGGGGAGAGATATTCATTATGGAACAGGAAATCCAACACACAAAAAAGTAAAATGTAGTACTCGATGAATTTTGGTATAAAAATGAAGAAGGTCCATAATTTCAGATTCAGCAAACTAAGTATTACATTCCCACAGTTCACAAAAAGCATTGGCTGAATCTAAAAATAATTGTTTTCTTTGTAAAAGGAAGAACTTCTGAACAATTAGTTCTGGGAGTGAAAGTTAAATTTTGTTGCTTTTTTTCTCACTTGTAGTCTTGGAAACATTGAACTCATTATTGAATTCATTATTAATACAAAATGGAGATAACCAGTGAGTTAACAGTAACTTCCTACTTGGCAATATTTCTAATGAGCTAACAGGCAGAAGATCATTCCATAAATCTATTCATTAAAGCAAAAGCAGTCAGACCAGTAGGAAAAGCCTCAAGAACCATGGGGAAAAAAAAAAATGGAGGGGATAGCAATGGGTATGTTTTTTAATGACATCAGTACTATTATTTAAAATGTTTTGACGAGAAATAACCTTCCAAATCAAAGTTTGTACTTCTAGTACATTTCAAAGGCACTTACTCATTTGATAATCCTGCAAAAGGTTTCGTGGAACGTTTTATTGCATAAACACATCCATCCAGCCTCTTAATACACTTGTAGACTGTACCGAATTCCCCAACTCCAATTTTTTCTACCTCCAAGAATTCTTTTTCATAGCGGGAAGCCATGTTGGTTTCTCGTAGAACACATCTCTGAAATATTTTATTAAAATATTAAAATAATTCTTTCTAACATATTGTAAGCAATAAATTTAAGGCATATTCCAAAATTCTCAAAGTTTTCAAAAAGACTTTTGAGGCAAATCTTTTTGATTCTGTGTCAGCATTCATGGTAGCAAGAACCTCCCCAGTTGCTGACTACCTTCTTTGTACTCTTCATAACCGTCTATACAACTCTGTACTGGCATTTTTTCATATATTAAGTCTTTTTCTATGTTATTTCTTCTGTCTGGGATATTCTTCTTCTCAATATGTTTTTAGAGGGGATGCCCCTGCTCACAGCAACATTCACTGTCCTCAACTGAAGGAATGGCTGGGATCCAAGTAGAGCATGTTAAGAAAAAAAAAAAAAAGATACCTCCTTTTGACTCTTGTCTACCTATCTCACACTCTGGCTGCTAATGTTTCCATCTCAAATTGTGTTCAATTTGCTTCCTCAAAAATCTTAGTGTGGAGAACAAAATTGTCAAATTGATTATTTCAGCTTATGTGCTCAGGTATAGCAGTCCTTCCACCTACTGGCTGACTTGCAACATCTCTCTTTCTCCAGCCAGTAGGTAACCCTAGGCAAAAATCGCTGAACTCCTCTATTAGTTTTCTCATCTAAAGTAAAGTGAGCACCTAGCAACTACTCCTCAGGGTTCTTTTAAATATTACATGAGAAAACGTGGGTAAAGAGGAGTGTGTGTGTGTGTGTGTGTGTGTGTGTGTGTGTGTGTGTGTGTGACTTAGCTCAATGCCAAGCACACTAAATTCTCAGTAAATCGTAGCTAAGACAATAAAAATCTCCATGAATTTATATGAATCTCAATCCAAACTAATTTATCTCCATGAAGTCATCCTTTCTCAATATCCCTGTTAGCAAGAAGTTTTTCATCTAACTTGATTTTAAACAGTCTTGACTCTTACTAGCTCCTCATTTCAACATCTAGTACCAACCAGTCTTCATTAGCAAGATCTAGAATTTTCATTGCCCTTAGCCAATCTCAAATTCTGTTTCCCCCATGTCTGGAGCTGCCATAGCTACCAGCCCCCTCTCTCCATCTCTTCTAATAGCGAAAATTATTTTTGCAAAATGATACCATAGAATCAGACACACTTAATTGTCTCCCACAGGGAATCCAAAGTTCTGGTCAGAGACCTCAAGGCCTTCTCCCAGTTGCTCAGCCACTACCTTCCCATCATCTCAGACACCAAATAAGCCAGCTTACCATCTACATCATTCCCCAGCCTCAAGCCCTTCCCCTCCACTTTTGTAAACTGAATATTAAGCATAAGTATGTTTTCATGGTTTTATAAACTTCTTAATGGCAATTTAATATTCCACTGTAAATTATAATTATTTTGGCCGTTAATATTGGACATTTAGTACTTTTTTTTTGCCATTACAAGTTAAGGCTGCAATAAACATCTCTGGTGATAATATTTACAGTATTATTTTATTAGGCTAGGTTATCAAATGAGGGATGCTACAACAAAGATCGTGAACATGATTTAAAAATAAATAGATAGGGGCGCCTGGGTGGCTCAGATGGTTAAGCGTCTGCCTTTGGCTCAGGTCTTGATCCCAGGGTCCTGGGATCCAACCCCATGTCGGGCTCCCTGCTCAGAAGGGAGCCTGCTTCTCCCTCTCCCTGCCTCTCCCCTGCTTGTGCTCTGTTTCTCTCTCAAATAAATCTTAAAAATAAATAAATTAATTAATTAATTAAATAAAAATAGATAACTGATACATTTAAGAGCTAAAATTTTACATTTAAACTTCTGGCTTTATGCCATATTTCTCTCTTCTGCTTCTCCATTTTTGGACCTTAAATATCTTGAATTTTCCCTTCACTTCTCTACCCCACAAATACAGAATTTTTCCATAAATCCAAGATAGAAACAGTAGCCATTAATTTAAAAACACTGCAAGTTAATGATGCAGCGATATATTGATCAGGCACTGTCTGATAAAGTAGTAACTAGCTAAGAATATAGACCTTGCTGAGAGTCCAGATCAACTGGTAAAGCACATGGTAAATCTACAAAGTGAGGTGGGGGGCTGGTATGGAGAGAGAGGGAGAAGGAGACAGAGAGAGAGATTGACAACAGGATGAAGTGCCCAAGTTATGACAGCTGAAACAAAGAAGTGTGCTCACCTTGGCAGGCAGCCCTTGTTCTACATCGCCTTCCCCAGGACCAGCTTCCTCACTTAGAAAAAAAAAAAAAAGTGATATCAATGTATGATTGGCATGGGCTTGATACTATACTAGGTTCTGGGGTTGTGAGAGTAAATAGGACAATTCCTTCCCCACTTCCATTTATATTTGGGGACAAGGATAAATAGAAAATTTCAATGTAAGAAACAAGAATAAGAACAAGATATCAAGTGACACCATAGGCAGCACCCGAATCATGATTTCAAGAGTAAAAGTCTTTCCCGAGAAAGGATAGGCAAGCTAAATTTCAAGAACCGGTAGGAATCAGGTAAGGGGCAGGAGTGGGGGTCTAGGCAAACAGAGCAACACTGAACAGTGGAGGTGAGAGCACACAGGACACAGGAAACTGAGCACTCTCTTTCCTGCCTCACTGCAACCTTCCCCTCCAACACGCACCTCCCCTGCTTTGCCCTAGGTTCACAGGCAGACCATCAGTACAGCAGAATAAGCTCTAACACTGGCTAAGATATTTTCAGTTACTTTCCAATAAGCTCTGCCAAACATCCTCGTTGGCATGAGCAGTTGCATTCTGGATCTCTAAGCCAGATATCAATCTCTAGAGCAGCCAGCTATAGATTTTTCTTCTGGAGAAGCACAGGATAGAAAGTGCAAATAGAGGAAGACTTTACACTGATGGAGACAAACTGATGCTGGACATTTGTGACTTAAATTTAATACAACATTCTAATACCTTATAAAATAACACCACCACAAAAAAATAACAGCACAATAAGTAAGGGAGAAAAATGCTCACTCAGAAGCACCAAGAGCTCTTACTAAAGTGTCATCACTTTCATTGCAGCAAACTAAAATTAACTGTCTCTTCTGGCTAGCTTCCGTGAGAGGTGAATCAATTCTGATGATTTGCAAAAAATCCTCAAGAGCTAAAACCAATAGAATTCTTGGTAATAAAAGTGCACCTATATACCTGGACTGAAGTTCTGTTTACTTAAGATCCAGGAGATAGTATTGAAAAAACCTATTCTGGCCACAAAGCTGGTTAATACAGAGTCATTGATTCCAAACGAAACAACTCAACCTAACACATGAAATGCTCTGCATACTTCATATTGTTAGCTGTGCATTTATTTTGCTGAGTACATATGAGCACAAATGACTGGCCCATTTTAAAGGCACTTCCTTTGTGTAAAAAAAAAAAAAAAAAAAAGCATCAAAGAGACATAGTAAAGAAATGTCCCTAAGTAATATGCACAATCCTCATTTGGACAGTTTCTACCATTGAGGCCTTGTGGAGTTGTGCAGTTTGGCTTTCTATTCTTAGCACCTCCAAAAGCAACACTATCTTTTTCTCTTTAGCCAATCTGCCATCACCTGCAGAGAGGTTCAAATCTTTGCTCTAGAGCCCTCAGTCACACAAGCTAGACTGGAAACAGCAGTATACTCCTTGAAGTGTGAGCTACACCTGCCCTAATGGCTAGCCTTCTGTTATCCAGAGGAGACCACGTGAATGCAGTTCCATAGCTCATTCAACTTGCTAATGGAAGTCAGATGTCTATTGCTTACTCTGCCCTATTCTTTCAGAGAGAGGACAGCATACGGTACACTTCAGAATAGGGAGACACTAGAATCTCCATGACAAAGCAAACCAACATTAACATTTAGGAAGGAGTGGATGTGTGAACAGGATTATCAGTTGCATTCAAGTAGAGTTCTTATTCCTAATCTTACTTTCACACCCTCCCTTCTACTTGACCATAGTAAGATCAGTTCTCAAAAGTTAGAGGCAAGAGTGCACTTACAGATCTCCTCGGGTTTTCCTCTTGCCATTGGATTGAAGGAATTGTTTTCTATAGGACTCTGGGGTAAAGGGGTTAATGTTGACCAGAGCCGATGAGGTCATCTCATCCACAAAGGGAACAGGTGTGAACCTCAAATGTTTAGAGCCTCTGGAGGGGAGCTTCTCTGTTGAAGAAACCACCAATTGGCTGAGCAGACCCTGAATGAGGATGACAAAAAGGGAGAACAGAATGGTGTTAGTATAAAAAAAGAAGTAGTTCCATATCAGCTAGTTAATATTTGAACCAAAGAATGTTACTGCTGAAAAGGAATTAGAGGTTATCTCGTTGGGTGCAAACTAGTTGCATTATAACTGCTCCTCTTATGAAAAATACAGATTCCTAGTCTTCCTCTGGATATTCTGATTAGAGGATCAACACAGGAATCTGTACTTGTGTTAAGCTCCACCGCCTCCCCCTGGGCAATTCTGATGGCCAGCTATGAAAAACACCAACTCTACTACCACCTCTAGCTTTTGAAAAGACTATACTCCAGCTTAGACAAATGAAAGGGACTCTAGAAGACCTGGTCCTTATGTTCTCAGTGTATACTTTAACTTCCCCTCAAGTATTCATCCAGATATTTGTTTGGTGCCTACTAAGTAGCAGATGCTGGGCTAGATACTAAGGCGTACAGAGGTGATTTCCAACTCTTAAGGGATGCACAGTCCATTAGTCAACAGCTCACCAATCTTTCAGAAATAATCACTTTGTGCAGGAAAGACTATCTAAACATTAAAAGAAGTATCCAGTTCCACTTAAAATACAGCACCAAAGGAGAAGAGTTCCATAAAGTGGGGTAAAGAATTTGAAAAATAGTCCTGAGTCCTTAAGATTCAGGGCTTTGCAGTGGCTATAACCAGCACACCAATAAATAGGAAATGTACAGGACTTACCACTCCAAGTGGGGTACAGTAAGAGAACATACACCTACAACCTAACCAGAACTAAACCAAACGACAGAGGGATAGGTAGAAGAAAAAGAATTCTGATGAGACAGCAGAATGCCATTATGACCTAAGTTGAGGGCCGGAGAGCTGTGTTACGGGTCTCCAAGTGTCCAGCAGTAGACGCGGGGGCCATGATATAACTTCATAGTACAATCATTGTACTGTGAGGCTCTTTCTAAAAGAATGCCCCTATGGGATAGTATCTGCCCATGGCTTTTCAGTGTAGAAGCACAAGCTAGACTATAACATGATTCACTATATAGAAATGTAATTCAAGAATGTGAAGATACAAAGAATGAATATTGAAATTATAAATCCTAAATGATAAAAGCAGAAATGAAGGAAACTATGGAGTACACCCAGTAACCTAAACTTTTTTTAAGTGAAGAAAAAGGTCATTGCTGGAGCCAAGTTTTTACAAGGGTTTTACATGTCTTAGAGTTGACAGGATGAACAATCGTGGGGCTATTCTCAGACAAAGCCATCAATGATAAACTCACAGTTTTCCTGTAAGTGTATTATAGGGCTGAGTATTTGCTCAAAGTACAACTATACTATATAGTATTTCTCAGTTGTCTGTGTGACTCAGGAAGTGAACTTAGAATTACAATAAATCATTCCCTGAGAAACAGTTTTTTGTACTGCTGATTATATGGAAAGTAAAATGTGTCTATCACATATGAAACAGTGGGGCATCCACACCTGGAATGATATACCCTGGTTGCCACACTTCAAGGACAACATAAAGGACCTAGACATTTTTCAGATAAAAGGAAGGAAAAGTATTCACATCGAAGCAGACAAGATCAGAATTCCTAGTCTGGAAATAGGAAGGCCGATAGATTTTGTGAGCTCCACTTATGATACAGGGAAGATATTAATTATATTTAATATGGATTATATTGCCAGAATGGTAGAATTTTGAGTAATCCTTTTGCAAATCCAAAAGAACTTATTTTGGAACAAGGCTTATGAAAAGGGAGTTCTGTCTAAAAGTAAGGCAGATTAAAAATTTCTGGAAAGATGTCCAGGTTGAGAGTATAAATATGTTCCAGGGAGTGTAGCTAATTCCATAAGCAACAGCTCTGCTACAGATGATCGAGGGAAAGGAAAATTCAGGAATAGCTCTTTTGTGTCTGAAGATGGAAAGAGGAGAAGGCAACCTCCCACCGTCAAGACACAACATCATTGTGTCTCAGGACTTGCAGACTTTAAAGGCCCAGTTGGTACAATTAGTCCCCGGATGCTTGAATCCTTTTACAAAGTTCCTACCAAGTGATCATCAACTAGTGCTCAATGCATTTAGCTCAGGGACCCACTACCTCCTCGGGAAGCTCTTCTATTCTAGCTAGTTGTGCTAGGAAGTCTTTATAGTGACCTAAAGTCACTTCACAGGATTTCTAGTTCTCTCCCTTGGGTAAGGCTGAGCTAAGTCAATCCTCCATCCCTCTGCATCCTTGTGTTCAGCATAACATCACCACTGATCATTGCCCGCTCTCTCTCTTCTAATCCAAACTACATTCCTCATAAAACGTGTACTTTTTCAGTTGCATTTCCAGTTTCCCTCCCAAGCTCTGTTCTTTTCCTGCCCCTCCAATCTTGGCACTTCCAGGATTCCTAATTTGGACCACTTCTCTTCTTACTCTGGCACTCAGGCTGCTTGAGCTCATCCACACCCAAGGCTTCAACAACTTCCAAAATGCTAATGATATCCAAATATAGATCTCCAATTTAGTTTGTTTTCCTGCACTCCAGACCCATTTATCCAATGATTTACAGTACACCTCTGCTTTCTCCAAATCTGTAAATGCCTCTAGCATCACCTATCTTGATTCAAGTTACAATCTACTCAGTCAAGGCAGAAGCCTCGAAGGACCCTAGATCCCTCCTTTTCTCTCAATTCCTCCATCAAGTTGATGGGAGAACAAAAAGCAAGCTGAGCACAAAACATGAGCTGACACCCCGCCAAAGCCCCCTCCCCTTAAGATGGGATGGATATATATATATATATATATATATAAACATTCCTCAGGCACTAGTAACTGCCTAAGAACAAAGGCAGGGGAATAACAAATGGTCAATTGATAAAGATTGCAGTCATGTAGGACATGAAATTCCACTAGACTTTGTAACTGTCTTAATGATTTACAAGAAAAACACAATCTTAATAATAGACCTCCAGGAACCTATAGACTCAATTTCCTGGAGCCCTAACATCACTTTCACCACCATAGGATAGACAACCTTATATAATCAGTCACTCCTCACAATCACAGTGGAGCTCTTTCTGCCCCACGGGTCCCGTCCCCGTGCTAGAATAAAAACACCTTTGGGGGCACCTGGGTGGCTCAGTCGTTAAGCGCCTGCCTTCAGCTCAGGTCATGATCCCAGGGTCCTGGGATTGAGCCCCGCATCGGGCTCCCTGCTCAATGGGGAGCCTGCTGCTCCCTCTCCCACTCCCCCTGCTTGTGTTCCCTCTCTCACTCTCTCTCTCTCTGTCAAATAAATAAATAAAATATTTAAAAGAATAGAATAAAAACACCTTTTTGCACTGCAAAACATCTCAAGAATTCTTTCTTGACCATTGGGCTCGATGATCCTGCATCATATTTTGGTGGCCCATACAGGCATTCTGCATCTTACCTTCATCTGGACTTCGAGCCTCAGCACAAACTTGGTGAGTTACTCTCTCCTCTCTTTTTACTTTCATTTTAGAGGCTCTTCAAGGAGTATGGTCTTATTGGAATACTTTCATGTCAATAGCTCAGGCTGCAATACTCTAGCCCGTGGCTACTCTATGGGGACGAGAAAGCCTGCCTTTTGACCAGAAGCTCAATTCCTTTTGACTGGAAGCTCATTCCATTGGCCGGAATGGTTCTAAGGCCCAGAAACTCAGTGCCCTCTCGTAATTCCTATTCTTATACACAGTTGTCTTTCTTGGGCACGGACAGCCACCTAAGTCACTAGGACGGCTGCCAATCTTAAGAATCTCATGTAAGGGGCACCTGGGAGGCTCAGTTGGTTAAGCGACTGCCTTCGGCTCAGGTCATGATCCTGGAGTCCCAGGATCGAGTCCCGCATCGGGCTCCCTGCTCGTCAGGGAGTCTGCTTCTCCCTCTGACCCTATCCCCTCTGATGTGCTCTCTCTCTCTTATTCTCTCTCTCAAATAAATAAATAAAATCTTAAAAAAAAAAAAAAAGAATCTCATGTAAGGTTTCTTCCTCATTGGTCTAATGCAATTGCACCCAAATCCCTGGCCTACCCACTTCTGGCCACGAGACCTCCTCTCAGAGCTGACTGAAACGAGTACCCAACTGAATTAAAACCCAACTGGGGACCATCTCCTAGAGAAGTCAGCTATAAAAGACTACATGTGTTGGAATGTCGCTTCGATCAGGATGGATTTCTATCTTCAGTATTCTTCATCAATGTCCCCTACTGACTACTTAAATTACAATATTGTGTAATTTCCCCTTGTAAAACTTTGCTGGTGTTTTCCATGGGTTAAGAATGACAGGTTCTCCATGGCATTTTGGTCCATTCACTGGCACCCATTAGTCATCTAGAATGCAATGGGAAAGTTGAGGGACACCAGCATCCCTCCAAGGCAAGGCAGTGTGCATAGAACCTTCTTAGAAGTATGCCTCTGGTTACTTTGACACTAGGAACCTCTGACATATCCTGCGTAGATGCCACATGGGAGGCAGGGGGGATTTGGGGTAATAAACCTTCTCTGCTTTTCTAGGAGCATGGGATCTCTAATTCCCAAGTAGTCTCCCTTGGGATGCCTTTTAACCTACTGGAATCAATTCAGATTGCAAGATCTAAGAAAGAAAAAAAACTGGTCTTCTTCTGTAACATTGCATGGCCTCAGTACTCCTCGGCAAATGAGGGAAAATGGCCCATTAATGGACATTAAACTTTAATACGATCTATCCGATCTCTTCTGCAGGAAACAGGGCAAATGGACTGAGGTACCCTATGTCCAGGCCTTCATGGCCCTAAATCAGGATCCCGATCTAAGGGTCCTCTTGCAAAATGTGTCTAACCACCAACCAGGTTAATAAACCCCCTCTGGACATACTGGATGATGATTGTCTAAATAGACCCATTTCTCCTAACAAACCTGGGTTACTGTAGAAATCACTGGCAAATCCAAACAAAGAAGACACTGGCTCTGTTACTATCTCTCCTCCTTATAAACCACAAG